GTGTCGACTAGTGTACGCGCCGTCACCGCTTCCCCGACCTGCGCTACGCCCACTTGATCACTAGCCCGCTGCCTAAGCCATCTTCAGCAACTCCCTAACCTCGTTGGTACAAGTGTCTACGACGCTGTCATCTCATCCACAGCCTAGCACTACGTATTACCGGTCCATCTCGGCACCAACGCGGGAGCTCCATTTACTTAGCACAATACGCCCTCGATACATACATACCATCGGTGCAGCGTGCTTCGCCCGAGTCGCGGGTGCCGGACTCCATACCACACTCCTAGGAGAACAGAACGTCGTTTGTTATCGCGTGTGCGCACTGCAGCTACGGCAGTAAGACACCCACTTTTATTCTCCTCGCATTGACGTATCATCACGCCTCCCCTCATTGTATTCGCCCGCCTTGCCACTTGTGCTTGAAACGCGCCATTCTGACTGGTTTAGAAATTATACACTCGATACCACACCTGCGATCCTTCTGTCGCTTTCGGGGAAAGCGCCGTGCAGGTGTTTGCTTTTTCCCAGTCTACTGAGTCTAGGGTCCACGCCCAAGAGACAAAACAGTTCACTGACAAAAAAAGAAAAGCGCGTCGCGGCAAAGCGAAAATTCTAGGGAAGAGAGTTTGTCCGCCAAGCCAAGCCAACATCTCCCGCCTTTGAACCGCCCGTGCGTGGAAAAAGCAGCAAAAGAAGCAGCAAGCAGCAAAGAAGAAGGCCATTGTGGTGTGGCGATCATCTTTCAAATACGGAGTAGACTGTCCACTGCTTGTCGAAACTGTGAACAGCTCGTCCATCTTCCATTTTTACTTTCAGACAAAAATCATTTCATCACTGTGGGGCCCGCACCTTCGTTGGCCAACCTGCTACGCTTGCGCCGCAAAGAGATATTACTGCTCCGCTCCAGCGTCAGCGTCCACCAGCAAAACGAAGGGAACCGAACAGCCAAATCCTTTAATATCCCGGATCGCCTCCAGTAAGAAAAAAGCGCCCCTTCAACACCAATTCCCGCCACCCAATCACCGCCCCGTGTATTATCCTCAAGCTCCACGCGCAGAAATTATCTCCACCGTGCCCACGGATCCCACGAGGCCTGAAGTTGCATTTGTCTCCTTTCTGCGTAGCCAACAGCCAATCCGTCTGAACTCTGAACGAACCAGCCAACAAGACAAAAAGCGAGCCAAAAACCCACTTCGCTTCTTCGCTTTCCCCTTTTTCTCCAAGTGTATCCGTCGACTTGGCCACGCCATCGCACCTTTTTTAGCCTTTTAGGGCGAAAATTACAGTACCAAAGTCAGCCGATTCCAACTTTTTATCTCCCAGCATTCATAATTTCACGCTACTGTCCGTGGGACCTGTGAAAAATCCCGAATCCAGTTACCCTCGACCAGCTTTGTGCCTTTGGACCAGTTACCTATCCAGGATCAAGACCCGGCCTCATTTTCAGACTTATCCCACTCTCGGTCAAGCCCATTTTTTTTTCTCGTCTCCCGCTGGGTACCTTTCCCCCCTCGTGCTGGTACAACACTACAGTAGCACCAACACTACGCCGGACTAGTACAAAGTTCTTCGCCCMCCCGCCGCAAACTACGTACATTGCGAAGCGTTTCCGTCTGGTCTGTTCAGTGGTCACCCTAAAAAAGGCGACTAAAGTCGATTAAGCCTCGCTGCTTTTCCTCCCCCAAAGAGAGGATCCGAAGGCTCGTTATCACAACAAATCGCCTGTCGTCCGTGCCTTTTTAGACTGGCGACCGCGTCGAATCACCCGAGCTTGGTTTAAATCCCCATCAGACAGCGTTTGTCTTGTCGTGAGCCGTGAACGCTTGTTTTTGCCATCGCGTCTGTTCTAGTTTCTTAGTGACTTTCGCGTTTGTCAAAACACCACAACGACGTATCTCCATTTTTGGTAGCTCTTGTGGCACGGTCAATTGGGGACGCTCGATATAAGCATTAGCTTATTTCTACGCGATTGACGCTTTTTGAAAGGTACGCGCGTGTTGCTTGTCTGGCGAGTTTTTGTTTCTACAAAGATATCAAAACGCCTCGCCGAGCAAGAGCTTGATTTGAGCAAATTGTTAAAAGGCCTTCATCTGATTACGCGCAATCAGGTTTGCCATTCTTTGATCACCACTTAATCGTCGTATTATTCTGAACCTCGACTTCAGAATTATTGCAACGCTCGCAATCCGATCGCCGCACGCACCGCGAAACTACATCTCGACTTTTGTTCAGCCCGCATACACATACACGGTGCGCTAGCCATGGCTCAAACAACTAGTTCGTCTACCACAAACCTGAACGATGGGAAGAATGATGACCATCGCAATCAGTCGAACCTAAAGTCTGACGCGGACCTGCCTATAGATCCATCCATTGCGGCCTCAAGCCCAACTTACCCTCCACCTTATTCGCCCTACCAACCCCAGGGCCACGACATGTCTCAATACCAGGGACACCCGCCCCCACAAATGTATGCGCGCCCAGAGTGGTCGCATGGCTATCCTCATCAGCAGCATGCCATGCAGGGTCCTTATAGCTCTCCTGCTCCTCCAACGGTTGGTTCTGCCTCCCCTGCTGCGACTGCAGGTCCGCGCCCAGGTCAGGTACGTTCGTTTGGTTTGGCGCACGATCTTTCTTTACTGTCAAATGAAAAGGAGAAAAAGTCGAAGTGAAAAGAGAAAGGAAAAAACCCTGTCAAATCAAATAAACGATCGTGCATGTCATCTCCTGGGGCGGACCATTGCCAGAAGAAGTTTCTAGTTTCTTCCTGGCATGGAATGCAAAGTCGCGTCTTTCCACCAATTTCTGACCTGTAACTAACAACTCACGTGTCTTTCTAGGTATACTCATTCGTTCCCATTCCCGGTGCTCAGCAGCACAAACGCCCGCGTCGTCGTTACGAAGAGATTGAGCGTATGTACAAATGTGGGTGGAATGGCTGCGAGAAGGCATATGGTACACTGAACCACCTCAACGCGCACGTTACCATGCAATCGCACGGCAATAAGCGAACCCCTGAAGGTATGTTTTATTCTCTTTTCCAGTTCTGCTTTCTACCCTCGCTCGTAATTATAAATCGTGGACGCGATGTTGGTGGTCGAATCGGCGTATCTGGTGCTAGTCGCATTGTGCTCAAAGGAGGCTAGTGTGACGCCCGCATACTTAGTCGGGTTACACAGCTAGAGCACGCGGCTATCGCAGTAGCGTTGACACCGGCGTCAACGTTAATTTAGACTTGCACAACCTCAACTTTCCTGTCTTGTACTAGACTGTTGCCGTTATTCAATCACCACTCCCGCTTCCTTGTGTGTTGGATTGTCTTTATGTCGGACTCGACTAACACCTCTCAATAGAGTTCAAAGAAATCCGCAAGGAATGGAAGGCTCGCAAGAAGGAAGAGGAGAACCAGCGCAAGGCTGCAGAGGAGCGGGAACGTCAGGCTGCTGCCCAAGCTCAGGCACAGGGTGGTCCGGTCGAGGGTGGTGCTCCCACTGACCCTCAAGGAGGCCAACCACCCAGCTACGCCGGCGGCGTCCGACCTCAACTGCCTCCGATCGGCTATCAGCCTGCTGAGAATCAAGTCCCCGGTCAATACGCTCCTGGTGGTGCCGGCGGCATAGTCTACCCTCAGGGTAACGGCCAGATGTACGGCAGTTACCCTCACTCGCCGTACCAGAACAACCAGGTGTACCAGCAACGTAAGTAGCTGCTCGCCATCTCAAGTTGACGTCTTCTCTTGCCTTCGCCTTGGATCAATATACCAGAGCATCGCAAATTGGACCACGGATTAATGTTGCAATACATCGTCTCGCATTCCTGGGGCTGACGGCTGATTCTCATAGCCCCAGAAAACCAATCTCGCAATTACCAGTGAGACGAAAGAAGAAGAAAAAAATAGAAGGCAGTCTCTTACTGTTGTATCACGTATCATCCATCTCCCTCATTACTCACCGGACAAACGTTTCTACCATGATATTTTTTTTTTCTTTCTTCCTGCCCTTTTTGATACTCGATTCCTGTGCATCTTATCCTCGACCTTGATATGCCCTCGTTTGTCTCTTGTTGATTCTGTTGAAAGATGTTCATTTTATTTTATGATACCACACCTCTGCTGGCTTCGGTTGAGTCTCCTGTTTTAGATGGAGAAGAGGAAATGGGTTTGAGTCGACTTTTCTCTTTTTGGCCAGCTCGTTCCGTCTATTCTATTTTTTCTCTTTCTACCTTCCACATACCTGAAATAACGGCAAGAAATATCGAGTGAAGAAATCGAGCACAGAGTGAGGAAACGCGAAAAGGAAAGAGAAAAAAGGGATTGATTGATTGATTGCTTGCTTTGCAAATGAATATTACATCTTGCTTTTTTTTTGTGAATATTGGCGTTGTTTTGTTTCTTATATGTGTTGTATTTTTTGTTCATTTTGCTACTCTGCCATGTTATGTATGTTTGTCTGCTACGCTGAGAATGGACCTTCAAGCTCCATACCAATTGATTACGTTCCACTCATTTATTCTCGCGCAGTCGATACATCGCGTCAAGCGTACGGACGTAGTACTACTAGTAACATATCTCGAATCCAATGCACCCAACCCTAATCAGAATCCTATTCCCCAGGATACGTACGTGCGTACGTACGTAGTACCCCGAGTACTAGTATTGACAGTGTACCGGAGAATAAACCACCCTAGCCCTTTGCACTAGCCCGAATCGGATCCCGGTTCGTCCTGCTTTCCATATTTTTGACTCGAGAAGCTAAAATAGTGAAATCTCTAAATCGTAACGAATGCTTGGTCCCAGCTTGAGTTCAGATCTTCGAGTAAAGGAATGGACGTGATTGATTGGTTGATCTAGAGTGGTAAATTGGTCATGTGATCACGCGTGCCGTTTTTCGCGATCATATACGATTCGTCGCCTTAGTTGACCATCCCTTCTTTTCCTTGAAACACATTTTGGATCGAGATCGGAAAGGGCATGAGTTATTTGTTTCTTTACGAAAAATGATATGTCTGCGCTCGAGGAGAGGGAGCAGCAGCAGGCTGCGCCATCACCAATCGTAATTAGTGATGACCTGATTGATCCGGCCTTGAGAGCAACCCCATCCAGTATCACCGAAGCACCATCCAACAAACCCAGAAAAGGATCTTCGTCGTCCACGAGAGGGCGAGGAGGAGCACGCGCCAAACGCAATACCGCCAATGCAAAACAGCTGGAGCAGCGAAAACCCTCCCAGCCATGGCCGGACGCATTCAAACGACTTTCCCAAACCCATCGCGCTCTGAATCTGGTATACACATTCTGCTGCACACGGAAACATCTCGCAACTACCTTTGAGACGATCAAGACGGCTGTTCAAGCTCAGATGGGTGGTCGCGAATTGTCGGTTGAGGATGTCGCTAGGATCAAAGTGTTGATTCCCAAGGCTGTCAGGTTTGAGTATGTTGATGAAGGCGTTCTTGAAGTTCTAGGTGTGGGGGAAGATGCGAGTCAAGGCGGCGGGAAGAGGGATGAATATAAATGGATGAATGCGAAGAGTGCGAACCTGGGTGGAGGGTTTATTCCCGAGGAGCATTCTTTCACTACTACCACTGCCACCACTACTGGTGCGTTCACCCAAAGCAGGGATGATGATTTACCGGAATCCAGAGATGTGTTACTCTTCGAGTTTGTGGATGAAGATCTCAAACGGCAGGTTCAGCATAGCAAGACCGGGGAACCAACACGACCCACCAAGCGACTGCGAAACGATGAGCTGAAAATGCCGGTTTATAGTCAGAAGCAAATGGTCAACTTGATTGAGAAAAGAAATAAGAAATTCTCGGACGCTATTGATGCGTTTCTGGTCAAGTGCGAGGATGAGGGTGCAGATCCAGTGGAGAGTTTGGAGAGTGAGAAGATCATACCATCTCCACCGGTGAAGAAAGAGTCCGACACTCCAATCAAGGGAAAAGTACCAGATGTGATACCGAAAGAACGGAAACCGATTGCGGAGATTATTGCAGATATCAAGGAAATGGATTGGTATACAGCTCAAATCGTCCCTGACGGACACAGAGTGTTCGATCCGCAGCCTCCTGTGTATGGAGATTTGAACTTTCAGCTGTCGCAGAATCTGGTAAATGCGCTTTATAATACCAAGGGAATTACGCAGCTCTACTCGCATCAAGCGGAAGCTATAAACAATCTATATGAAGGTCATCATGTCATTGTCTCGACATCGACGAGTTCGGGAAAGTCCCTTATTTATCAGATCCCGATGCTTCATGAGCTTGAAAGGGACCCCAACAGTAGGGGGATTTATATCTTTCCTACCAAAGCTCTTGCGCAAGACCAGCGGCGCAGTATGAAAGAATTACTCAATTTCATGGAGGGTTTGGAACATGTGATAGTCGAGACATTTGATGGAGACACGCCCATGAGCGAACGAAACACGATCCGTGACGACGGACGAATTATTTTCACGAATCCCGACATGTTGCATGTTACCATCCTTCCGCAGGAAGGCTCGTGGCGTACTTTTCTGCAGAATCTGAAATTCGTTGTCGTCGATGAGTTGCATGCATACAACGGGCTGTTTGGCTCTCACGTTGCATTTGTCATGCGACGACTGCGAAGAATATGTGCGGCAGTGGGCAATCGCCATGTCAGATTCATCAGCTGTTCGGCGACAGTGGCTAATCCTGAGGACCATTTCAGGACCATTTTCGGGGTTGAAGACGTTCGATTGACTGATTTTGATGGCTCGCCTGCAGGACGAAAAGAGTTCATATGCTGGAATACGCCGTACAAGGACCCAAAGGATCCCACCTCTGGCCGAGGTGATAGTATTACCGAGACTGCGCGTTTGTTTTGTCAGCTGATCCTGCGCGGTGTTAGGGTGATCATTTTTTGCAGGATTAGAAAACAATGCGAAGTTGTTCTGGCAGCAGTGCGCACCGAATTCCAGACACTGGAAAGACCAGAGGTAGCGAATCTGGTTATGGGTTACCGTGGCGGCTACAGTCCACAAGACAGGCGCCAAATCGAAAGAGAAATGTTTGACGGAAAACTCATGGGCATTGTTGCCACGAACGCACTCGAGCTAGGAGTTGACATCGGCTCTTTAGATGCGGTTATAACGCTCGGATTCCCTTTTTCGATTTCGAATCTGCGCCAGCAAAGTGGACGTGCAGGTCGACGAAACAAAGATTCACTATCGGTCCTGATTGGAGATGGATTCCCGACTGATCAGCACTATATGGCCAACCCAGACGAGATATTCACTAAGCCGAATTGCGAGTTGCAGGTCGATTTGACTAATGAACTCGTGCTGGAGGGCCATGTTCAATGCGCTGCGTTCGAGATGCCACTCAAACCAGAAGAGGATAAAGTCTATTTTGGCGAGCAGCTTGAAGAATTCGCATCTACTCGACTTATCAAAGACTCGCTAGGGTATTACCATTGCAATGACCGATTTCGACCAAAACCGTCGGATTTTGTGTCCCTTCGTGACATGGAAGATAGTTCCTTTGCCGTCATTGATATCACCCACAACAGGAACATAGTACTCGAAGAAGTGGAAACATCGCGGGCATTCTTTACAATCTACGAAGGCGGAATATTCATGCACCAAGGTCAAACCTATGTTGTCCGTGAACTCAACCCGGAAAAACGTCTTGCACGAGTTGTCCAAGTTCAAGTAGACTGGAACACCCAACAGCGCGACTACACGGACATTGATCCCATCGAAACAGAGGCGATCCGCCACATCGGCCGGACTGCTAGAGCATACTACGGCATCATTCAGATCCATGCTGTCGTTTATGGCTTCTTCAAGATCGATAAACGCGGCCGCGTCCTTGACGCCGTTCAAGTCGATAATCCGCCCATCGACACGTTCACGAAGGGTATGTGGCTGGATGTTCCTAAACGCGCATTCGAGATTTTAGAATCCCGAAGACTCAATATTGCAGCTGCCATACACGCCGCCGAACACGCAGTCCTGTCCCTGTTCCCAACCTTCATCATCTCCTTACCTGGCGACGTCCGCACAGAATGCAAAGTCGCCAAAAAGGAGCTCGGCAAAAACCTCAAACGAGCGAACGAAGCCACCACCACCACCAACGAAAACACAACCCGCCACCTCCGCATCCAAACATCATCAACCCGCTCAGCCACCGTCCCCAAATCCTCATTTGCCAGAAACAAGAACCCTGCGGAAGAGATAGAACCCCCTCATCGTCAACGACCAGCGCGTCTAACCTTCTACGACACCAAAGGCGGCGCCTCGGGGTCTGGTATTGCGCTCAAAGCCTTTGAATTTATCGACTCGCTACTTGTGCGTGCCGTCCGACGCATCGAGGCGTGTACGTGCATCACGCCCCAGGGCTGTATAGAATGTGTCTGCGACGAACGCTGCAAAGAACGTAACGTGGTCATGAGCAAAGCCGGGGCTGGGGTGGTACTGAAATGCTTGCTTGGTCGAGAAGATGAGATTGATATCGACGCTTTGCCGTGGGGCGAAGATCCGTATTATGATATCAGTGAGCAAGGGGCTGGCGAAAAGGAGATTGTGGGTGGTTACGAGACAGTTGTGTTGGCGAGGGAGGTGAAAGTTAAGGATGGTGTAAAGATCTACACTTAGCATTTCATCTTCTAGATTGCTTTGTATATAATGTATTATAGTGATCAAATGATGTACCAAGATATGTTAGCCCCGAAAGGAGTAATGTTCATACTCAAAAAGTCCAAAAGAAGTCCAAACCCAACACCATGCCCATAAGTAATGTATCCGATGATAATAATCAGTAGTCCACCCACCCAAGTTCAACAAACACCCAAATCTTATCAAAAGACATAACCCGAAAAGACCCAAAGACCATCCCTCCTCCACTTTTTCATGCCTATATAGATATTCACTAGTACTGCGTTTGGTGCGTACTACAACGTATTAGGTAGCGATTCAGGAGATGCCCCCTGACTCACACTCAAACCCGAAAACAACGACTTGAGATCTCTCATTTCTTCGCGCAGATGATCGCGCGGACTCGTTGTTCGCTCTTCTGTTAATTTGCGTATTTCCTTGATGATGCTGGGACAGCCTTCTTCGTCGGCTGGATCCCACCATTCCTCGACACTGGGGTCGTTCCATAGTTCTGCCAGAGCGCGGCGCGCACGGGGGGCGTACACGTATCTATTCACGTTAGAATCGGCAATAATAATAGAGGGTTAGAGGGTGGGGAAGAGGCGTACCCGCTCATTTCCATCCGGGCGAACATTCGTCTATTCCATTGCATGTGCTTTTTGTCCCGTGGTAGAAACAGGGTCATCAGAATCAGCCAATTATGCCCTGCTATAGCTGTGCCAACTTCCATTTCGGGCCATCGCGCAATGGCTTCGGCATGGTGGCAGATGCGTAGTGCGATATTCTGTAATTCGACTCCGTCGGGGCGGCCAGTCATCAGATGAGACTGATATTTGAACATGAGTACTGTGGCGAGTACGTCCGGCCACAGGAAGTTCATGAAATATTTCGAGTCGCGGTAGAAACGACACGTCATGTCAGTGTCTAGGATATCTTCGGGCCCTTGTAATGGGACAGCAGGGCCTGGCATGGTGATCTCTTCGCAGTCGTCGTATGCTTTTAGGGATTGATGAAGGTCGTCGATGAGTTCATTGAGGTAGTCGTAGCCTGTTTGAAATTGTTCAAGATTGATGACTCCGTTCGCAAATTTGGCGAAAAGAGATGCATAATCCATGGCGAAGAGTCGCACCCGTGATGTCATCGCATTTAGTTGCATGATGGGGTCGTCCAGATTTCGCGCCGCCAGAGCAGTATCGTGTTTCTCTATCGAAGTGTACCACTCGCGTTCCAAGATGGCTTCATTCGAGGCGAGAATGCAAGCAACAAGGTCGAAGCGGGAATGCCAAACAAACAGGTATCGATGTACTTCTTTTTCTGTAATTGTCTGTGGAGTAAGTAGTTCGTGCATCAGTTGATCGGCCGCTTGATGATGATCAACAAGGTTCACGAAATCTCCAATCGTTTCCTACCATAATCAGCGATTAATCAACCAACGTCAGCCGATAAAACTCACCTCAAATGTTGACAGTTGCAGGATGGTAGCTAACGTAGCTTCGCTGTGCTTTTCTCCAGACGCAAGAGACTTCCGAAGCAATTGAATTGATTGGTTGTAGTATTTCAAAAAGTCATTGAGCTTCCCCTGAGGTTGTTCCAAGGTATGGTGATACGCAGCAAAGCCCACCACTGCATACAACAACGGTTCGTACTCAAGAGCCATGTCTATTAGTGTCCCTCTGAAAAACAAGTCGCTTGCGAGATTCATAAAATAATGGTGGTGGTTGATCCTTTCCTGGTGATAGGTCAAGAAGAATTTAACATGTTCCTTTAGCCTTTTGATCTTGAAAATATCTGGTAGATTGCGCGCCGGTCGTTGCAGGAATCGACCCCGTTGCTGTTGGTAAGTCGCAGAAGAAGCCGACGATTGAGAGGACGAAACCCAATCCGAGGCCGGTGATAGAGATTTCGATTTGCTGGCAGAAGAGGTTTCGGAGAGATTACTTGGTCCAGTACGGTTACTGCTTGGTGAATGCGCTCTGATTCTCTTGGCCGACCCTGTATCAGATGCCATCCTCATCGAAGGCAGGCTACTAGGAAACTCGGCCGTCTCATCCTCATCTGGAATCACATCCAGACTTCCACTTTGTTCTACATTGTCTTCATCCGACGATATACTTTCATGTGACGGATGTCTTCGTGCTGACCTGCGATTGCTTGTTGACTTTGCGTTGGGCTGAGCGTATTCACAGGGTCTATTTCCCTTTTTGCATCCTAGAAAGTATCAGACACATACAAATTACGATTTGCCATGCAAAACTTACTGTCGCATACCGGACGACCTTCATCGCACTACGTATTCCATTGATTAGTTTTGTTCAATCCAATTGCTCAGTATCAACCACCAAGTGTTCACCTTGACCCGCCGACTTCGACATGTGAGACATCCACTCCGTGTCCGTTTATGCTTGCGTTGCTCCGCAGCGAATTGTTGCTGCTGCTGTTGTAATTGCGGTTGCAGCTGTGGTTGTGACTGGGGCTGTTGTTGGTGTTGGAGCTGTGTTCGAAGATGTTGTTGCTGTAGCGAGGGAAATGTCGGACGAGGAATAGGAGCTACCCCAGTCTGCAAATTGTTGTCGTTCCAATATAGTAGCGTATCAGGGACTTGACCGGAGCCGAGCAATAGAGGAAACGCAGGATATGAATTGGGCTGGCTGTATTGAGGCATCTGGGGGTCCTGAAAGCTGGCGTGGGATGAGCCATGGGGGAAGAAATGTTGCGCCATGAAATCAGAGTTAATTATCGGTTAATTGCATGCCAGACTGTCTTCTTCCAGCCTTTATTAAAGCAATTAGTTGCTAGTAGATGTGCTGAAGAAAATCAAGTTCCGTGCGTCATGGAGTATTAAGCTTCGGCGGAGGTTGTAGACCGAAGCGAGATCGGCCGACGTTCCTGGGTGTTCTGTATCTGTTATTGATGATCTTGAATGTTGTATGTCGCTGTACAAGTCAATGTCGACGCCAAAGACAGACTTGAAACCGATCGACAAAGAACAATGCAACGATACCGGGACTCAACGGAGGTCCTGAGACGAGTTATCCAGGGCGTGTATAGTCTCCGGCAAGGAGAAAGAAAGGGAGCAAAGAGAGCATGCGATGCGACGGACGGGATGGCAGGACATGAGAGAGATCGTGGTGGATTGATCGGTATATTTCAGGGAGTAGGTCGAAAAGCGTGTAGTGAGAGTGAGCATGTGTCGGTAGAGGTGTGTGTTGAGGCAAGAAGGAAACTGAGTCTGAGGTGATGATGCATTCCAAAGAAAGAGAGAGCGACGCTAACAGGCGGAACGGAGTTAGACAGCCCAATATCCGGGTGAATTCGCAGAGCCTCGTGCCTGTGATTGACTTACAGTTGTTCGACGCTCGAATGAATTTGCGATTGCCAATTGAGTGTACAAGAGGACAGATAAAAGAAGAAAATGTAGACTTAATTAGCATTAGTAGTATGATTTAGTGTCGGTTCCTACGTGGAGTTCTAGACTCCGTTGCTTGTCCCGCGGCGATTTGCAACGTCGATCCAGATAGTGGGCACTGGAGATTGGACAGTGCTTAACAGAGAGTCTTATTACTGGACAATGAATCGGAAAAACAAGACTACGTACTATGTATGTACTCCGGCTTTGAGATGCATGTAGACAACTGCCATTCCGGCCAACAGCCAACATGTCATGTGTCAGGTCAGCGTGTCTGTCTGCTTGTCCATTGTTTATAACAGGCAGTGATACCCCAACCAGCCTACTAGAAAGCATAGCGATGCTACCTTGGGTCGGCAGAACTCTACTCCGTCGCATGGACGGAGCAGTAGGCGGAGCAAATAGACAACTCAAGGGATACACGAGAGGCTAATCAGACTGAAGAAAGGAAATTAAGCCCCTTAGACAAAGACGAAAACAAAAAGAAAGAAGAGAGAGTGACACAAAACTTGGTAATCCGTAAAAAGTAAAACAGATGTCAAGAAATAGAATTGGTGGTCCAGCCAATCGCCACACTGGGATCATATCAGCTAGTCTTTTTCAAGGATGGCGCGACAGGACTCCACCCGTCGACGGGTGGCCTGCTAGCCCGAATAAGAATAAAATGTAATCATCGTTACACAGCGATACGCCTAAAATTACGTACATACATTCGGGATGCGACAGGCCATCTATAGCAGCCATATAAGATCACCCAATAGTCCCCGGTCTGACCTCCATGTTCATGAACCTGCATAAAAGACATCCGACCATCCGACATTGATCGACTCGACTTACCTCTCCTCCAGCACTCACTCCGCAAATTTTGGCCTGCGTATTTCGTACCAGGTAGCACCGCCGGTATCGAATTAGAAGACGTTTCTTCGGGCTATTTTAGCTACAGATTTTAGCATGGACTTGGCCGCTCAACCGCGAGGCCTGCTGCACTGATTCGTCTAATCAATCTATCCAGCCATCTAATTTTGTTCCTTCCCTTTTTTTTTGGGAGCAAACGGGCCCAATCGGCATACACATTTTGCAGGGGTCGACGCAAATCACTGATCTGTGCTTGCATCTGCCTAAGCAAGCGTACCTAGGCAAAAACTCTGACCATTGAGTACTGGTCCGTTGCAGCCTGACAGGTGATAAAAGCAAGGAGGCTAGACTGGGTTCATCTTTGTCGAGATGCAGCGCCGCTTTCAGTGATAATTTCGGCAGCGAGTCCGAAGACTACTAAGAAAGAGAGAGAAACTAATAATAGCTACTTCTGTACTACCATGTATCCTAATTTATTGAACAGTCAACAGTCAGGGTATCGGTGATCCCACCCTGTTCTTCTACGTCGTGTGACACAAATGACACAACGAACTGCAACAGTGGACTATCTTGTCCTCCATGTCATATCGAGGGGCGTAATACGGCATCGAATGCCGTGTGACCCGGATTTTGCTTATTTCCCACATATCGAGAACATGCGTCTTCAGAACGGGATTTCTCTGCATAAGTGTCAACCTTGGATACCGCCTGGATTCGTGGTACGTATGCTTGTGTGTTCTTAGCTCGTTTGGCGAGTCAGTTTCGTATGCACCGTATACATGAGTAATTTTGGTCCGTCAGCTACTACTTCACCAGGGATTGTAGATTACTGCGTGAGTATGGTGGCTAATCGTCGATCATGGGTACGTGCTCGGAGAGGAAAGCACCGAGCTAGGGCTAAATCACTCAACTGCAACAAACTGAAGATCGCTATTTCAGAAATACATACATATTAGCAAGTCAATGAGCACATCATTGCCTTCTTTGTGCGACAAATTATCTAGATTACTGGTATATTAGTAACACAGACAACAAAAATACGTATTCCTAGACCAAATCTCATTTTCTTTCTGTTCCTCTTTGTGTTCGTTGCTCCCTACTTGTCTCTATTTCTTTGACGTTTGACATATGGCAGATGAATTTCATCATAAACGCTGATAAAATGTCTCGCGATTTGTAATCTCGGATCACATCTTACTCGATCTCGGAAAATTCCGAAGGATTCTGTGCAGAATGGCTGCATCTGCGGTTCCAGACTTTACATTTCATTTTGAAGAATATATCTAAGTATTGTCGTCTCAGCAATGAAATGACTAGAGTGGGCGAGAATGAGTCGAATTCTCTCACTATCTGATCATCAAGTAGAATTGCATTTTGGGTCGTTGCTCAATTGAGCCCGGTTCTTAATCGTACTTCTATAGCTCTGTACTGTGCTATCTGACTCTGCTTTCATGTATGTGTGTTGACTAATTGACTGACTAGATAAGAGAAGTTGCCTACCTAGGTAAGTAATGCATGTAATCCAGCCAGCCCTACATACAACCATCTATGACTCATTCGCTGATTGATGGAAAAAAGACGTGGCAATATGCAGTCTGTTGCTATTCATAGTACAGCGCATGATATTACTATCAAGCAATCTGATTTGCTTGGCTTGGGTAATTGCGAAAATTTAATCGAATAGAACGGTACAGTTGTGCCTCCATTCACAAGGCTCTACATTAACTAGCTATGATCTATGCTGAGTAGCTGGTTAATAGACTGCGCGAGTCAGAACATATCAAGAAGGCAATCTATTTTCAAGCATCATAACAATGTCTGTAAGCCCTATTCAGCGGTATCGATTGGACACGTATAGAGCAACAGTTGAGCTAATTCTAGTCTTCATCTAAATTTCTGGACCAGACTGCGTAATCATTTCAAATGTATCATTACCTTGTTCAGCAGATACCGCCTATCTAGTTGAATTAGATCCGCGAACTACAATCGATAAAGCAGTTTTGACACTCAGAGTTAGCCTCTGATATGTGCAAGCTCGCAGGACCCGATGTCAAGATTTATTGGCATCCCAACTCGAAAATTGGAAGGTGGACTGAAAAAGTTGCTAAATATCGTTTACGCTGCGCCTGAAATAAGTATACTTTTCCTTCAGAAGTGCTGCCATAGCCAACCGCAGCAGATTCATCAAAAGAACAGTGTAAGATTCTAGGCGAGTAGATGAACCTCGTCAAATTTGTTCCGTTCTTGATATTGCTCATCAAGGTTTGGAGAATGTTGTGCGCTATTGCACTATGGTTCTCGACATGGAGATGTTCATTCGCTAATAATTTCCCAATAACTTCGGTCTATATAGAGAGAGTCGTGCTCTGGATGTTGTCTGTCCGGATGAGGAAATAGCCACGGCCGTTCAGGATCAACTTCGCCTAATTTGACAAGACCTAAATCTTCGTCTTTGGCGGCATATGGGGTGAGTTTTGTGAAATGTGTTCTATCGATCTGATCCTTCGCAAGAACCTTCATGGCAAGAGTCATTCTTGAAATGTATATTTTCGACATGAATGACACTCAAGGGATATCAGTGCTACCGTGTGTAGATTGAGTGTCCAGTTGGTTTACCTATGTAGCTTGTTTGCTGAATAACCATGCAATCTATCAACATATACCGTAAATTGCACAACATACAAGTACCTAGGGCATTTCGATTCTTGTTTGGCTTGAGTAGGTGCTGCTCGGTATGGAATTAGAGCTAGGGCTAGGGCTAAGTTTTATGCATCATTCTTCACGAGACTGTCCAGGCTAGGTGGATAGGGCAGTATCGACATAGCATTACTAACGAAGGGCGCAAGAAGGACTCCATACTGCATTGTGGTTCATTGATGAATTGTTTTAAAAAGCTGATCAACTTTCTTATCCTTGTATAGTACTAACTCCCCGGGGTGCTCCTTATCTCCGTTCTGATTTATCGTCCCGATTGGATCTACGTTCGTGACGAATCCGAAACCCTGTCACCACGGACTCGTTTTAAGGTGCGGCGGATAATCTTTTTGCATTCCAACTGATACCATTGGTTTTGAACATATTCATAATATAGCATCATGCAGTGTATGCAAGAGAAATGTAACATTGTACGGATTAAACAGACACGGGATCATACGAAAGCCAACTGAGACCCCAGGCCCTAGAAACTAGCTATAGTTGTTAGACCACCTATAAAACATCCAGACGGACATTTTTCAAGTTCTGCTTGAGTCTTTAACTAGGTCGATTTCCTTGATGCACATTTCAAATCATAAGTTGCTCTACATTTCCATGTCGTCGTCAATTATGTTTTAGGCAAACGTAGGTCCTTACTGACCAACATGGACTTGTACCTAGCACCAAGTCAAGAAGACTAGGGGCAAAGATTGAGGACAATGACAATCTCTACTTAATTGTTCCACGACGAACAGGGATTGCGTCGCATCTGCCAAGCCCACTACAGACGCCAGCGACTCCATGATGCTTGCTTTAATTGCTTAACGGAAGTACAAGGCCGGACAGATTTTGTGAATTTAAGGAAGCTGAACTTACCAATACTATCAAAGCCGAGCCTCAATTCATACCTAAATTAGAAGACTCGTTGATCATAGAGAGAAACATATAAAACTGCCCCTTCAGCTTGGGGGTTTTAAGGATAGAGCCATCTTCCTTGCGACCATTGTAGGTATCATCTGCGCCGATTTACTGAATCGTCGAAAAGTAAAAGTTCAATATCCCTGGCCTCTACAACCTTCATGGTCGATATAGGTACTAGTAGGGAATCAACTGGCGGGCTATGCTTGCATTTTTGCTGGGGTTCACGCCCGACTTTCCGGGTCTGATGTACCCCGTGGCTGGGTAAACGGGTAAGCATTGAGTTCATATCTCAGCGAGTGCTACGCATCTTTATACCTTTGACTGATTGTTTGGCTGTATGACGGGCGCTTTTGTGTATACAGTTGCTAGTCTGTTGGTTTCCGGAGGCGGAGGATATCGTTAATCAGACCGTCGCGAGTCGTGAATTGATTGATTCTCGGCCGGGAACTGAGATGGAGGATGAGAAGGCTTTGGAAAGAATTAAGGTGGATATTGCGCCTGATTTTTAGTAGGCTGCCATGTACATACATAGCCCTCGTACATATTTGGTCCGCCGGAAGCAATGTACGTCGTACATGAATGCAAACACGACAATATGCATATAGAAAAAAAGTATATGTACATGAAGTAGATTCGACCCAGCTCACAGGCTTTGTTTCTCTCAATAATGGAATGCTTATGCATCTCTGCACTTTCATAGAGGATGACGGTACATGATCCGCCTGTTCCGTGTTGACGTATCTTGCTTTTTGGTTCGTCCTAGTTGCAACTATCTCTTGCTTAGAGTATCCTGAAAGCTACACCGCGAATGGCATAGCGTGCCAGGCCTTTTGAAATCCAATGATACAGCTGGACAGGGTGCATTACATGGCTGAGCATATATCCACGCGCCACAGACAGATGTTCTTCGTTTTCGATTCTTCGTTTTCGAGGAAGGGATTCAAAATTTGATGCATGTGGGAACCGTAATCTTTGCAGGCTCTCAAGAAGAACGCTTCGCCCTAATTTCACCAATCGTGATCTGTAGGCCTTCAATCACAGCCTCCCATTCAACTCCATGTACCTTTTCCTTGAACTTTTCCAAATCCTCATCAACACCTTTCACAAACGGAATTTCCTTAACCAGAACAGGCTGTCCCATGTCGACTTCCGAAATCACATTATGTATCATAACCCCAGTTTTGGTGATGCTTCCTTCTTGCCAGGCCGCATGAGCGCGCTCAATGGCATCCTACAACCGTCAAAAACGTGATTAGTCCGACAAACCAGCTGGGAACAAAACCGATACGAAGGGAGGAATCACTTACCACCCCATTAAATGCCCCCGGCAGTGCCGGATGCAAGTTCACAATCCTAATGCCCGCCTCCTCCAACGGTACCAAAAACCTCGTCGACAAAACATGCATAAMCCCCAAACAAGCCACTAGATCTGGTTTATCTGCAATCACCAACCGCGCCAACTCCGCATCATATTCTTCCCTCGAAGCTTGTACACCCTCGGGCGTTGCTGGATGCGCCTTCTTGTATTTTACGAGATTGTGATATGTGGTGGGGATACCGGCTTTGGCGGCTCGTTCGAGGCCGTATGCGGTTTTGCGGTTGGAGAGGACGCGGACGATTTGCGTGTTTGTGAGTTTTGAGTCGGTGGGTTTGGCAATCTCGTCAATGACGGCCTGGAGGTTGCTGCCGTTGCCGGATATGAGGACTGTGAGGCGGATTGGTGTGTCCATTTTGTATATCGTATTTTTCTCCCTTTGCTATGCTTCACGAGGAATGAGGGTATGCTGTATTTCAACGTCTCGTTCCTATGGTGGTTCACTCAATTGCTGACAGAAAAGGTTCGTTGTTATAAAAATCTCTCAAAGCCTGACAATGGTATTCATTCAATTGATCACCGAGTGTTATTATCCCAAGTTGTTGCGGGTGAAGTCGTTTGATCAGAAAAAAGATTGCGGGGTTCCATTTAGTCACGCCGATTCCCCAGTTATAGGGTTAGGGTTATATCGCGCCCGCAGAACAGTGGACGATGAGATCAGAGCCCTAATCGACAACTGTGTGAATTCTCTGTGGAATTCTTGAGATGATAAGTCATGATCGATATGAAACCGGTGTATCTACTCTTAATGTGAACTATGTCTGTTATCGTGACTCAAAAATGCCCTGAGTGTAAAAAAAAAGAAAACTCGCAAACACCAATTACTGATGCGTCACGTCCAGTGTATGCAGCAGATCATGTGGTATCATAATAAGAAAAGCGCAGAAAAAATGGACGATGAAACGAAAGCAAGTCAAGAAACTATGACTACACACTCAATCAAGTAGATACGTCCTTCGTCAAAAAGTAATGTCAGCCTGGCCGTATGCTATCACTCCGAAGAACCCGCGCAAGAAAAGCCAAAAAAGAACGATCCCAAGTAATGCCGAAAATGAATTCGCTCGCAATGGTAAGAACGCCGCCGGATGGATGAGTCAAACAATTGTACATGAAAGTCGCAATGTAAGGTTGTTTCATAATGCTAGATCAGAATGCCTAGGATGGTGAAATTTAGGCAGATGCTTCCTGAGGGGGCGCAGGATTTGAGCTAGAAGAAGACTCTGTAACTCCTTGACCACGGCAAAGAGGACAAGAATTTCGTCCGGTAGTCAACCACTAAAAGAATGATTAGTAACTGGTCTATAGCTAGAAAGGTCGAATGGAATATAAAATACCTGGTCTATGCACTCCTTGTGATAAAGGTGCTTGCACTTTGTAAGTTGCCGGACTTCTTCTGCGGCCTCATAATCGCTGAGACATATCAAACACCTCTCGGTTTCGCCAAGATTAATTGTCTGTTCGCCTTCCAGAGCTTCTGCTACTAGAAATCCAGCATACTCAACAAGGCGGAAGAGTCCACCTGCTGAGGTGACATCTGCCTGCGTAGCTACAGGGGGTTTCGCGGGACCAAGAAGGGATGAGAGAAGAATCATGTCTTCATAAGTCGGGTTCTGCAAGATATATTAGCTTGACACTCTTACACAAGCAATGTCTTGTATAATTGATAGAGAACTTACATCAGTGAACAAGCTCGGAGTCGCAAAAGCTGGGTGATTCTCCGAGAGATTGGTACCAACAACGTAAATGACCCAGGTACGGCCTCCAGATGGTGTGGGCTGATCAGGTTCCACGACACCATGACGCCTGGATGATCCTGAACCGAACTGACGATGGCGAGCAAACTCTGAGTCACTGCGGCGTCGCTGTCGTACACCACTGCCAGCAGTAGGAGGATACGATTCGGATTGAGTAGATTCTTGTAGCGGTTCTTCATGGACCTGAGGTAAGAAATTTGGAGACATGGCTGATGCGGATGATGGCCTGCGGTTGGGGGTGGAGTTTCCAGAAGATAATGTAGTAGGTACCTCAGCCGGAGTGGAAGGTGGAGGATATGGTCCAGGAGGGCTGTCCCCTAGCACACTTGGAAGCGCTGGAGAAATTGGTTCCAACGGGTTTCGGAAAATGCCTGATGATGGACGAGAATGTCCGCTGTTCAAATTGTCCGTAGAAGAGCTAACGCCTCCATTATTGAAATGTGAGGTTGGTACTCTAGATGCATGGTTGCCGAGATTACCTCCTTCCTGGGTAGTATTGCCATTAATCGGAGGAAGATGTGGCAGACCGAGGAGTGCATCTAGACCAATGCCCCCGCCATTTTGAGGATTACCGAGTGGTCCGTTGGACGGAACAGAGCGGACTCCTACAACAACTAAGGTGACAGTCCGACCTTCTGTATTTTCCTCACCACCATCCTCCATGTCCATCTGTTCATTTCCACGACTTGCGTTTCGACCAGCTGGACTATCGCTATTAGAGAAGCGGAAAACTCGGAGGAAGTTCAAAGGAGTTGGAGCACCCGGCTGGGAAGCGTTGCGATTTCCCGAAGAGTCCATCTGATTGTCTTGAGCTGATGTAGCTTGTTGTAAACTCTGGAAAAGACTCTCTAACGATGCGTCAAATCCTTCGTTACCAAGTGACTCAATGTTAGGAAGCGTAGGGGTCGTGTTTCCAGAGAGCTGGGCCGCGATTGCAGCTGCGGCTACTTGTAATACGCGGGAGAGTGGCGTCTGCTCCTCTCGGCGCGGAAGTCGCGAAGAGCGAGTGCGTAAAATACCGGGAAGACGCCGAATGGGACCAGGCCCTGAACCTTGTGACGTTCTGGGAAGAGGTATCGAAGAGAGTGGTTGTAAATCAGTCACAGAGTGTTGCGCTGAATCAGACGTAGGAGTTACATCCAAATCCATACCCATGTCCATCGGGTCCATTGAGGGGAGTAACTGATCCATGCCCTCTGTGACGCTCGAACGTAACGGCCGTTGTGGTGGGATTCTCGTCTCCTCCGGGTCTGGCAAGGTCGGGGCTGCACCGAAGATGTGAGAAATGGGTGTGGATAGTGAATTTCGAACTCGACTCAGACGTGGGCTACGACGCCACCCTCTCTCTGAAGCAGCGACGTTACTGACGGCTGGGTTGACGTAGGTTGGATTAGGAGGCGAATCGGGAATCAGGGCTGAATCACCTCGTGGGAGAGGATAGGGCCCGCGTATTGAGCGCCGTCGGCTAATACCACGGGATCCTAGAGCGTTGAACGGTGAAAACCGACTGGGATTGTGGATAACCTCAGTTCTGGGAACAGGTCTCATAATCCGACCATTTCGATGTGCAAGTCCCTCTGCTGCAGTTTCTTCCTCACTATTGAGTAGACCTCGTATGACAGAGTTCGGGAGAATGCGTGTTCCTAGCCTAGACATCGTAGACTGTCTTCTTGATAAGAGACGCGAAGCTGCTGAAGTGCTGCGGGGAGGTGCCTGTTGGACGGGTTCGGGGAGCGTTCGAAGGTCATGTGAGAAGCTGGAGGTACTGTTTGACATCGTGGTGTCGTTGAAACCTGGATTAGGTGTATTTGATGACGATGGATCTGTTATCAGGTTGAAAATGTTGTTTGAGTTCGACGCAAACCCCTCATCGTGAGGGGGCTGGCCGCCCACCGATCGATCCGACATCTCTTGAGCGTTCAGAGTACCGCTGTGGCCATTGCTGTGATGGGGGGAGGAAAGAGAAGCTCGTGAGGGGTGTTCTGGCCGTTGATCTCGCTGCGTGGACGATGTCTGTCCCATAGTTCGAATGTATCGTAGAGATATGCAGGTACTACTGCAGAGACGTGGCGATAGTTGGTGAAGTGAGGGCAACGACGGGCCTTACTGCTCCATGGGAGGCGGTAAGGTCCAACAGTGCAGGCGTCTGAGGATGAGGCTCCGTGGACACGCTTGGGCTGATCCGTATATAGTGGGTGGCGACGCAAGTCAAATGTAAGCGGTTTTTCCCTCGCCCTGTGCTTTGTAATAGGAAGAAGCGAGCGACAAGACGTGTAATATCGATGATGTTGTTGTTGTTGTCGTGTTGTCGGATTAATAATGAGCATATGAGACGATGATTCCGCCTGTTCCCCGTCGTTCTGTCTGAGACCACGGGGCTGTTTGTCCTGTTTGTCTGCCGGCCTCGTCTTATCGCTGCCTGAGTCACGCCACTGTTCCGTCTTTTTGCTAAAAAGGGGATTTAGTGGGTCAGATAGTAATAAACGACAATTCATTGGTTGAGTAACTGATCTCCAAAAAGTTAGTCTGTGTTTACTATCGATTTTGCAGACTAAGCGCTCCACTCCGATCGAGCTAAGATAAAGCTAGCTTCCTAGTCAGCCGCGTAACGCAGGACCCTCACAAGGCTAAGCTTCGAATTCCGACACTTGTCCAACTGGTTTCCTTGTTCCTCCTCCAAACAATGCGAGGGATTTGATATCTGATTAATCCCCCACGTAACCGAGATATCCGGTATGGTAGAACCCGAGACGGATCGTCCGGAAAATGCAGAGCAAACATCCGAACAACCGCCGGGTGATGAGGCTGGACCGGACATCTTTGAAAGGCGCGACTCATTAGACTCCGAGACAGGGCGTGCTGTAAATCATGATGCAGGCACTGGCGCATCATCAGGCGATGATGTTCCGCTTGAACTTCCAGTTGAGCTGGCGAGCTTGAGTGATAGGTATTAAATGATAAGATGTTTTGATTGCTATTCTTCTAAACTGATTTTGTTGGTGTTAACAGATTCGTCGAGTCTCTAAGTGCTAGAGTACATACGCTCCCTCCATCCATCGAAAGAATATCGTCTCTATTTCAAGATTTCTATATCAAGACCGACTCACACATTGCCACACACATCTCGACTCTTGCGTCCCGCATCAATCGAGATGGCTCACCGTCCAAATCAGGTCCCACCACGGCAACACAGCAAATGTTGACTGTTTCCGAAATAGCAGAAAGACGGAAAGCACGAAAACAGTTACCATTGAAACAGCTGGCACTGGAAGAAACTGTCGAAAGACGAGTCTGTGAAAAGGTCTATGACAAGCTATGGCGCCACAAAAGTACCATGGATGAAGTGAGAGATGAGAAGCTACGCTCCAAAACCGCAGCCCTATCGCTCCTGGGTATGGGGTTGAGGGACTTGGGCATCGAGGTGACCGAAGCAAATGAAGAAAAGGAGAAAGAAGCGAACACGATACTTTCAGCCGCTGGTGACGACTTGAAGAAGATGAGTGACGCACATTACCCATTGGGCAAACTTCAACATTTGATCTCGGCACACAAATCAATTGTGGATGCATTGACGGTGCTTTTGGGATCGTCGTCCTCTGCAGATGAGATTCTGCCAGCTCTTATATACACGTTGATCACGTCGCCTCCGGAAGGCATAAATGTGATCAGCAATTTGTCATTTATCCAGCGTTTCAGATCTGTCGGCAAAATAAACGGAGAGTCAGCTTACTGTCTGACAAATCTAGAAGCTGCAATCAGTTTTCTAGAGTCTGTTGATCTCAGCAGTCTCAACACAGATGCCCCCGCCGACGGACAGCCTCGATTGCTCAACGCAGCAACAACTCCCCCGGCCGAGCTTTCCAGTACCGTGCGGGCTCCAAGGTCAGGAAAAGTGACGCCTTCTGGGACACTTCCACGAACTCAGCTGTCTGCACCAGCAGCTCAGCAACGGCGCTTGAGCAATCTTTTCCAACCGCCTGCAAAGGTGTTGGGTGCTGCTAACGATGCGGTGCGCAATACCGCCGACCAGGGACTAAAGAATATTAGCAATACCTTAGACAACAGCTTCAATTTCTTGTTTGGGCGACTGAAAGAAATGCAAAACAATCGTGGAATCAATGAGCAGACTCTAGTACCAAAGACATTAGACGAAGCTCGACGTCTTGTGACGAGTCCAACGGTGCTGATTGAGAGCGATTTGAGGAATGAGGAAACCTCTCTGACGCCTGAATCGAAGGAAGGGTTTATGCAGCGGCCGACGCTCCAGCCTGAGGACAGACGGTATACTGGAAGAGAGGGCCGGAGAACCCCAAGAGATCGAAGCGCAGATAGTGCTCGAAGTAACGGGACAAGTGGCACTCAGAGAGTTAACACACTCCCTGCAGGGCGCCTCCATAGTACCTCCACACCAAGTCCAGGTGGCGGTGGCTCCTTCACCTTTAGCCCTAGCCCAGTGACGACCCCATTAGAGTCAATGAAGAACTTTGGAAATACATTCAATCCCCTGAGCCATATCCCAGGAATGATTCGAGGATTCGGCCGCAATGCCCCAGAGACGCCACCATCTGCTCCTACTACCGCTACCACCACGGGTACACTGCCCGAACGACCTAGATTGACGTCTTCTTCAAAGATAGACGCAAGGTCCTCACCGCTGACAACATCAACAATACCATTTCCGGCAGCAGATTTATCACAGTCGGATCCACCGATTCGACGATTCCTTGAAGTCGATGATCCGCAAGATCTGCGTATTGGTGATGTCGCCGAACTGTTGCAGGATTATAAGAGGCTTGCGGCTATGTTTGTTGTTGATCGGGCTTCGAAAGAGTGATAGAGCTGGCTATTAGAGTTTTCAATTCTATTGTCTATGGTTTATATGTCAGATTGATGCATTTGCGTGGTGTTATTGTTTTAGTCATAGTGTTATTAGTCACTTAGGCGCTAGGAATATGAGTGAGCTCTGGAGGTATTACGAATCATCAAGTATACGTTCTAGTATTATACAAACGAGGGCATGCAAATCAGGGTTTTCGGCAATTGTAAAGTTGTATGCTGCAGCGAGACAAACGCCGAGCAAAATGCACTGACAAACGATAACAACAGCAACCGTAGAACAAATTAGAAGATCAAGGATTTAAAGCCCTCAAAACCCCCAGCCCACCCTCTTTCATCTCCACAAACTTCCTATCTAACTCCCCCGCTTCATTGATAGTCTGATCATGCCTCCTCCGAATCTCCGCCTCAAACAACGCCGTCGTCCTGCGCCTCGCCTGTCTCGAATCTTTAATCATCTTGAGCATTTCGCCCATTTGATCGATTAGTTCGTCGCCCAAGAGTTCCCAGTCGGTTATTGGCATGCTGGAGATGTAGGTTTGGCGAGCTGTGGGGTTGCGTAGGGCGGTCATTATGTAGGCTAGTTTTTCGGAGGGGGAGGTTGATGTATCTGGTGGCGGAGGGGGAGGGGCTGGTGGAGATGGAGGKGGAGGAGGAGATGGTGCTCTACTCTTTTTGGGCGTTGTCGTCGTTATTCTTTGATCTTTGAGGGGGCTGTTGCTGCCGGGGCTGTGGTCAAAGGGTTCTTTTTCGAGTTCCGAAAAATCCATTTGTTGGAGGACTTCGTCTGGGTAATCTGATGCTAGTTTCTGATAGCGCTTGTCTATGCTTTCCGATGATGTGATGATTGATAGTGATAGTTTTCTCTGTGTGATGTCTGTAGTTGTCAAGGATTGGGCGTTGACACTACTACCGGAACTTTCATCGTCGATATCCACGCTGATCTCTTGAGTCTCTTCCTCTGCTTCTTCATCGTCGTCAAAGCTATCATCCGTTTCGTCCAAAAGACGCCTAGCTTTGTTCGACGGAGTTGCTTGGTACTTCTGTCCGCTTCTTCCACTTTTCTGAGGACTAGCAGAGCTGACACGTCGTTGTTGTCGCTGTCTTTGTTGCTGTTGTCGTCGTGAGTCAGGCTGTGGCCTGGGACCACTGACTTGCCTCGTGGGAGACGTCTGTTGCGATATAAGCCGCTCATAAGATCGCTCACTCTTAAAATTGAATCGATTATTGGGTGTTGTAGCCAAGCTCTGAGGAAAATTGCTCGCTTTACTGTACCCAGTGCGATACGGTATCTGTACCGTCCTGGTGTTGGCTGTCGTCGCAGCTTCTTTGGTAGATGCCATCCTTGCAGAACGAAGGCCGGGATCACTATCACTGCGTTGAAGGGACATTCTAGATTTGGCGCGAGGAATGCGCGAAATGGAGTTCCTCTTGTTACTCGCTGCTGTGGCGGATCGAGGTATCTCCGCTGGATCCCACTCAAGTGTCTGCCGGCGGTCATTGCCCTTGTAGACATTGGCATAGTTGATATCCTCGGTCTCTGCCAACGGAACAACCGTTTTCCTGCGATGTCTTGGAGCTTTCGCCGGAGTCTTGACCGCTTCTTCAGCTCCATAATAGTCATTGCGATCTATGGGGTGATCGGATTCAGAAAGGACACTTGCGTCCCAATCCTGCGAGATCGCATCATGATCAAACATACCTCGGCCAGCATGATCTCGATCTCGGGCCTCAACATCCGCAATACTGGTCAAAGTAATAGTCGTATCATCAGCATTTTCAATATCAGTATCAAAAATGCTTTTCTCAGGCTGCTGTTGTGCTGTTGTTACTGATAAATCATACTGATGCGGTTGTTGACTGCCGAATCCAAAGTCCTGGTACTGAAAGGACATCGACGGCCTCATGAACCTTGAAGATGAAATGCGATTCCCAGCTATGGATCTGTCTATTTCGGTGGGCTTTTGTTGTTGAGGACTGTGTATTCTGACATCCCTGGGGTTTGGCGCATAATATTGGTCGCTTCTTGCACGAATGTACTCCTCCAAGCCCATTTTTTCTTCGACTATGAGCCGTAACAGCCAGAATATGTGCGGTGTATCGGGTTCTTAATACAAATCAATCATCATGCAAACAGTTTATTTCGGATTCTCTTGAAAGCTTTCTTTGTTGTCGTTTTTATTTATTTTGATGATGGGTCGGTCTAAGCTAGTGAACAGCTAGTTAAGTCGGAGCTATCGATTAGGCGCGGAGCTGCCGAGCCAGCCCGCTGTCAGATTTCAGGGCACGTGATCAGATTCTACATCTATGTCTATTATTATTTACATGAGAAACAACGAGGGCTCTGGTATAAGCAGATCAGGGGTATCACATAAAATGCCTTGGTCGAATCATAAGTCAGGATCTTCGGTGGCTTGGCTCGCGCCTTGCTGTCTCGCCTTTGCCTTTTCGAATAATTCGTTCGCCTTGGAACTTTCTATGGCCCGCCTCTCCAAAGCAATGTGCAATTCTCTGCTTGCAAGAAGACGACTAGCAGAGGCACTCCTGGACATCCTGGTTTCGTCATCAGACATATCAGCGTCTTCATCATCCTCTTCCTGACGGCCCAATGACGACAATTGAAGGTCGCCAACCCACAAAGCCACCATACCGCGAAGTCGCAAAAGTGCCGGACTGTCGGAATATGGCGGTCCAACCATGATTTCATCCATACGAGCTGCAATCTCTAGTGCTCCAGCTAATTCCTTGCGCCTAATACCGGCGACTCGGGTCATCATGCCTCCGTTTCGATGCGCGTTATTGTCGTCGTCTGACATGTTTGCGCCGAAATCTGCCGATGGCTCCGAGTCCATGTCATCCTCTTCCTGCTCAAGAGCGTCTCTTGCCACTTTACTCTCGTAGTCGACAACATACACCCAAAGACTAAACATAGCGGGATAGAACTGTAGAGAGCTGCTAGCCGAACTGCGAGCAGACCGAGATGGATATTGAATGATGAGTCTTTCGTAGTAAGCTTTTGCTGCTTCGAATCCTGGACGTGTGAAGATATGGCTGGKGTTATTTGACGCATTTGTGCCAGCGGKGGTCTGGCGAAATAATATCTCAGCACCGATGCCCCATCGACCTCCGTGACGTATGTCCACCGGGTCCTTACCGAACCTCTCATGGAGCAGCATGCCCCATACGCGACCAGCGCGCACAAAGTCACCTTCTAAGAGAGATCGGTGTAAGATAGTGGTGAGAACACCCAAGTGCTGAATATGCAGGGTATTTTCAGTTGTCTGAGATCCAGGTAGATAGATAGGAGGCCACTGTTGTTGCAACTTTCGCGCTAGTCTCTTGAATCGTTTTCTCTTCTTGTCTCTATCTTTTATAGGTGCGTGGGGAAAATCTCCTCCAGGAAGCTCTTGGTCCAGCGAAAGACCAGCCACTCGGTATTGATGTGCTTCATTAGGAGTGAGAACGGGATACTGTGTGAGATTTTGACTTGATTCGACGCCTGATTCAAAGTCTGTAGTTGCCAGGTCATCGCTGTCTTGTGTCAAGTCCACCACTTCCGACCGGCGTCGTTTTCGCCCGACCTTATGTTCATCTTGGACTTCGAACTTCTGTACGCGGGTACTGGATGTTTGCTGCCAAGACTGAAGAGGCAAAGAAAACACGGATGTTTTTGGCTGGATCATGAATCCCAGAGACAGACTGATGTACAGCTACCGCACGTGTGGTGGATCTGGATCATATCCGGAGTGACAGATACAGATTTTCAAGAACATGCGATGATCGTCCACAGTGGATAAATGATTGGATGTCACGGCTAGAATGGATGCTCAACTGACCGGTGGGGATCACGTGTCGATTACCTTTCTGGCTCGTGCGCCGATAGCAGGCTTGGCGCGTGACGGCCGATAAGTACGCCGATAAGCCCAGCCGCTCCTACTGTGTCTGCCTCACTCTCTCCATGCGTCATCTCTGGCCGATGCGAATGGCTTACACTCCTTGACACGACTCCCTCGAGTCACTGTGCGACCATATTCATATCCTGCTTAACCATATTAATTACTCGACCACAGAATCGCTTTTGGTCTACACGTTTCAGCCCGATGAGGATAGCCAGCCTGGTCCTCGGTCTCCAGGCGGGCCTCGCCATCGCCACCGTTCCTGGATCGCCTGCAGCAGACTATCAGAATCCCATCCTTCCACCACACATCCCTCAAGGGAATGACAGACCGAGTCCGATAGCACTGAAGCATGAATTTGTGAGTGTTGTGAGCCCCTTTAATAAAAGCTCCTGCTCATGCCTTTCTACAGAAACTACGTCATATCTTTCACCGCGGTACCTACGAGCAACCGGACCTACATCTCAGGCTAGACGTGACACCGGACACAAAGCTATCGATCCTATCCGAAGATGAATATCTACCGCAACCCGTTGATGAATTAGAACCCGGATTATTTGCCTTATCCAATGGCCTGACGATAGAAAGATTGGCGGACCGCCGGCCGTCCTTGATCGAGAGCTACCTAGCACATGCAAGGTCATCCGGTGCCGCCATTATACTGTCCGACGATTCCTGGATAACGGAAGAGATTGATGGGCCTAATATGACCGATAAGCAGACTGTCTTGACGTTTGCTAAGATGACTGCAAATGATTACATCGAAGAACCCGGCTCTGGCGATTGGAACGAGATCAGCGGTCGATTTAATTGGTCGGCGAGCTTTGGATGGCAGCGAGATGGACTTAGGGGTCATGTGTACACCGATGAGACAAACAGTACCGTTGTCATATCTCTGAAGGGTACTTCACCGGCTCTGTTTGACGGAGCTGAGACGACTACCAATGATAAAGTAAACGACAACCTATATTTCAGTTGTTGCTGCGGCCAAGGAGGCTCTTATTTAACACGCCAAGTCTGTGATTGCTCTACGGATGTGTTTACTGCCAATGTGACTTGCATCACTGAGGCCATGCAAGACGAGAGCCGGTACTATCGCGCGGCGATTGAGCTCTATACCAATGCTACTGAGCTCTATCCGAATTCGAGTGTTTGGCTTACTGGTCACTCACTGGGAGGGGCGATGAGTGGTTTACTTGGCCTTACATTTGGTCTTCCAACCGTAGCATTTGAGGCGATTCCTGATGCACTACCTGCGGCAAGGCTGGGATTGCCCACGCCACCCGGATATGATCCTCAACTGCCTCAGAAGCGGAGGAACACTGGTCTCTTCCATGTCGGCCATACTGCCGATCCTATATACATGGGTTCATGTAATGGTGTGGGTGCTACTTGCACCTGGTTTGGATATGCCTTGGAATCTGCATGTCACGCTGGGAATATGTGCGTATACGACACCGTTGAGGACAAAGGTTGGAGAGTGGGTATTGGCACCCATCGCATCAAAAGCGTGATCAAGGAGGTGTTGGAAGCGTATGATGAGGTACCACCTTGCGTTCCGGAAGTGGAATGTTACGACTGTCAGCTATGGAAGTTCTATAAGAGCAACGGGTCTGAGATTACAACGACCACAACAACTACTACCACTTCCACATCAACCTCAGCTACTAGAACGTCGACCTGTGAAACACCGGGATGGTGGGGTTGCTTGGACAAAACGACCACAAGGACGTCAACAACGACTACCACGACCAGCATCTCAACTACTACAACTACAACCACAACCTGTAAGACTCCAGGTTGGTTCGGCTGCAAAGACCCCACAACGACGATCAGCGCCACAAGTATCTTCCCTTCCGCAACATCTCCGACGACACCCACCCCTACATCTACTTGCCACGACCCCGGCTGGTTCGGCGGCTGTCGTGACCCAACAACAACCACGACTTCCGGGCTGAGCCCGACGGTAGATTCACAGTGGTACAAGAACGTCCCAACGTCTGTCAAGCATGCTATTACTGCAGCTCCCATCATATAGTCTATTTTGAAGATACATATACCGTTTGGATTTCGACTCATGTCTTTTGAGTCTGGCGTTTGATCCGTTGATACCTTTCCTTCATCCTTGCATCTTGTTCACAGGCCAGGCGGAGCTCTAGCGCATTGTAATATATACATTCATATAACAATGAAATTGTTTCTCTTTTATTCAGAATTTCTCTATACAATATTTTCTGTGTAACTCTTTTTCCATCCAGGGCACCGCCATTTGACAATTAAACACACCGAACCTCTATAAGGCACCGAGTCCTTCACGCCCACACGTAACACAAGTTCATTGTTTCCAGCCGTTTGACGACATCAATGCCATCACATGTGCTACGTACGACAAAGGACTTTCAGACACACCTATTCAAAGGTGATTTCCGATATATTGTTACCAGGCAATGCTGGTGGGGCCCGTTTGCCCTATGGAGGGTCGCGCATAAATAGTTGTCTCCCCTCTTTCTTTCCTGAAAATGTTCATCATCTTCTTCTTCTCTAAAAAAGAATACATCTTAGGTATAGAGTCTCTGGGAGAAGATGAATGTGTCTCTATTTCTATATACTACAACGGTCGCCGTCCTGGTCGAGTGACAATTTTCCCAAGTGTCCAGATGTCTAGTCATTATACATCTGTGTCATTCGCATCACCTTCATTCGAGTTGGAAAGGATTACCTTTGTCTCGTCGCGACTCGCGGCCTCACACCACTCTGCATATGGTGATCCACCAATGAGACTCAAGTTATTACCATCTTTGACTCAGATAATGAAGAATGTGAGTGCGATGCGGATCGGGCTTCCGGACGTGATACATTCTATGAGTCTACATTGATCCCCATACTTTATTTGTCAAGCTTTCTAATGCAGCTATCAGGATCTCCGACTTTACCAAAAGTACCGCACTGAAGGAACTCGATCCTCGGCTTTTCGACCACCGTCTAGCAGCAAGAATAAATCCGAATATCAGTATCCAAGGCCTTCGGTATCCAGCATGTCCATATCGGGCTTTGGGAACCACACGTATGATGATGATGGGAGAGCACGATACTTCAAAGTTATCGTGGCGGCTTGCTTGCAGACGAAATGAGACTTCGCAAGGTAGATAGCTCCCCATTTGACCTTGGATCACTGCCTATTCAGTACTAACCTCTGATACTAGACTTTCGAGGTTCCCCTACAAACAATGATTGTGAACTTGAAGGACTGTACCTAACAAATTCTGTTCTTTGCGAGTCAGTATCATTCGTCTCCCAATCATTTCTCTCACAGGTCGTGGAGGCGAGATTCGATCATGTACGGGCTTCTAGACTTACAGGAGATGGAAAGCATCTGGCCCAAGAACAGTCAGGGGAATGTCCGAGCAAGGATAAATATCTTTTCCAATGCCCTTGCGAATCCGTCTCTCTGGCAGAAGAGGTGATACAAAGTCGACCACCTGCACCCAGTCTATTTCTCACTTTACCAAGACTCCTTTCCAATTTGCTGACGGAAATGCACACGACTTTCGATCTTGAACACGGTATTGCTATCGCAGAAAATGAGTTTTTCAAGTCAATTATAGGAATGGGCCATCAAAAACTGGAGCTGTCCATGACTAGGAAGACAGATGATGTCTTCCAATCGAGATCATATCTAGAGAGAGCTGCCACTCTTCTCACATACAATCGGCTATGAGGGAGATAGACGTCCACATCGACTTCGAAATCAAAGACTATCTACAAAGTGCTCAGAAGGACCATTCTCAGGTGCAGAGGACTTGATTGTTGTGAGGGTTTGAACTTGCTGGTACGGCGAGCGCATGAACCAGCTCGAAACCACGCCCACGAGTTCGGTGATATATTTCTTGCACTTCTCGCACGGTGTTACGACAAGGAGAATATCGGGATGGGAACGATCAACCCCTCACGAAACCATAACCTCCCCTCATATGCCTGGAACCACACTCGCATCTTCTGGGCCGAGCCACGTGTCTACCGGAGCATCGCTTCAGGGAGAACGTTGAAGGATCCAGCCATACCAAGCTCCGCGATCTACGCCGTCACTTCGATCCTCTATCGGATGCTAGGAATCTCCGTAAAGGTTCCAATATTTCGATTAGTAGCCAGGTCATGCCCAGTATGAATATTTGGGCTGAACGCGGCCTTGTCGATGGCACTTGCGTACTTGCGAGATGTTTGAATGCCCGATGTGCCACAGACCCATTTTAAAGATGAACCGGGATCGGCATAAGTCGGAAGATTGTGATTACCGGATGTGCGGCAAATGCAAAAGGAGGTTTCCTCGACTTGAATATGAATCTTATGTTGAGGCCTGTCCATTTGGGCCACATGCGTGCCTTTAGCATAGTTCAGGATATAGTTTGCTTTATAGACTGCGCCGATCCTTGCAAGGAGCCTTCGTATGCCTTTCTCAAATATGAGGTTTGATAGCAGCAACCTATCGAGAATGTATTGGGATAAAGTCATTCAGGATTCATATGGGCGGTAGACTTCGATTCCCAAGACCTTCCCGAATCCACGCCAATCATTGACGATGGATTAGTCATTGATGTTGAGGCGTATTTTGGTGGAAGCTTCGTTATTGACGTGCGATCAGTCCGTTCCACGCAATCGCAACATCAAGGACAACTGGTTTCCCGCTTGTAAGCCCTAACATACAGCTTAGCAAGCAAAGCGAACCATATCTCGACCAATATGATAATTAGGAACCTAAAGCGAAATCAAGTTATTTCTACTATACTCCTTTTTATTCTCCCAGAATTTATATATACAATTATTGAAGGGGAGGTGCTGACATATTCTTACCAGGCAATGCTGGTGGGACTTTGCCCTAGGATCGTGTACATTGCTTGTCGCATTATTTGAATGGCTTCTTCCAATCAGCCATGGCTCCAGTATGAGAATATCCATTGCCAGTATTGATTCCAAAGTTATCTTGGTGGTTAACTGGTGTGTTCGTGCTGGATGCGAGGCGAGTTTTTGTTGCATGAGGGACGTCGGCATCGAAGTGTTGGACCGCGAGATGTCTTCGGTCAGATGGGCGGCTCCTGAATTGACGTTGTTGTGCGTGATGCAGTCTGAATTTTTGGGTCCAGAGATATCGCCATTGCGTAGTGCATTTTCATGTGTGTTGGTATGGCTCCCCATGCCCAACGTTGGGCTGTTCTGAACAGGAAACGATTAGTTAGGATTGATATCCGGAGCGCGTGATATGTTTTCAACGTATGAAAAGCGGACACGTCTGTGAATGCGATCAGTGATAAGTTTCGGAATGGAGCATGCTTTCAATGCAGCGTGATTTTGAAAAATTCGACGGGGTGAATGTATCTGAGGAGGTGCAAGCAGAGAATCTTCCGCCGATCTGAGATGCTTCAATTCCATTGTTCACAGATCGACCAATCAGAGCTGGGTTGCTGCTGCGTCTTGTATACCACATATATGTACTAATACTACCTATTTTATGGTAAATATGCGCGCTAATCGCCTTTGTGGATACTTCCTAGGTAGGCACTTGCTTAAGGTGAAAATACATTCCGGCGCTGCCTTATAGTATTCAGCGCCGAAGCAATTAGATATACTTTAAAGTCATTCCCAGGCCAAGTCTGGTAAAAAAAGATCTCACTCGAGATCCACTATTCGATATTAGAATAAAAGAGCATAACATTCTAAATAGCGGAGTAAACCATGAGAGAAGAGAAGTAAGTCAATTCAAATAATCCCGAAAATTTATGTAGCTCGTTGCCCTAACTCGAGTCTCAAATTTCGAGTATGGTCATTTCTATACCACGCGAAACACCGCAACTTGTTCCATGTATACTTTCTTCCACCATGATCAAAGTTGGCGTCGGAACACCCTTGCATACGCTCCATCACGCACGATTTTTACCATATTACTGCCGCTCGTGGTTGCATTCGAGAGAAACAGGACGATTAGCGACACCAGAGTCATCGAAAGTATTGTAGAGAAAAGTAACGGTTTCACTCTATTGGCTTGATCCTACAGAGAGCGTCAGAGAGATTTGGCACAACTTTGAGGCTGTAAAGGAAGATTTGAGCTTACCTGGTAGATCCAGTCACTTGCCCCTCCTACGTGTGTGTCATACCACATTTGAAAGGAACTCCAGGGGTAGATGAACCAATTCTTGCCAGAATTCCTGTCAATAAAGTACTGTTCATCCAATGGTAAGTAACAATCTGTTTTCAATGATCATAGAGAGAGATGTGGACTTACGCTAAAACAAGAATTGTCAAAAATGGTCTGTCCAATTGCCGCATGCAAGTTTTCGTTGTATTGCCTTTCACTTTCGACTTTGACCTCGACAGAGGAGACCTGGTCGCGTAAAACCGGTCTGATAACATGGCAGATAAGGTCGACATAGCTGAAGGTATGTTCTAGCCGAGTCTTGAATATCATCGGGGGATCCGGTTGACTTACTTTTCAATAGAATAGATAGTAGACGTATGACCCTTGCCAGAGTTCGGCCCCAAGACATAAAAGAAGTTTGGGAATTGTGACATTGCAATTGTCTTGTAGGCTTCTTTATAGCCGTACTCTTCCCAGTGCTGTGACCTCGTACGACCACACCGACCAACGAGCTCTACATCGTATTGGGTCAAGGAAAATCCGGTAGCGAGGAGCTATGTTGTACAAAGACCGCAGCCGTCAGCACTTTTCAAGGATGTATACTTTCCTATGCTTCTTTGATGGAGAATCTTGGAATGGATAATACTCACGATTACATCTGCAGGATATCTCCTACCTGACTTTGTCACGACTGCATGCGATTGCAACTCCGTGATAGGATCGTCTGTCAGGCGGAAATTGTCTCGCTGAAGACAGCTTATGTATTTGCTGTTGTCAAAAACGCGGCGCTAACGGTAGCCTATCTTTAGCATAGGTGCGTTGTATTTGGATGACTAGAGAAACTTGGAAGAGACATACTTTGCATCCGATTTCATACTTCGGGGAGAGTAGCGGCCAATACTTTTCTGAGATACAAAATTTGTTAGCAGGAACCACAGCATGTCTCAGGGTATATACTTTCTTATCACCTACCAGGTGCGTTCTCTCGAATATACGCTTTGCTTCCCTTGGCTGACTGGTTCCGGTATTTCGTGCCACCATTCAGGCGGAATCGTACGGCGGTGCTTTCCAAGTAGAGAAAGACGAGGAATCTGAAAAGCAGTAGGGCACCAGGCACATGGCGAAAAACAAGGCGCCATGTGTCGTTGACTTTTAGATTGTCGTTTTGCAGATAGTGTTGCGGTGTCTGTCCATATCAGAATGTTATATACCTCGACGATTTCTGAGTGAAATGACACCACATACCCGAATAAATTGTGAGATGCTTTTGGCTTGTCCGATGATGGCCGGAATGAGTTGGGCGGCTGAGCCTAACAACCTTTAAATTCTTGGACAAATCAAAGATAGGGATTCAACGTACATCCATTACCAACAACAATCACATCCTTCTGTGAAAGTGACAAATCCGGTTTCCATCGTGCGGTATGAACAATATCCCCTTGAAATTCAGCGACTCCTGGAACATCGAACGGGTTTGGATTGACCAGCCCTCCCACGGCTGAGATAAGAATACTGCATTCCTGATACTTGATCTCCCCTGTCATAAGGTCTCTTAGCTTGACAAGCCAAGTACCAGATGAGTCTTGCCAATATGCCCCTTCCCATTCCATGTTCGCAACAATATGTCGTTCCACGTCAAACTTCCGGACCACTTGGTTGAAGTAGTCCAGGACCTCGACTTGCGGAGGAAAAACCATAGAGAAGTTGGGGTTCGGGGCAAACGAAAGGCTGTAGAATACAGCTGGGATGTCGACAGCACATCCTGGATCTTGACAAATTCATCAGTTCCTCTTGACACCCCGTGGGGAGTTTGTCAACGCGGTTTAACATACATTTATTTGCCCACCAAGCACCTCCAGGGGCAGGCGAACGGTCATATATGACAAAGTCCTTGCACCCAAGCTTGCGTTGAAGCTGGCATGCCATGGCCAATCCGGAAAATCCGGCCCCTATAATCACCACTTTGGTGAAAGGGGCTTTCTCGCAGTAAGTCATTGCTGTGATCAAATTGAAACACTTGAAATACTACGTCTTTGATTACTCGTAATCTCTTAATGTTCGCTTCATTCTCGGGGCCTTCACTTATACCTTGTCGATAGCCCTGGAGTCTCCATACACTTGATATCAGGAGCATTTTCCTGATCTGGATAGACCATATCTCACACCAGCTGAAGTAAGGATGAGTGCCGCGGAGATGCAAATTGGGTAACACAAATATTATTCATTCACCAGTGAAAAGTTGTGAAATGGAGGTGATGTTTAATATCATCAGTTGTATGGGCTCCTGTCAAAGTTAATATGATGCAAATTGCCACTTGACTTACCCTCATCTTCTGATAAGAACGATTCACTCTATTCTGAAAACCCAATCATCAGAGACCTCCTACATTCTTGGAAATGCAAGTTGATGCATGGGTTCCTTAAAGCGATGTCTATCGACGATTATGCTATTGATCTGGTGATTCTGAGATATTCTGACAGCAACTTTCCTTACCGCTCAACTGGAAACTGCGCGTCAGAACAAATTTTAAAGTTTCTGAATATGCATCAGCTACTCTGATGCAGAAAGATTACTTAAAGAGGTGAATTGCATAAAGTGGCACATTCTTCAGGTAGTCGAAATTTCTAGTTTCAACGCCATACATGAGAACGGCATGTAGATTGAATGCAGAATCGTTCTCCCACTTACCTCCCTGATTTTTGAAAACCACATATATTAAGGTATCGTCAAGGTAAAAACTGCGGACACTCCAGGTAGTAGTAACGTTTGGGAACCTTTGAAAAGACTGATTCTTTTAAAATGAATTCTCCTACATCTTACTCGTTTCTACCACTAACGCTAGTCTCATTTTCGAGCAGCGTCAGCATCTTCCGATCATTTCGATCCGATTCCACCTCTCTGATCAAAGATCTCGCTTTTGTATGCTTTCTTGCTATCATAGATGCTTTGCAGCAACTAGGGTGGTGGAGTTTCCTCACCGAGGTGCTGCCGTTATCCACCCTGGCATTCGCAAGTATCGTCTTTCTCTGGGTAGTCGCCGTGGCACACATCCAACGGAAAGTACTTCTGTGGTTTCATGACGACGACCTAGAGCAAGAGAAGTGCTTGCTGGGGAAACCATTGCTGTTCCCTTCGCAACTAACGCACGCGAGGATGTTTCCAGAGAAGTATCATTATGGCATCGACTACTTCCTCATCGGTATGCCCGTCGGTTTTCGAGGTCACATCGGTGCTTTGATATCTTTTGACAGTGGCGAATCGAATCCATGTGATGGACCATACAAATCTTCCATCATAAGAATTTTCCGGAAGTTTATCTGGTTCGGCATGGATTCAAGTCAATATCTCTATCGTGGAGATGGTCATCTGAGCCTGAAACAGAAACTGAAGCACTTTCTCATAAGCCAAGTATGTACAACCTTTCGAACGATAATCACAATAAATTTCCTCCATAGTAATGATCTGATCTTAAGGGCGAAAATCCAGCTGATTATCCCCACGCATATTTGATCGGCATCCCGCAGTTTTGTCTCTGGACTAAAAGCCCCATCTCTTACTGGTATCTATACTCCCCTTCAAAAGAGCTCAGTGCAGTCATTATGGAGATCAACAATTCCTATGGGGAGAAGAAAAATGTCTTCTTTCGAGTTACCCGGGAGGAAGCCTCAGTGTTCGAAAAGAGTAAAATCGCGACGACTGTCAGCACTACGACAGGTAGAGGACTCAGGGGCGATCAAACAATTCAGTTCATGTCTTCTGCGCCCACAGCCAAGTACTACAAAGGGAGCTGGGCCAAAGACATCTTTGCATCGCCATTTGAGAAGGTTGAGGGATGGTTCAGTTTACGATTCATGGATCCGTTGGATCCTTCTCCTGAAAAAGGAGGTCCGCTTCATTCCAATATGACGCTGATGACTCCTGAAGGGAAGCCCAAAATCTCTAGTCGCCTACTCTCGTGTGGTACACCAGTCGATCCTCTTCTAGAGCCTTCCTGGGGGTTGACGATATTTCTTCTCAAATGGTCATTTGTCATCCCTGCATCTATAGGGCGCATTGTGGTTGAAGCTCTGCGAATCCGGTTCCGAGGTAATTTGCCATATTTAAACAAACCGGATGTGAAGAAGAATAATATCCCTCGTAACGCATCAAAACCAGAAAGGTACAGTTAGTTGCACTCTGAGATATGCTCCCTTTGAGCTAACGTGTGTTAAATGCAGAGTACTTGAGCAATTTTTTCGCATGTATCTCTTTGACCTCGTCGATCAATGCCCGTTTCCACTTGAGATTGTCTATACGCCAGCGAAATGCTTGGGCCTTCATCCAATTACTCGAAGATCTCCTGTAAAAACCTATACTTCGGCACCACCTGCAAGCTTGATGATACAGCCCCTCACTCCGGAGTTCTACACCAATATCATTGACTATTCGGATGCCCTGACTGGGTTAGAGACCGAGTCGGAAAGCCTACCACAGTATTCCGACCCAATATCTCAACGCGTATTCGTATCTGACATGTCCATTGTGCAGAAACTGATTGGCTTGGATAGCAATTCCTCTGTTACTGTCAACAACAAGTGTTTACAGTCCTGCAGTGGATCTGCGCATGCCTATGGGTGGAACGCCACTACGACGCCAAGCGGTCAGTCGTTCATGGGACATTTCACCAATACCAAATGCTCCCAAACTATGCGCATTACCTACAGAGTGGCCTGTATTCACTTCTACCTTACCAAGAAACTGGCATGGGGTTCGTACAAACTAATGAGCATCTATGGATTGCTTTTCCGTGCTATCAGTATGCGTCTCATCTGCAAGGGATTTGTCAGATACCTGCAGTGTAACTCGACACCGGGGTGGAACAGAAATGTCATATTGATGCTTGGTATATGTTATCTTCTGGCTCGAGTGAGGAGGGGAGTGCTTAGTAGGTACTATTCGTGAAGAAGTGCGTCCAAGTATTCTGAGGGTTCTGCATCTATTTCAAGACAATGTCAAATCATTTTACGATATAGAGCTACTCGCATCATGTAGGAAACTATATATATGGTGATTCCTTTATGTTTGACTTAATAAAAATTTTACACCGAATCTAACCTGGTCAATGGTGCTTTTGACACAGTTCACGATATGATTTGCTCCAAAGAGTGCATCGACCCTCGCAACGAGCTTCCGCATGAAACGAATACTGATACGATGATTCCCAAGTCCGGTATATCATTTTAGGAAACAGTGTTTGAGCAGCAAAAACGAGAATTTATATGGAAGAAGTCATTCGGGTGACTCACGTAGACACCAAACCCTAATTTACGGCATGCCTGGCAAGCAAAACGAGCCATACCTCCAAGATTATGACAATAGAAAACTGGAGCGAAACCGAGTGACTTGCATTATGCTGCCTCGGTTGTTCTCTGGAATATAAAGAGAAAATTGAAATCACAGATCGCGTTCCGATTTGATTTCCTCTTCTAGGATTCGAGTCATTCGACCGAGCTTTTGAGCCGAGCACGTCTGCTTCCGCCGAGAAGGATTGTTATAGCGGAGAGTTAGCTGCCCCGATTTCTGCTGCTTTCATAATCATCAAGTTCGTTTAGACTAGTTAGTTGACGAACCTAATACCGAGTCATAAATCAATTTGTACTATATTCGCGAACGCATAAAAGCTTCGACCGACATAGGTTTGTCATCAGAAAAACCACGATCAGAAAGATGTCACTGGTGGATCATCGTGCATGTATTGTATAAATAGGGCTCACTGAATGAACGTATTCAATTCTCTGTTTATCAAGAGATATATTCTTAAGCTCGGAAGAAAGATGTCGAAACTAATTGTCATCGTTGGGGTCACTGGCCTTCAGGTAACATGAACATTACCGGACATTAGAATAAGCTCACTAATTGGTACAATTAGGGGTCATCCGTGGCACACACATTCCTCAGTCTACCAGGATGGAAAGTCAGAGGCATCTCGCGCAACACTTCTAGCCCCACAGCCCAGACCCTTATCGCGAAGGGTGTCGAAATCATTCAGGCCGACTTGGATGACGAGAAATCACTCTACCCAGCATTTGAAGGCGCCAATGTCATCTTTTCCAATACCGATTTCTTTGCCCACTTTTGGGGCGCATTAGCATCCGGCAACAAGTCATCTCTGCAATATGCATACGACCGCGAAGTCGAGCAAGGAATCAACATTGCGCGAGTAGCTGCTTCGCCCTCGGTGATCAGCACCCTAGACCGCTTTGTGTATTCCTCGTTGAGCGACGCTCGCAAGTGGAGTAATGGGAAATTCCTTCATTCCTGGCATAACAACTCCAAAGTAGATGTCATCAAAACCATCGAGACTCAATTCCTTGAATTGGCGAAACGCATGAGCCTAGTACAACTAGGGCATTATGTGACGAATTGGAAAACATTTCCACCTATGGCGCCCCAGAAAAAAGCCGATGGAAGCTTCGTGGTCAAAAGGACTTTCTCCCCTGAGCTCAAGATGCCGTTCGTCGTCCCTCAGGCGGATACTGGTGAATTCGTCAAGGCGTTGGTGCTTGATTTACCCGTCGGAACAGAAGTTCTGGCCGCATCTGAGTTTTTGACTTTGCCCGAATGGACAGAGATTTGGGCAAATTCTCTTGGTGTCAAGGCTGTTTATGAGCATGTTTCGCCGAAGGAGTTTTTTTCTGGTGTGCCTGATGAGGTTGAGAAGGAGTTCACGGAGACTTTTACTTACGTGGATGAGTTTGGGTTTACAGGAGGCGATCCAGCAGTCTTGACTGCTGAGCAGGTAATTCTTCCATTGAAGGTGCCTAGATCAGATCAGACTTTGTTGCTAACAGATCTTCTAGCTTCATAGCAAGCTTTCGCTCACTTCGATGGAAGAGTATATCAGAAACGAAGATTGGTCGTCAGTTTTGTAATCTACTTTTCTATGAAACTTCGGATCAACCTTGGAACAGTTGACCCGGAGAGATGCGAAATACTTTGCAAATACCCCGAGAACAAATTAGGTACCTAGAGCTTTTATAGGTCCATGCATCCAACCAGTTGTCCCCCGTTTCTCTGAGGTATCGAGCTCCACTATATAAGATCCATCCTATTAGCATACGATTCGTTTTAGGAACAAACAAGAAACCTGTATCTTAACATCATAGACCCTAGTAATTATGAACGTAACAAGGACACCAAAGTTACCACTCCCCATAAATTAGACTGCTGTCTAATTCATATAAAATCTAGCTACTCTCTTGGCCAAAGCTTAGTGGTCGAAGAGAAATAAGTACATAGTAATGTCTTCTTAGGGCTAAAACCTTCACCCCGGCGTTTACTCCACATTGTTCTACGCACTCGGACCGCCACTATCCAACAGCTGACCGGGCACTCGGGGATGTGACCGTCGGGAAAACCGGGATAAGCCCGACTCATTGTTCAAGGATTATCGAATATCATGTGGCTATAACATACTGTTGATTTACATGCCTACAATAGCCTACAACGGGTTCTACTTTGCTAGGTAGTTTGAGCCTAGGAAGAAACTCTCAAGATGACTTCGGGCGAGAGTCTCTCTTCTCTGAGCAGGTCCATCGCAGGCCCAAAATCATTTGAGTGCTTCACCGGAGTATCTGAAATAGTTCTCGATAATCCTATGCATTCAAATAACAATTGAACTCATGTTATCAGCTGCAACCACTAGACAGAGCTTCTGTTCAGTCGGCGTGAACCGGCAATTTCGCCGACTCTCCAGCTTACCCCAGATTCTCAAGAAGCGGACACCCCACGGAACATGTCCGGTCCATGATCGAAATAATGTGGAGATGAAGTCTACTTATATGGCTATGTTTCTGTACTCGCAGCACCGAGAAATCTTCCTTCCGTGTGTATATCTTCTTCCAACATTGCGTCTTGGATTACGGGAGTCAAGATGTCTGAACAGCCCGTCGAGGTAAAAGCCTCCCAGAACTGGGAGGAGAATGCGGATCATGCATTGGCTATCACTCTTGCAGCTTCGTATTCACCTGGTTGTCCGGAGGAGAAGAAGTTGCTTCGGAAGCTTGATTTTCGTATCATTGTACGTGGGCTTAAGATTATACATTGCCAGCAAGACGTGCGACTGACCAGTCTTTCTGCCTGAAGCCATGTTGCTGGGTCCTTTTCGTCCTAGGATTTCTTGATCGAGCAAACATCGGGTAAGATATCATCTAAAATTCCTTCATATATCACAGCGATGAGACCGACGCCCATGTATAGAAATGCTAAAACTGGCGGTCTCGCCAATGACTTCCACCTAACCTCAAACCAATACTCAGTCATTCTACTCCTCTTCTTCGTCTCATACATCATCTTCGAAGTGCCATCCAACATGCTGATTACCCGTGTTCGTCCTTCCCTCTATTTATGCGGCCTTGCTATAGTATGGGGCATCGTTGCAGCTATGATGGCTTTGACGAACAATTGGAAGCAGCTTGCTGGTGTTCGATTTGTGCTTGGTTTTGTTGAGTCCGGGTTTGCACCGGGTATTGCTTTCTATCTCTCTTCTTGGTATGTTTTCTCCAAGTCTGGGCATGAATCAGATGTTGTCTAATATTGAAATAAGGTATCGACGATATGAACTTGCGAGTCGGTTTGCAGTATACTATACTGCTGTGGCTGTAGCTGGTGGTCTTTCCGGCTTGCTCGCAGGTGTGATCACAGAATACCTGGATGGAGCTAGGGGTATTGCTGGATGGCGCTGGCTTTTTGTACGTGTTCACCTCCCCCAAGCTACACCAGACAGCGCTAACTCGATTTCAGATCATCGAAGGCTGCGGTTCGTCCTTCGTCGGCTGCATCCTCTGGTTCTTCATGGCAGACTACCCCTCCAACACACGCTGGCTGACACCAGATGAGCAACTTCTCGCCGCCCAGCGTCTAGCCTACGATGGTCTTGGAAATGCCCAAGGCGCTTCTGGTCGAATCACCGAGAAAGAGGCTTTCAAGATGGTCGTCAAAGACTGGCGTACTTGGATTCTTGCACTGCTTTATGCTCTGGTTACGGGTGCTCAGACTATCCAGTATTTTATTCCTACTCTTGTAAAGAGTTTTGGGTGGACTAGTTGGGATGGACAGTGTGAGTTGTTCGCCTCCTATTAGTCAAAAATTGATGCTAAGATCAGGACAGATCATACTATTCCTCCTTATGCATGCGCTGTAGTGTGCATCTTGGGCATGTGTTTCACCGCCGATCACTTTAAGAACAAGGCTGTCTGTATTTCTATCTTTGCGGCCATTGGCACGGCTTGCTTCATCGTCGTCTGCGCCAGTACGAGCAACACTGTTCGCTGTATGTTTCTTCTCATTTCTCCTCTTAGCGCTCAGCTACTGATCTTCTCAGATATTTTCACCACTTTTGCCTTCGGCTGCATCTACGGCATCTCACCCCTGGTCCTCATGTGGGTAGCCAACGTTATTTGCTTTCCCGCCGAAAAGCGAGCTGTAGCAATTGGTCTCGTCAACGCTTTGGGAAATACTGCTTCTATCTATGGTGTCTTTTTGTGGCCTGACCATGATGCGCCACGGTATATTCCTGGATTTAGGTACGTACCCCTTTTCCTCTGTGCAGTTTGGTATAACGTCAATTTACTGACTGATATTTGAATAGTGCAACTACAATCTGGATGGGAGCAATTTGTATCATTGCTTTAATTGCGAGACATTACTTCAATAAGCATCCTATTGAAGCTCCGGAGGCTGAAGAGGTGATAGCAGCGGAAATTTCTAGACAGAGGGAAAGAGGTCAAATCTCAACAAACATGAAGGTTTAATAAGACTAATACGAATGATGATGCCGATATACACGGGCATGGGAGGTGCATTGTTGTTTTGTGAGAATAGTACATCTCTTCGATAAGGATGAGCATATCATGAGGAAGCTGAATATGATGCCGATACATATACACTTGATTGTAGTGGATTAAAGCCAGGTTGGTTAAAACACAACGGTTGACCTCAGTCAATCTCAAAAATCAATCCTGCATGCACAACATAGGCAGTACTTACCCTTGCATAGTCTCCAATATGACATCTCAAGTACCTCATGTGCATTGCAATGTGGCCCAATAAAGTCGTGCAGCATGAACCCATTCCTTTTTCTTCCCCTCTTCTATTTCCAAGCCCCAGCAACAAACAAACAGACGGTCCTTTGTGCCACCTCCTCACGCGACCTCTTCCTTTTTCTTCTTGAGTGCTTTGAAGAATAAAATATTCCATCTTATTGTCATGATTCCGTTGGAGTGACATCAGATTTGGGCTTGACCATGTCTTCTGCCTATATACCGTTTGTAGCAGGGCCTGCATATCATCACAAAAGCCCGGGGCAACAGTAGGTCTTTTCCTTTCCTGATGTTATCTTTGATGAGGCTGTTTTTTCGCCTTCGCCATCAACGAGACTGACTGATAATTGCGCCTTGCCCTTTCTACAAGCAGTGTGGACTTGGTGAGTTGCTTCCCTCTGAATGACCTTTTCTGGTCTGATGCTCACAAACTTTCATGACAGGCTTCGCTAAATTCGACAATGGATTTCTTCGCTTCTCAGCCGGAGACGGTTACGATTCTGAAACCTCAGTACGAGGATCTTGTAAGTTTACTCTTACCTCGTTAGGGAAGCATGTCCTGAAGCTAATATGATATTTTAGCTTCGAGTAGCCAGGCAATTTGGTAGGTCCACCTCTCCTGAGCTCGCGTTGGGATGAGTTTTCTAACACCAGACAGAAAATCTCAAGGAGAGCCTTTTACGAGGTGGCGTTAGTCAAGAAGACCTCGATGTAAGAATGCATGCCTAGACAGAAGTAAAGAATACTGGCTGACAGCAACAGGTTCTTGTCAACGACGCAGTTGCACCAATCCCAAACGATGAAAATCCTGTTCAGAAGCCATACCATGAAACCCATCAATTGTCCGATGGCGCCTCTTCAACTACACAAACACCATCTTCAAACCCGGCATCAACCAGCTTTCGACAAAACCACAAACCTAATCACAGAGTGTACAAATACGATCCCTACCCTTCCGGAGACAGCATTGAGGAAGAAGACGACGATGAGTTAGAGCTCGAGGAGACAGAGAATCAAGGCATCTATGTAGAGGAACAACAAGAACAAATCTCTACCGCCAATGGTGTTGACGACGATGACGAACAACACACCATCGAAATGCGCAACCTCCCGCAACGCTGCACACACCTCGACATCACAAAATCCATTAGAGGCGGAGCTCTTGTCCAGATTTACATGCGCTTCACAGAACGTATGGCTCGCGTCACATTCGTAGATGCAGCAGCGGCACGCGAATTTCTAGCTCGTGGGAAACAAATTGGATTTTATATTCACAACAAAAAAGTACCTCCCTACTCCTTTTTCCCCCTCAAGAACAAGCCCAATACTAACCATATATGATAGGTTGATCTATCCTGGAGCAACCATGAATTCTCGCTTCGCCCCTACATCAAACAATCCATAATCACCAATGGCGCAACCCGCAACCTCATCATCCGCAACGCAAACGCCAACATCACACCAGCACTCATTCGCGAGCATCTCGAGCACATCAACAACTTGATCGTTATCAACATCAAAATCGACCAAATGAATCGCAGTATCTCCATATGCACAAACTCAGTACACAATGCGATGTTTGCGCGGTCCTGTATGAGATCGAGAGCAGCGTATAAAGGCATGAAGATTGATTTTGGGGTTGACGAGTGCGCTGCGCCGTGGAATTCTAGGCAATCGTCGACATTGTCGGCTACGGCGTCGGAAGATCGGGCTTCGTCGGCCCTGCCTATGCCTAAAGGGAAGGGGTCCTGTGAGATGCAGCAGGGAAGTAAGCGGAGGCAGATTTCTTCGGTATCGAATCGGTTTGATCTGTTGAGTCTTGATTCAGACACTGATTCGGATGAATAAGGATTCTGATGATCCTGACGCTTGATCTGCTACCAAGCGGTCGTAGGGGGTTATGGGCTACTGAGTTACCAGGACAATGAGGCGTACGGATTTGTGGGAAACACATCTTGATGTGACGTCTTTTTTTTTTCTTCCTTTCTTCGATGTTTGAATATGTTTATTTGCCGTTTTGAGGCCCATGAGTGATGTATGAGACTCCTCATTTATTTCTTGTATTTTCTCGTACTTCCCCTACGAAAAAGTTTTCTGTACAAATACATGATCATTGTCTAGCAGAATCCCGTGAGATAATCGAAATGCGAGAAGTTTTATCAAAGGTATATGTTCATCATATCTATAGACAAATCAACTAAGGTATCATCTTTTTATACGCCTTCATAACGAAATAAGACTGATAAGAATAAATCACTTCGCCTCGCTAAACATCAAATATTCCAAAGAAAGAAGACAGAGTGGCAATGAAAATTAAAGGGTGAGAGTCTCCATCTCAACACTGCTCGATCGCTCGCCGAGCTCGCGGCGAGGTCGGGTGTTGCCATCGACATCGGATGTTTTGGTGATGACCCATGCAGATGCGTACATGTTGACGCTGTACGCGAGGTTAGTATGACTGATAAATATGGATGGGTAAAAACTAACCGATCAATGCATGTCCCTGGGAATCGTGCTCCAACACGGCGAGGAGTGAATCCATTGGCTTCGAAATCCTTGATATACCAAGGATCAATGCTGGCGGATCGGAGTAATACACGACCGCCCATCTTAAGAGCGCGGTTCAATGCTTGTGCTTGTTTGGCGGCGGCATCTTCCTCGGGGTTGAACCAATCCATGGAGTCCATTACCTATGCAATGTTAGTACATTATCACATTCTCTGCTGGATGTACTTACCACAGCAATGGTCAGAGTACGAGGTGTGATGCGAGCAATGACTTCGTTCAGACCATCAGTGTGGATACGAAGACCGTCGAATGCGCCAGGAGAGGAGAGCTTGTCATGTGCTTTGGGGGTCAAGTATGTAGGGTGGCACCTGTAAACATTAGAAATGATCAAGATCACACAGAGAACGTACTTACTGTCGTGAAAACTTGCCCTTGAGACAGAGGTAGTAAAAGTAGTTGTCGTTGCTGATCAGGGTATCCTTGGCCACTGGGTCGAATGTGTCGACGACATACTCCCAGATAGCACGTCCGCTAACGTCCGCGTTCTTTTTGATTCCACCGCTCAGACCCTTGCGCTTCAAGTAGTCATCAATGATCATGTTACGCTGAGGAGGAGGAACACCGGCGGCTTTCCAGGCAAACCATTCAGTCTTGACGATAGCCCAGTTGAGCATTCTGCTGATCAAAACACGGCGGATAGTAGGCCAGATTTCGCGCTGCTCGTTCAATGTTTGGGCCTCGCACAGTCTGTCATTGACACCGTGGAGACCGAAAATGTTGAATAGATATCTGACCAACTTGATGGCAACGCGGGATCCTCCAGTCTCGTAGAGACCCTTGTTGGACTTGGAAGTAAAAACGTCGGTTTGCTCGAGCCAGTACTGGAAGGCCTGGCTAGACAAATGGGGACTCAGTTTGGTCAAAAGAAGCTCACGGAATTCGGCGTGTTTGCCATCTCCAAAAATCTTCCAGACATCTTTGTAGCCAAGAGCTCTGAAAGAGGCTACCTTAAGCTCGAGCAAGTGGTTCTGGTTAGGGTTCATGTCAACAGCGTGGATGCGTTTGGGGCTCTTCTGGAGGTAGTCCAAGATGTTGTCACCGGCACTTGTAATAGTCAAAATGACATCTTCGCTATTGATGTTCAACAAACGGTGGTCGACACGAGGATCTTCCCAGTTGAAAGCATAGATGTACTCGTCCTTGAATTGGGTGTGCTTGGAAAGTTGATCGTTGTAGTAGATACGGTGGTGGTGGTTCTGGTAAAAAGCAGCTGGCAGAGGAAGATTGGTGCTAAGATTGACAACGGCCGATTCGTATGCCTTGGACTTGACCTCAGGGGTGGCTTTCTCGACAGCGTCGCTCATCTCTTGTCGGTGCTTGGCGGCAGATAGATATGGTGATTCGGTCCAAGAAGCATTAAGCATCTCGATGCTTGATCGTCCAGAAACAAAGTCCTTTTGGCAACCCAAGAAGATATAGTATGGGATACCGCCGAGTAAGTAATTCCGTTCACTGGCCGAAATGATAGTTCCAAACTTGTATTCCAAGTAGTCTCGGCGGGCGGCATCCAGGTTGACACGGTCAAAGTCGAACCATGCGCGCCAGAAGGCACGACCAAGCCAGTTGACATGTCGGTTGAACACACCACCGGTGTAGTTGCGGCAAGAAACATCAACGATATTTTGAACTATCCACGTAAGCTTGATCCTGTCAAGACAAGAAGAATTAACATACCATAAAAGTCAACAACTCCAAGAAGGGCATCGGACTTCATGAGGTGGTTCAACGAGTCAACGACACTGTAATAGTCTGTCGAATGTCAGCTTCAAGTCATATTACTATGTATGTTGTACTGACCAGGAATCATGGACAAGCTGTAACTCATAGTAACGATATCAGCACCGCCGTTGGCAGCACCATTAGCACCAGGCAAACGAAATTCCCGAGCATCACGGCAAATGACAGACACATTCTTCCAACCGAGACGCTCGAAACGTTGGCGGGCGACTTCAAGAAGAGAGGGAGAGAGATCGACCAGGTATACGTGCGAGAAGAATTTGTCGACGGGGAGGAAGGCATTCATAGCTTCGATGTTGTAGCTGCTCGAGTTAGTTTCATTCTTTTCGGACTTAAATTCGGATCGTACCCAGTGCCTCCACCAATCTGTCACATATTAGCCAATTGCCTGCAGATAACATGGGCTATACTTACATCAACCCAAACCGGCTTAGAAACTTGGTGCTGAGATTGGCGGTATTTTAATTGAGCAGCCAACAATGCGAGCATATCTTCACGGCCGCGAAGAAGTTTCTTGCGAGTAGCATCATAGACGGAAGCCTGAATAGTCAGAAAATTACACCGGAACGATGAAATCAAGGTATACGTACTTGAGCGCGGTAGAAGCTCTCCAGCGCATGTTGCTGACCGGCTTCGCCCTCACTGTTACGCTCATGAGGCTTGATAAAGCAAGAATATGCGAACTGAATGTAGGAAAGGAAACCCTTGTTCCAATCCAACTTTGACTTTTGCAGAGAAAGAACCACGATAGAAGCAACTAGGCCGAAAACGAGCACGAGGGCCACGCCAACCATGATGTGCGGCATGCTCAAGCCATCAAGGCTATTGAGGGGGGAGTGTAGTGTATAGACACTCATGGTGAAGAAGCACGCAGAATGTTGTTCAGGAAGGTGTATTGTTGACTGTGAGGAAGGAGCAGACCGGGACAAGGACGGAAGGAAAGAAGCACAGAGATATAGAAGGCTGGAGGAGGAGAGGTATATGAGGAAAGAGCAGAAGAGAACAGACTGTCCCACCCAGAATAATTAATCTGCGATTAGCCTCTATTTAATTCTTCTAAGCACGAGCTACCTATCCCATCTCCATACGGAAGCCTCATGTCCCTCATTCTCAGATAGGATAAGCAAAAGTGGACACGGGACCAAAAAGAGAGAGCATCCATCTTCAGACAAGAAGACCCCACCATTGATTGTCAGTACGTCTCGTGTCTTTGAGTCTCAAATTGCATCTGTTTCCTCCATTGATCCTATCATATCGACACATGAGGGCATCCGACCACGGAGAAATTCCCCTCTTGACCCGCGCAAAGAGCGCATCCTCATGCAGCTGGCGGGTAAATATGGAATAATTCCATAGTGGGTTCGACACGCGACGGCAAGAGCGTGCATCATTAGCTGTTTCTGAGAGTTTCTTTCATACTATCACACTTTCAGTGTATGGGGATGGGGGAGTGAAGGGGAGGAGACCGGAGAGTACGGCGGTAGATTGGTATCGTAGTACGAACCGTACCTGGCGCTTGTCCGGATGTGGTATCGCGGTACTGCAGTAAGCCTGAGAGAGACTAGTGGGGGTAACATTACGGTACGAAATACCAATTGACCAGATGGCGTCTGCGCAATCCCAACAAAACGCAAACAGTAATTTGTCAATCAGAGGCCGAGTCAGCGGCATGTGCAGTGCTGAGTGCTGCTGATCGAAGCGCTGCCTGTAAGGACAAATATGGGCGCAGCGTGCCTCACTGCCTGAGGTTTATACTCTGAACCGTTGTCCCTCAGGCAGCCAATCATCCGCCGGCCTGCCACCACGACACTCGATCTGGCTCGCCAGATTGGAGAGATCATATCAGCGGTACTTTCGATACATTCCGATCGCAGTCAAATGCAATTGGCTCTGTACACTCCTTAACAGTGTATATGATTCATTGGAGTGTTGATGATGTGCATGCGATGTCGGGCCTTGTCTTCGATTGATTGGGCTGTGTCTAAGCATGCTGTATACTACGTAGTTGCTTGAATAAACTTAGTATTCAGTCGATAACAGTACTTCTGAATATAGACAGTGCAGGAGAGCAGACTTACGTCTAGCAATTACAAAGAGCTGTAATGCCCCGCCACCTGGTAGATATCAATGTCGCAGTGAAACCTGTAAACAATACTTCAATCTGTCACCTCCATAATCCATTCTTCACTCCACAGCACGAGCTATGGAGCTGTGCCACAAAATCAATTCAAATAGCCCTCACCTCAACTAGTCAAAAAGACAAATCAAAGATTATGGAGGCTAGTTTCGTCATCCCACATTTGCATGTGATTCTTGGCATTGCAATATCTCTCTTGAAAGCCCCAAAATCCCAACAGTTTGATAGCTCGCTCTCTAAAGCTTTATGATACCGCTATATCGCTGTTAGCTGTATTTGAGCTGATTGATTGAGTTATTGATTGAGAGTGTGGGTTGTGAGCTGTGTTGTGTGGATCATCGTTGCTTCGTTGTATAGTCGAGAAGACGAACCAGAAAGGCATGTTGAAGCAGCATGAGAAATTCGCAACGACTGATGCTGGATAGGTAGCTCCAGCTTTGGGATTACTGAATAGTGAATGCTCTATCGAAGGTGCAAAAATGATTGAATCTCTCAGAGAAGAAGAGTAATAACTACTTAGTTAGGGTGTTGTTGCAAGCCACGATCACATGCCAATTTGCTCCTTCCTCTTTTTTTTGACTTTCACTATCAACACTAACCACCTTCGAAGCTTCAGCATGGACCAGCTCAACAATTCTCCACGATCTGCTGGCAAAGCTTCCACCCTTTATTTTTCCTGATAAACGAATTGACTGGCATGTCGTGGTCCAGGGTTACACGTGACGAAGCCACCCCGTCTACGATATCGGTGAACCGTGTTGACCCGTCTCATTAGTCCATCCAGAAAATCGAACGGAAGAGCAGTGGAACGAGGAGAAAGGTATATACTATCATAATTAAAAGCAGCTATTATAGAATAAAGATCTGGCATCTGCCAGTATCACACCAACGAAGCAGCCAGTCAATCCACCGATCTATCGATCTATCGATCAATCACTGACCAGCTCTTGACATCGATACGGACCACGTCTAGAGCAAACCATGCAAAATATGCGAGGATTCGAAGCCACTCAAAGACCAAAAAGATGGTTAAACTAGCGGCAAATACAAAAGGTCGGATAAGGAAGGAAGACGCCTGGGGAATTGATGCTGTTACAAAGTGAAGTCATGAGATGTACCATTACGCCTTTGTTCATGCATTCTCCGATTGGATTGTTTGCTATAAGTCATCGTCAGCTTTCGCCCTATCGTGAAGCCGCGAGTTGTCGCAAAAAATGGGAAAACTCACCACCAACCAGTCCATGCCTTCATTAATACCTTTACCATCAATAGCCGAACAAGCAACAATACTCCAATTCCGATCGCGCAATTCGCCCAATTTCAGCGCTTCCGAGATCTCTCCCGCTCCCTTTGCGCCGGGTTGATCCTGTTTGTTGGCAAAGACCAGCAGCGCAGCGTCGCGGAGTTCCTCCTCGTTCAACATGGCCGCCAACTCATCGGCCGCAATCCCTAATCGCTCGATATCCGTGGAATCTATCACGAAGACGACGGCGGCGGTGTTGGCGTAGTAGCATCTCCAGTATGGACGGATGGAGGTTTGACCGCCGAGATCCTGTTTATGTCAGTTTTCATCCCTTGCGCTATTTTGGGGCGGTAACCGGCTGCATACCCAAACATTCAGGTTTAAATTCTTGTAAGTAACGGATTCGACATTGAAGCCGATTGTAGGAATCGTCGTGACAACTTCGCCAATCTATAGATAAGACATTGTTAGCACGTACATGGACAAAGAGACCAGCAGATCCTCACCTTTAATCTATACAACAGTGTCGTTTTTCCCGCGTTATCCTTGGATACTTGTTAGCAACAAGCCAAACCCTCTCATCACCACTGTGATGTAGAATATTCATACAAGACCTAAGATCAAAATTCGAATCTCCTTCTTGGCCCAGATCAGGGACCACATTCGCGAAAGTGAGCCGCCCATATTTATTGTCTATTATGATATTGCAGAGAAGAGATCAATCGGTGCGGTTTCGGTGGTAGAGAGTCGTAATACAGGTACTGGGTGATCGCGAATGCTGTCTGTCCTGTTGCGGCGACGGCTTCCCCTTTGTAAATCACTTGCGTTCGTCGGCGGTAATATAGAACTTTGATGTTGGAGGTATTTTCCAATGCACACGTATAGGAAGTAGAGGAGCGCAAAAGGGTGTAGAATGATGTGTAGTCCGTTGTTATGAAAATGTTGTGCTGATTTCAAATAAGAGTCGTGACCGCATTGACCATTATGGATGAGGAATTGGCTCGGGATTGGCCTGGCCTGCCTGAGCCACCCGCTTGGTCAAAGCTCGGGTGTGATAAAGACGACCACCATTCACGATATACTTCTTGCTGTAGGCATTGACTTATTGAGACTGACTACAATATTGTGGCTCGCTGTGCTATACAACGGGTCTCCCTTGAGAAATACGAGTGGGCGCTGTGAACGGATCACTCGATCAACGACGAAACACCGGCCCTTGCGCCTTGAGGTCTTCTACGATAGACTGTTGTTCTACGGTCAATCCTCAAAACAACGTCAAAATGGTTGGCAAAAAGTCGGAAAAGGCTCTTAGAGATGAAGGTATGAGGCTACATACGCTGCATCATTATTCAGGAAGGGATATCTAATGTCTATTGTAGGTCTCGAACGAACCGACAACAGCATGGGACTTTCCAGCTGGCCTGTGGTAGCCCCAATCAATCAAAAGAACTATTACACGTACGTTGCAGTCGATCTCCCTACATTCAGTGCTAAAGTCTACATTAGTGACTACCTCAAACGAGACGACCAACTCCTCGCATACCGTCTCCAAAACGAAGAAGCCCGCAACCGCATGACCAAAACCGCCAAAGACCGCGACCGCGCACTCGCTCTAGGCAAACAGGAACAGCCGGATACTGAAGCCGATGGCGACGCTGTCATGGAAGAGGCCGAAGAAACTGCAGCAGAAACCGCAGGCTCAAAAGTAATTGTTCTTCATGTGGGAAGTCAGAATTTACGTATCGGGTTGGCGAGTGATGCGATTCCGAAAACGGTGCCGATGGTGATTGCTAGGAAATCGACAAAGAATGAGTCTGAAGATGGCGTTGAGCCGAGACCGAAGCGAGTCAAATTGAACGAAGATGAGGCGGAGGAAGATGTTCCACCTGAGAAGCGCTTTGGGCCAGAGGTATGACTGATTGCAGTTTTGAGAAACTGTTTATGCTAATGGTTCGAAGTTTGCATCGCTGTACACTACCATGTCCGCCGAACTCAAAACACACATGCGACAAAATAAACGACGAATGCTACCAAACTCCAAAGAAATGGTCATCAACTACAACCGTCGAACTGTCCCCGAGCACATTCCCGAACACAATGACCCGTCGCGTGTAGAATGGACAGAGTTTTCCAACCCACCACCGGAATACATCACTGGACAGCAAGCGCTTAGAATACCGGATGACTCGAAACCGCGATACAAATTGTCGTGGCCGATTCGGAATGGATGGTGCAATGAGAAGGATTATCCGAATGCCAGGTTGATGTTTCTGGATATCTCTCTGATTCTAGAAGACGCAATCAAGACACAGCTAGGATTGACCAGTAAGAAAGACTGGCCGCAGTATTCCTGCGTTTTTGTGATCCCCGATCTCTACGAAAGGGCATATGTTACGACGATATTGGAGATGTTGATGAAAGAGTTCTCTTTCGCGCGGGTTTGTTTCATCCAGGAAAGTCTGGCAGCTGCGTTCGGCGCCGGATATACAACTACCTGTATAGTGGATATTGGAGCACAAAAGACTTCCATATGTTGTGTGGATGAAGGAATGTGCGTTGAAAATTCACGCATCAACCTGAAATACGGCGGATTCGACGTAACCGAGACATTCATCAAGATGATGCTCTATGACCATTTTCCTTATGCCGATATCAACCTAAACCGACGATACGATTTCCTGCTAGCAGAAGAATTAAAAAAGAACATCTGCACCATGAATGAAAGTGGCGTGTCGGTACAAGTGTTTGATTTCCATTTGCGTGTATCTGGCCAGGATACAAGGAAATACACTTTCAAGGCATACGACGAGGTTTATCTTGCGCCAATGGGATATTTTCAACCTAGTATTTTCAGCGCCGAAGATAAGCTACAGGGCCGCCGCAAACTTTTGACTCGATCGTACGATATCTACGATGGTCAGCCAAATGATCCTACATCGGCAGCACAATCTGAAATACTAAGAGCTATTGCGCCGCCAGATCTGTCGACTGAAGACGACAAGGCACAAATTAATGGGACCGGTGATGTACAAGCCACGCCTGCACGGTCCCATTTGAATGCTCTCGGTCGTGTGCAAGACTCCGATGCCACGCCTCGGTCATCAGTCGCCGGCTCGCCGGCCCCAGAGTTCAACACACCCTTGAATGGAATCGCAGCTGCGGCCGCTGGTAACAGCACACCTGTCCCCGAGAAAGTCACCGAAAAAGGCAGCCAACCTGCCACCGGTGCCACACCAGCCGGCGCATCATCCCAGCCCTCCCAACCATCCCAACCATCGCAAACAGTAGTAACCCAACCTCTCCAACAACCACCCCCTCAAACCACTCGCATCCCCACAATCGAAGAACGCGACGACATCCTCCCCATCTACCCCCTCGACCAAGCAATCCTAACTTCCATCACCCACGCCGCTCGCTCCGACGACAAGAAAATGCGCGACTTCCTCGGCGGTATCATGGTCGTCGGCGGCGGAAGCCAAATCAACGGATTCCACGCCTTCCTCGAAGAGAGACTACACCTGCTACGACCCGCATTCGCGAAGGAGATCATGATTGGATCGCCGCCGCGAGAATTGGATGCACAGGTCGTTGTGTGGAAGGGCGCAAGCGTGTTTGGGAAGTTGGATGGCACGAATGATAGCTGGATTGGACGGTTGGAGTATGATCGGTTGGGGAGTAGGTTGCTGGTGTATAAGTGTATGTGGGCTTATTAGGTAGATCAATAATTTGGACTGGTGTTATCTGCATGTGATATGCTTAGTAGTGGTTTTATTTCACCCCTGTCATCATAGCCCTAGATCCGAATCTGGCGAAATTCTAGAAATTGCAATGTTTACAAGTAAAAAAAAAAAATTAAGTACTAATAACAACGATAATAGAAAGTTTAAAGTAAAGAAAAATAGTACATAAAGGTTCTGTCTCTCTTTCTTTTTTGATGTATTTCGTTTCTTCTTTCCTCTTGCCGACGAAAAGAAGACAGTCTCCGTGTCATATCAGGCCGTAGCAGATCCGTCAAGTCAGATCTGCAAGATGGATGCCGATGGCGGATGAATGTATGCACGTATGCATGTATGGTAGGTAATAGATGGTTATTATGGTATGTCGTGTTCGTGCAAATGTCATCTTCGTTCCTTATCATGTAAATAGATGATACCTTTCTTCCGTTTCGAATTGAATCATTTCTCAGGTTTAATCACGTCCATATCGGGTCTTGCCGATATTGAATGGAATGTAGCGATACTTGATCATGTGTTGAATTTGTCGTCGCACTATTCAAGTCAGCAAGTTTATCCAAATCCAAGATGAGCTAAAGAGGCGGACGTACTAGTCAAGAAAAACAGAATCAACCAGTACATAACCAACACCGGCCAAAACACTGGAATATCAAAAACCTTGAACCACGAACACACAAAGGAAATCGCAATTGCGCGAGTAGCCGAATGCCAGAATTTGAATTCGGGCAGGCGCCGGATAAAAGGGCGGAATTCGTCGTCTTGTTTGATGGGTAAGGACGAGCTACCGGCTTCGCCGTCTTCGAGACCTTCGTCTTGGGTCAGGGAGGGGTCGAACTTGGGGGAGAGGAAGGCGAGGAAGAGGTTGAGGAGGTAGATGCCGAGGGTGTATGCGACTGTTTCCCGGGTCTGTTAGTGATTTGATTTGTTACGTTCATGTGTGCGGCTAAGGGGAAGACAAACCGATATACCATCCTTGCGCGAGGACGATGCGGAGGAAGAAGAAGAGAAGCAGCACCACGCTACCGATCCATCGGTATGTGGTATATGGTGTCAACTGATCTAGGTATGCTTGGTATTGCTAAACGGAAATATGCGTCAGCTTGGAGATTCTCGGGCGCATGTCCGATTCATGATTAAAGCGCATGCGTGTGCTCTTCCTGAATCGTGATCGCAGCGCTGCTTCGAGGAGATGCACTCACCCTGGCAAGCTTAGAAGTCTGAGCCTGGACGGCATTGAAAGGTGTCTGATCCGGCTCGGGGACATCCATCGCAACTGACTCGTTGGAGACGTTGAGATTGCGAAGTTCAAGGTTGTAGAGACGGGGGACAAATTCGGAGAATGAGCGTGAAGAATAGAAATAACCAACAGTCGTGACTCCTGTAGTTGATTGAAACGAATTGCCAATTCCGGAAAATTATCAGGCAAAGTGGTGGTTGTTGACGAATTCGACCAGGCTGTTGTTTGCTTGAAGAAAAGTGGCCTCCTGATTCTGTGCCTGATCGCTGAGGCGGCGAGGCAGCTCCAGGCTGCATCCGGTTAGCAACTGCATGAGCCACAAAGCACGTGCTGGCTGACAGTCTAGCCGGATCGGAATGTATGCAAACAGTGCAAATAGGCGCGGCGGATAAACGGGTTACCCTCGGTTTGCCTCGGGAGTACTCTAATGTCAATGTGATTGTTAACTATCATCTACATTCATTCTAAACAACATATCTGTTCGGTCGGCCTCATCTATTGTTGAACGACAATTAAGACAATTGATATTTTCTCTCGGTTTACAGTACAAAATGGCCTTCGCTCGCAGCTCGCGACTGGCTCTTTCCAGCACAAACTCCGCCTTGACATCATACTTGACCCGAGCCAGTTACCGACGCTTCTCATCTGCATCTCCAGCTTCATATGAATATATTCTCACAGAAACACCCAAGCCGGGCGTTGGACTTAGTATGCTTCCCTATAGCCAGTAATTTATTCAATCAACTAATAAAATAGTCACCCTGAACCGACCCAAAGCTCTCAATGCGCTATCAAGCCCTCTCTTCCAAGAACTAAACGATGCATTGAGCGAATATGACCAAGACAAAGACATTGGCGCCATCGTCATAACCGGTAGTGAAAAGGCATTTGCTGGTCAGTCTACCTCCTGCCTTATTCCTCATGCACTAACACCGTCTAGCGGGCGCCGATATCAAAGAAATGGCGCCCTTAACATTCTCTGCTGCTTATTCCAACAATTTCATCGCTCCATGGTCTCATCTCGCCAACTCTATCCGCAAACCCGTCATTGCAGCTGTTAGCGGCTATGCGCTCGGCGGTGGCTGCGAACTCGCGCTCATGTGCGACGTTATTTACTGCACATCCAACGCGACCTTCGGTCAACCTGAGATCAAACTTGGCGTCGTCCCCGGTGCTGGCGGCTCTCAGCGTTTGACCCGTGCAATTGGTAAGAGCAGAGCGATGGAACTCATTCTAACTGGCAAGAACTTCAGCGGTAAAGAGGCTGGTGAATGGGGTGTTGCGGCCCGTGTTATTGATGGTGGTAAAGAGGAGCTTTTGGCCGAGACATTGAAGACTGCGGAGACGATTGCGGAATACAGTCGTGTTGCGGTTGTTGCGGCCAAGGAGGTTGTGAATAAGAGTCAGGAGCTATCGTTGAGGGAGGGAGTGGAGTATGAGAGGCGATTGTTCCATGGATTGTTTGGCAGCAAGGACCAGAAGATTGGTAAGCCTTTCTGGATTGATCATGTGGAAATAGCGACTAATTCTTGTTTTAGGAATGACTGCGTTTGCAGAGAAGAAGAAGGCTGAGTGGTCACACGAATAGATGCTTTTGCGATCAAGTCATGATATCAATACCTACAAAATGAGTAGCAATCTACTGAATGGTGAAATTTGTTGCTCCTATCAAAGATAGGTCTCATTCTGAGTACCTTTATATGATCGAAAACATACTTTCTCAAACAGACAGGATCACAGACTTTGAAATAGTGGCGCATCATCACTCCGGAATTTTTCCATCCTCTCATCAATCTAGATAATTCGTTCCTATCGAACGACAAGATATTATACTACCTACTTCCTTGATTTTCCCTGACGCGTCGCGGCTTTCCTGTTCCGTTTTGGTGCTCACCTCGCCGCTTCTACTCGCTGGGTAGAACTGAGCACACCCTGGACCGCCGTGATCAGCTCAGTGAGCCTTACATAAGCTCACGGATACGCTCAGTGATCCACAGCTGAGCATACTGATTTGCTCACTGAGCTTTATATGCCTCCATACGAGCCTCTGGGAAGACTGTTTAAAAAGTCGTATTTGTCGATATGGTTGAAACCTTGCCTCATTCGCTGCTCAACCAACTTCCCATTATGCCGTTTTAAAACAGCAAAACAGCCAAAATCAAGAGGCTGTAATAATTAAGCATCTCTCCGATGTTGCTGATATTACGTGCAGTGTCGCTAATGCGTAGTGATATTAATGGACTATTTGGCGGTTGAATTACCCGAACCTCGACAAGTCACTGATTCTCAATATGGAATTAAAAAAAATAGATTTCGGCTGAAATGAAAGGCAAGATTTCAAAACGAAAGAACGAAAAAAATCTAAGCAGCGATAAGTAGCGCCGAGTCAAACCCAGAGCTCGACCCAGAATGTGAATTGTTGAACAACTCGCAGTAACCACTTGCAGCATCATAATCAACTCCCACACACGCAGGATACTCCGAACACAGATCGAGGCATTGCTCAAAGTGAGTGAATGTTCCACTCCCGACACTGCCGCCGCTTTCAATAGGATAGTAATGTCCGCAGTTGAGCGTAAATTTTTGGCCATAGGAGTTGGTGTAGGGGCTTGACAAGGCACTGCAGCTCTGCGTAGGGGTGGTAGGAGCAACGGTTGTGGTAGTGGTTTGGGTGGCGGTCACCGTGGCTGATGCTGTTTGATCGATCGTGATGGTATTGGTGATTGTGGCTGTGGCAGAGGCGGTTTCATCGATGGTCACGGACGTGACGAGTATTGTCGTGGCACTGGCTGTCTCATCAGTGGTTGTTGTGGTCGTCGTTGTGGTGGTAGAGACAGCTGTAACATCTATCAACTCGGTGACTGGGGAAGTGACGGTCTCGGTGGTGGTCAAAGAGAAGAGAGACGTCTGATCAATAATGGTCGTTGCAACCACCACATGGCTGCTGGCACGTGTCACAGTTGCTGTTATATCATCGGTGGCGGTTGCGAAGATGGTAGACTGGAGGTAAGTTAGATTGTGAACTATTTGGGTTAGATGATAGAATAACTTACTGCCGCCGTCCGAACCACCGCGGAGCCAGTCCTCGTAACCGTCTTTGTGGTAGTTGAAGGTTCTACCAGACAGGAACATGCACTACTCAGCTCTTTCGCCGCGATCGTTCTGATCTCGTTGAAGAAGCTAGAGCGAATGCATTCTGGAGAAGTGCATTCAGGCTCTGGCGCGGGACAACTATCGTACTCTTCGTCATCATCCTCATCGTTGGCTTCGACTTCGTCGTCTCTTGCTACCAGATAGGCTGTTGCGGTAGCGGTCACGAGGCTAACGAAGGATCAATACTCGGCCTCATTCCTGGTCTCGACTATGCTTGCTTACCTAGTGGCGGTGCTGGTCACCGTGGTCGCAGTGATGGTGACATCCAGAGTGGATGTCTGTGTGGCATACACAGTGGTATCAGTGGTGGTTATATCATCAGTACTGAAGACTGTGGCATACGCCGTCGCGTCGGTTGTGCTAGTCGTGAGAGTATCTATTATAGTCACAACGACTGTCGCATCAGTGGTGGAGAACAAATCTGTTGTCGAGATCACATCCTCAACCACGCTTGTGAGGGTGACAGGGATCACTGCCATGCTGGAATACCATGATGTTCTCGTCTGGTCGACCTCAGCAGTCGCAGTGAAGGTGACATCGACAGTCGCGTCTGTAACCGTGACAGCACCTGTAAACGCAAGTTGTGTGGCTGTTGGGTTTACGGTGACTGTTTGCGTCTGTGTCGCTTCGATGTACACGCTGCAAAACGCGCTTGCTTCTGGTTGCAGGCGAGACTCTTGAAACAGCAGCCAAACAGGGTCATTCGCGCACTACGCACATGGAAATCTGGTTATTTCTCTCTCTTGATCTCGAAGAAAAGGTGCAATTTCTAACCTGTGACAGAGATGGATGGGACCGTTCAGTGAAGGAATGGCTTCCCAGGGGCCGGGCAGTGGCCTGAAGGGCTGCGAGGCCCAAAAGGAGCAGAGAAAGCATTTTCGAGATTAGAAACGAGTGACTGAGAGCTTGTCGTCAAAAATTCTGACCACGCGGGACTGGCACTCTGGGGAATCTTAGTTGTTTAAATATGTGCTACGCGCCTCGTTTCTGTATGATTAAGCTTTGTTAAGCCTTATTAAACTTTAGCTTGCGACATCTTATTCCAAGGTTTCCAACCAGAAAGCCCTTGTCTGGTCGAAAAGAGGAGTTTTTACTCGACGCTCAAGTGCAATTTTTGCCTCCACATTAGCTAGATCGTTGGCCTGGATCATCTCCATAGAGGCCGGCAGTGGAGCTCCAGGCAAAGTCGTCCATCGTAACCGACGCTAACACGTTCAGGAACCGGTCTCTCCGACGCTTGTGCTATACTACTGTGTATATACGAGCTATGAAGAACTAAATACATGATGGTAACTAGCGTCCTTACATATCCAGTCCTCCTCGTTCTGTATATTGTATATCGTATACTTCCTACTTTGGAAATCATCGTAAACGCGTGGGCTTATTCTATGATTAGTACTGGATCTCACTTAGCTTGTGGTCAATGTGTCTTGAGAACAGGGACTGTATTCACAGGATGGAGCCGAACAATTTTGAGAATGATGTGCTTAGTTCTAGGAATGCTTTTCTCCCTCGGCAAAAAATCCCCAGAACAGGTCAGATTCTGAGTGCACATTTTCATCCGCAAAACTCCTGTTGAAAAGGCGGATCAAATAAGTTCATCAATTACATGTATAGATACTCCTAGATACTGTACCTTCCATCGTAGTTGGGGGGCTCTACATGACTACGCACAATTGATTACCCCGTGGTGATGCATCGAGAGTTTCATCGTATACTTTTTTTATGAATATTGTAAGGTCCAGTCCATTTTGGTTGCCCAACCTAGAGGAAACTTCAAACCTGACTTGACTATACCAGAATTCATTATTTTTTGACTGGCCTTATGCGAACATCTCGACAACAGTGATTTGGGGTTTCCCACAATCACTCATCATCATGTGTCTAATCGTTGTTGAGTCATTCAATTCAGATACCAAGTCTGATACTTTATCATACAATATCAAATAGCAGAAAATGAAATGAAAAGTCAAAACTATTTTCGAGAATGGCAGGAGCTTAAATGCAGCGACGGACGACGCCGAGGCCGAGCTCGATATATCTATAACATCCGTACAGGTCCCTTCGAAGAAAGTTCTGCGAGAGTTGTCTAGATTCAAGCACTAGCATTAGAATCATATTGTGAATAATAGCAATACGCTACTACAGTATTAGAGAGCTACAGTAATGACATGATACTGAAGATAGATTGATTAATAAAAGATACGCAACGAAAGGGAAGCCAATAAAAGCACTTGACTGTTGGTAAGTGTTGATTTAGTTATAACCCGTATCATGAAGCATAGATTAGGAAGCAATCGCGATCCAACTGCTCTACAAGGTGAGCCTGCTTATGGCACAACTATTCTATTATAAACAACTGCCCCCTAAAACTATAGGGGAGCATTGGCCTGGACTGAAATCTACTCAGTGAGCGCCCTCACAAAAGCAGCGGCAGCTGAAAAATGGAAAGCCCCACCTGGCAGGAAAATTAAGTTCATATAACGACCTGGGTATACTACTCAACCTCATTCGGGGTTAGGGTTATGCATCTGACGTTCGTAGAACTATTCATGTGCGTAAATTCCCATTTAAAGACTACGCAAAGGCAAAACCACCAATCTATCAGCACGATTAAGTTACACCCTTGAAGCGTGGCTTCTTCATAGCCCGAAGTGATTGGCACACAAATTCTCCGTGACGTCTGCCATCCCTTAGTCTCACATTCAACTATGTCTATATTTTCCACTAGAACAAATCGAGTATACACTGGCACACCCTCCATGATTCGATTGATCAATCACAGTGCCCATTCACGATTTTCCATGCTTTTCTGTTGATCTGATATGTCACTGGGTGGATGGCATAACGGTTGTGGCGTTGTTCTGCGCATGTCAACTTTTCAAGCTGAGCATTACGGTATGATATCATATGTATCAGGGATGCTAGCCCTAACTAGTCGGGTATGATATCAGATGGTCTGACCGTCGAACACACTGGTATATAAATACTCATCAAGCTTGGTGGGTTTTTTGCAAGATAACAAACATCTCAAAACTGTTGATCAAATTAATAATTGTACACTTTAAACAGACCAACCACACCGGAAAAAATGTCTAACAACGAAGACAACAGTACTTCCCCCTCCCCTCCCTGCTAATTTTTCCCGACATTAATGGGTACAATACTAACCACTTTCATTCAATAGAAAACCTCATCGGTGGCCTCGGCGACACCCTCGGCCAAACAGTCGGCGGCGTCACCAACACCGCAGGTGGCCTACTAGGTAACGTCGGCAAAACTGTCGGCGACGTAACCTCTGGTCTCGGTAACACCGTCTCAGGCGCAACCCAGGGTCTCGGAAACACCGCATCTGGCGCTGGCCGCACTGTGGGTGATGGAATCAGCGGTGCCACTGGTGGTAGTGGTTCTAGTGGTAGCGCAGGACAACAGATTGGAGGAAAAGAGCAGACTGCGGAAAATCCTTTGGGATTGTAAGAGTACTTGCTATGGACTGGATGCTCGATGATGCTTATGTGTACATGATTCAATGCTTCAATCAATTTTGATACTATGTAACTTATTCTATTGGCTGCCTACAGACGAGCCTGTTCCCTCGATACATTTTTCTCCGTAGCCTTCTTGATCTTCTCTCCAAGAATGGCATTAATCCTTGTAAAGAACCCATAAGTCTGCTTCCTTACCCTCTCATTCGCATTACACAAATGCACAGAGACATTCTTCACAAAGTTCTCTTGCTGACCGGGCGTACGACCCAGGACACGCCACAGAGCATTCGCCTGCACAAAATCCTCATCCGTGACTGGGATCTGTTGCGAAGTAACAGCACCAACCCACTTCTCGTGCTCTTGGCTAGCCCTGACGGGCTCAAACTTCATTGCTCGGAAGCTGGAAGGGTAAGCCGGGTTTGCGCCGTAGTTGCCATTCACAGCCATGGCGCCGTCACGCTGGTATGGATTGAATGCATGAAGGGGGCAATTGACGGGGATTTGTTGGTAGTTTACGCCCAAACGGTGTCGGTGAGTGTCTGGGTACGAGAATAGACGAGCCTGAAGCACCGGATCAGCCGAAGGCTCAACACCCGGCACCAAATGTGAGGGCGCAAAAGCTGCCTGCTCGATCTCTGCAAAGTAGTTTTCGGGGTTCTTGTTGAGCGTGAATCGGCCGAAGCGACGCAGCGGGACTTCGCTTTGAGGCCAGACTTTGGTCAAATCAAAGACGTTCCAGCGGAATTTCTCGGCTTGCTCTGGGCTTAGGGTTTGCACGTAGCATGTCCAGGATGGGTTTTCGCCTCGTTCAATGGCTTGGAATAGATCCTGTGTGTGCCAGTCAGGGTTTGAGTTAGAGAGTTCGCCGGCCTCTTCGTTGGTGAGGGTTTTGTTTCCCTGGTCAGTTTTGCAATGGATCTGGACGTAGTTGAATGTTCCATCGGGCTTAATCCATTTGAAGGTGTGGCCTGAGTAGCCGTTCATGTGGCGGTAGGAATAGGGAGTGCCGCGGTCACTGAACAAATGCATGACCTGATGCGCAGACTCCTGATGAGTGGAGAGATAATCCCAGAACATATTTGCATCCTTGAGATTCGTCTGCGGATTCCTCTTCTGTGTATGAATGAAAACAGGGAATTTGGTAGGATCGCGCAGGAAGAAGACAGGTGTGTTGTTGAATACCCAGTCCCAGTTTCCCTGCTCAGTGTAGAATTTGATGGAGAATCCGCGAGGGTCACGGGCACTATCGGCAGAGCCCTTTTCACCACCGACAGTTGAGAAGCGGGTTACGAGCTTGGTTTTTTTGCCGATGCCTTTCAGCATATCGACTGTGGTCTGTTTCTGTTAGCATCGTTTTGGGGTCAATTAGAGGGCCGGCTTACGATATCGCTAATGTCATCGGTGACCTCGAATTCACCGTAAGCACCAGCACCCTTGGCGTGTACGACACGCTCAGGGATACGTTCTCTGTCAAAGTGGGCCAGAAGGTCGATTAGGTGGAAGTCTTGCAAAAGAAGAGGGCCATTCTTGCCAATTCGCTGCGAGGATTCGGGATCGAATACCTGGATATCATTAGGCCTGATTTATTGTATGGGACTGGATATACGAACCGGGCAGCCATTGGAAGTAGTGTAAGTAGGGGTTTCGTTGTAGCGGTAGGTTTCTGTTACTGTTAGTTTCTTAGGGTTCAGGAAGTAGACTCGATGGTTCAGTGAGATAGACATACTTGGCTCGTCTTCTTTACCCATGATGGCGATATTTGACCAAGTCAATTCGTATAAATGTAGTAACAAAAGACTAATAGTCCAAAACAATCTCGAATTTCAATTGACATGAAATCAGGCAGGAGTCTTCCCCTCTTATACAACCCCCAGACCATCATTCCAGCCATTGTGGACACTGCCAGAGTCAACAAGTGTGGAGAGAAGCCAATGACTCCATTTGTAATTCCAACCATCCAATTTACACTTCTGTAATCGGCGATACCTGATACTTTACCTACGCAATACGAGCGGAGAGCTTCGACCCGCCGCAGTTCCGAGCCCATTCCGGCAGGTCTTTCCGGTGCCTTGGCCGCCGTGTCGTATCAATAACCGTATGCACGTATTGTCATACGCCTATTCTTACTTTATCGGGGAAATAGTTTACTGATTTTACACTGTGCAGGTGATGCAGTACGCGGAATGCTCCGTTTTCCGTGAATTTCTAGAAGTACCCCTCATGCGGAGAGTATAGTGCCGTACCTGTAATTCAATTACAGTAAAGCTATCTTCGCTACGTCTCTCCCAGAAACAGTAAACACCGCGCCCATTCGAAACTGTTATTTCCTAACGGCTATTGGCTCATTTATTGAAGAGTCTAGATGTGATTAATCTATCCCAATGTCCACTACCGAATAAACTTCTCGCTTCAAGAGTCGAGATAGTTTCTGCCACTAAGCAAATGAATACTTCAATACAATCAGGTTGGTTGGCCGCGCCGAGCTTCGGAGATAATGGCCAGTAGGAACCTGCCGACGATGGGTAACGGAGTTCGGAATATGCCGTTCCTGTCTCGTTAGACTGTCGAATTTTAATATTGAAGTTGGGGGATGCTAGATAGTGTTTGTAAAATGATTCGTTTTCAAGTACACATAATCGTGCTTACATACGTTGTTTACAGGCAGCGTGACTGGGCGGTGCCTGACGGCCTTGACCAAGCTAGCCCTCTTTTTTTCACTGATCGATATACACAAATTTTGAAAGTATCATCTTGTTGATTTATATTCATCTCATTGAGGCATGAGTGGATGCGATATTATAGAGATAACTACGTATATATCATTGATATAGATTCTATAAGTCTAAATCATGTTAGACCCTCGTTCCGCGTGACCGCCTCCGGCTGCTCGGCCTCAACCTTGATATTCGCCTCTTTCTCTTGTTCTTCTAATCCGAACTCACCCTCTTCGAGATGCGGATTCCAAATGGGTATCCCATCTGGCGGAAGAGCATCACCGCTCGGTCGTCCTCTTCGGTATTGCTCGAGTGATCCATTGATACCTACAATACCCCATGCGAAGACCGCCACGTCGCGAATTGTGCTGAGAAAATCCTGAGGATGAGGGCCGCCGGGTCCATTGTTCATATACGAAGGATAGCCGGGATGACCGGGATAACCAGGGTAACCAGGTGGCATCATTGGATTCGAGCCGTAGGTATGATTATAGCCTGGGTATATTGTGCTGGGATCTGGGGGCGGCCAGGTTGTTTGTATTGGCATAGGTTGAGTGGCATACGGTGGAATGATCGGATGTGTTGCCCACGGTGACGCAAATATGCCATTTGCAGCGACCTGAGCCTGAGGGGAAGGAAGAGTTTGGTGTAATGGAATTGAAGGTCGCGCGCGGCGCAGAACCACGACTAGTCCATCTGATGAACATGAGACGACTGCTTCGATCTCAATGGGATTATGTTCGGGATGTTGAGGCACGGTCACAGTTTCGTGTGTTGTAGCCATTCTGGGTCCAAGAGCTGCCGCTGTTCCTATATTCGTAGGATGGTTGCCATAGGCATTATCATCAAAATTATTGCTCACAGCTGCCGGGTTCGCGGAAACCGCAGGATTGTCATCCTGCAACGGATTGCGGTACCAAAACCGCAAATATGCTATCGAGTTATTCACCTTGGCGCGTTCCAGACAGCGGACAGCGTCATGCAAACATTGTTCCTGGATGCAGAAATAAAAGCTCTTGCTAACCAGTTGTCGTGGTGCAATTCCGAGGACTTCCTCTACTCCGTCCGTTGCAAACATGATTGTTAATGTTCTTGTGAATCGATTCAGAAATAATGCAGCCCTCGGCTCGTGGGCAGCATTCGTAGGAGGCTGGGCAAATTTGTTTGAAAGGTAGGAAAGCATGTGGTATCGTGGATCTCGTGGGGAAGACGTGAACATTCGACGGACAATTGGGGCATCTACTGCTCGTTCTACCACAGTGTTAGCGATTGATTAGAAGACTAGGTGCAGAGCACTCACTCTGACTAGACATTCCCTGTCGGTATATACTCGTACAAGCCACCAGAACATTGTATACAACCGAGAAGACGCATTCGCAACAAACCCAAAATCCCAGCTTATGCTTCACTCTGCAATACCTCAAAACAGCAGCCTTGTCTAATTGCACGCCCCGGCCATGCACCGATTGCGCAAAAGGCATCTCTTCCGGATGGAAGTAATCCCAACATGGCTTGTTGATCACCTCGTGAGGCAGATAGCCCAATATATATTCAATCGAATCAGATGCATAGAGAATGCGAGCATCCTTGCTCATATCTGTTTGTCCAATGGGTGAGTGAAGGCCCGTCACATGTCTGCGATCGAAGACGAGTAGTATTAGCTCTAATACTTACCATGAATGGAAATAAAAGTCGCATCCATCGTTTGGACACTTGTAGAACATCAAGAATGTACTCTGAGTGGATTGAAGTCGGAAAATCGAGGTATGAAAACGACAGTCGCACACAATGTTACCACAGGCGGAGGAGTCATTTAAGCCTCGGGACAGCCTACCGTCAGCACTATATTAGACACCGAAACAGCGACGACAGTGCTGCTTTGGCTCGATATAAGTTCAATTCAAATTGAAAGGCTGAAGAGTGATGAGAAAATGTGAAACTTGACAGGTCGAAATGTTGACGATCTAGAAGGAAGTGGAGTTGGCAGCCCACGTCATTCGCCATTTCGTCTAACTAGTTCTCCCGAATCGCCGGGACGCTATTTCCGCTTCGTTTGGACAATCTCATTTGTGGTTTACCTGTTGTTACACAGCGCTTTTCATCTTTATTGCGAGGATGGGTAATCAGGAACGTCTGGAAAATAGTACCAGCGTTGTTGACGTAACGACAGGTCTATCACCACATCGCCAACCGCTCCCTGTTCGGGCAGCTTTACAGCATTACGAGTCACGATAAACTTCAGAGGCAAGCCTCCCCTTTGATGACTACCACTTCTCTGATTTGCGGAGATAGTCGGTGATTCAAAGAGCACTCACAGCAGCATATCCTCGATTCGGTAAGGGATTTGCGTCTGCAATCTGCAATCGTGTGCAACCCCACTGGTGGAATAATCGCCGAACACATTAAATGACAAGATACGATCTCCGTGGAGTAACAATGTGCATAGTAAGTCATCGCGCCAATCTTAATATCGGAGTAGGGTTAGGGCTTGGGCTGGGGCAGTTCGCTGTCTGTGTGGTGCCTGGCCGTAAATTGGTGTAAGCAGGCACCACATCGGGAGTTCCGTGAGCTCGATGAAGCACCACTCAACCTCAAACCAAGCAAGTGACGGGGTGTGTTGTGCGGAATCCTTATCAGTTTAATGTACCTGCAAGACTTTTAATTTGTCCGATGACCCTTCAAATTGAGCATATGGACCCGCATTGAATGACCCCCTTAACCAACGACATTGTCAACATAACCGCCCAGTTTCCCAGAGCAGCATAAACCCTGAGTAACCGCCAGGGCCCAGATTACTCTATTCTTATTTCACTGCGCCGCGGATATTTGAGTCCTGAAACGCGCCAAACTCACAAACTTTCATATCATCAGAAATGCAGCGGTTAAAGATACCCTCGCACAGGATGATTATTGGCTGACTTTCTGCCGAGGACGCAACTCAACGGGTTTGCGCATCGCATCAAAACCAACACATGCATGAAATGTATTTGTCTCATACATGTAGTGTGTCTTTAGCGGCATGCGATGATCCTTGCTAGGGGGGGTTCAAGGTACAGTGACTAATGTTAGTCGATGGGAATAGCAGGGTTGTTCCGAAAATAGACAAACGCAGTGTGCTAGTAGCGAGCACGATCAGCTCGAGTTTAGAGGTTGCCCTTTTCTCATTTCTTATTCTCTCACGAGAACGCGATCCCAAAATTTCCAAACCTCTTGATTCGGGGCGTCTCTTCTGATCTGTAATATCCAAATCAGCATCATGGCATCACCGTCAACAACAACAATAAAAACGACATCTACTTTGTCCGCAGTACCAAGCCTTACCACAACCTTCACACCGGCCGCTTCCTGCCTCACGGATCTATACGTGTATAGCGTCGTTTCTGGCGGTTCCTTATGGGATTATCGTCAACTCGGGCCCTCGCCGACGGCTTCGGATTGCTTCCCATCTCATTTTTCTGCTATACCTTCCGCATATTTTTCGCCCGGTATCTGTCCTACGTATTACTCAATTGCTTGCTCAACCGTCGTCAATATTGGCACTGTGACAGAGACGAGAGCAACATGTTGTCCGAGGTACGTCTTTTCTTCAGACAATTCATCATCGCATCCTTGCTGACGAATGTTGGACTCGATAGCGCATATAGTTGCCAACTAGATAAAACTGGCTGGCCATGGTATTCAACGGAGCTTTGCACGTTTCAAGGATCGGTGACGAGCACGTTTTTATTTACTGCGTCGGAATCAATTTCAACGGCTACCGGTCTTGCGAATCTCAATGCATACGGTATGGAGGTTAGATGGCAGGCGTCCGATACATCTCCCCCGAGCACAACCGCCTCTTCGACTTTATCTACCTCGGTATCTGCGTCGCCAGCTTCAACTGCCGTGTCAACCTCTCTTCCCACGTCCACGCCCACATCATCTGCATCCACATCATCTCTATCCACAGGCGCGAAAGCGGGAATTGGTATTGGTGCCGCAGTTGCTGCTTTACTGATTCTAACTGGCATTGTATTTTTCTTTATTCGCCGCCGTCGAAGCTACGTTGCCGCCAGTACGCAAGATCCGACGCAGTTCACGCCGGGACAGTTACAGCAACAGCAGTACTATGTGGAAGCCGCGGCGGGTGATGTACAAAGCAAAGCCCCATTTCATGAGTTGCCGGCACAAGGTCGGGAGAAGGCTCCTGTAGAGTTGAGCTCTGAGTCGTGGAGATGATGATATTTATAAATTTGATACTGGCGTTGGGCGATATGTGCATTTATATGAGATTCATTTCGCGACGATGTATAAGTGGATTCTAAGGGTCAACTGATGTTCTTCTAGCGGGCTAATCATGATTTGTGAATATTATATGCATAGAAGCTTCGATAATGCAGGAATATGATTCCTAACCAGCAGGGCGATGTAGCGTGTCCCACGTGTATTGATTCAACATGAGTAAAGTTGAAGAGTAAACATCTAATCTAGATTCTCAACAAATCATACTTGTCCATACTCATACCTAGGTATCATTCACAACACATAGCGATGAGGAAATCCTTCCGTCTTTGAGATCATAACCCTTCACGAGGATTCCTGCGGCATAAAATTCTAAGCGTGATCACTCGTCTTCTCCAGAATCGTCTTCATCATCTCATTGCCCAATTTGACTGCATCCGGGAATCTCGGCGCAAAGTAGCTTTGGATACGCTCAAAACGGTCTCGGTAGGACTCAAAGTCGCCGAATGAGACGCAATCTGACCATGCCTTTTCATAATGTCAGCTATGTATCCTATAAAAGGTCAGAAAAGGGGCAAGAGGGGGACTTACTCGTGCAGCAAATGTGAACTCTAGGTCATCGGAGCGGAATGTCTGGTCATCGATGGCAATGTCAAGGACTTCATCGAGAAGACTTGGGTTACGGAACAGGTATTCCGTGACACCGAGCCAGAGACGGAAGAGCTATACTAGTCAGTATCGAGACTTCCGAGCTTTAACAAAGAGACAAACTCACAGGAGTAGAGCAAATCATATGATCATAGGGCACAATCCCTAACTTCGACCAACAATCCACAATAGCCAAAAGACTAAGATGATTATTTGGCGGTGCCTCCTCTCTCGAATCCTTATTCGACAACGAAAATCGATCAAGGACCTCATCTCTCAGCAAGAGGTCTTGACCCTCGGTATCCGATTTGAAGACTGCGGCACCAGCCTCTTTGACCCTCGTCTTTAACTCGTCTCTTTTCCCTTCGATCATCAACTTGTAAAGCTCCGTGACGGATTTTGCATATTGTCTGATCTGTTTCTGGGCCGCGGGATTGAGAATAGCGAGACCGGCGTAGACGTGCCATTTGTTCGCATAGATGCGGAGAGTGATGTTGATCTTGACGTTCTCGATTCCGCCTACCCAGCGATCGATTTCCCAGGGAAACTGATTGTTGGCGTACCATGCAGTGCCCATGCTCAGGAAAGCGGCGTGCGTCACAGCTTGGGTATCGGCTGTGATGCGGTCGTGCATCTCGCCGCTAAGGTAGACATATTGGGATTCGAAGGACTCAAAGACGCGCTCGATGAATCTCATGCTCTCATCAGATGCTCGGTGTTGAATGAGGACCTAATACACGCAAAGTGTTAATATCCGGCATGTCTGCCTTGACCCGAGCCATCATACCAATGGTTGACCCTTTGTATTCACTTTCGGACCGTGTAACGAGTGACACGAGATAATCTCTACGTCCGACGGGAGATGTTTATCAAAGGCAGCAAGTTCCGGGGACTTGCACGACGTCTGCCCTCCAACAATCGCACCAACCTTCGTTGCTATTCGTAACAATCCAGTCAGAAAGGCTCAGTAAAGATAAGGACAAGACGCTGAGCGACGTACAGGGACCATATTCTGCAACTATTTTATCAATATAAGCGGCCTCTACGCTATATATGATGTAGTCGCTGATTCGCGAGACCAAGTGTCCATTCGGAAATATAGAGATAGCTTTCTACGAAAACTGATAGATAAGTTTTACTGTTGAATACAAAACAAAACGATGGACGGTCCTTTGAGAGGAACATACGTCTGATGCATATTCTTCCTGCAGTGATTCGTACTTATCCGGTCTGTCACAGGCATTTATCCTTCAAAATCACGAGTGGTGTTAGCACAGAAGTTAGAAGGGCTACGGTATAATATGGACCTGGCTGAGAGACGAGTTAGCATGTTGCTAAGAAAATATCGATAACAAATAATAGATGTGGGAAGTCTCAATTCAGACAAAGAAAAATTAAGGTAGCGAGTTTTTTACATCACTGACGTCCTGACCATCCCACGCCAACACCAGAATGGTGAGGCAGTGAAAGCCAGGCCATACTCGAGCCAAATGCACTCAAGTCATCATTCGAGGGGAGAAAACAGAAAGTAAAAAAAATTGAGCTTACCTTGTGTGGCCATCTACTATCACCAGATAGAAACGGGTCGAGGGAGTTACAATCATTACCTCCAACCAGCTTGACTGAGTCGTTGAGCATACATCTTGCCCATGTCACCCATTCCGATTATGCCGATGGAGGCATTGTCCTTGGTGAGAACCATATTTCACGTCGTGTATAAGCAGTCAGAGCAAGAGACTCAAAGATGAGTCACAGCAGACGGATACTTTCATCCACTCGATAGGGTAATTGAGCTTGCAATTGAGTCTCACAAAGGAGAGGGAACAGAAATACCAATTCGGAGTGAACCAAATCGTCTCACGAAGAAATATTCTTTGCACGATGAGTTTTTGCTGGTGTGGTAAGGAAGAGAAGGAAAACAAAGAAAATCCAACTTTAACAATTCTTTCTCGGCCCGACAGAAGCTCCGTTCGGGCCCGCTCTTGCTTCGCTGCTTATGTAAATGTCTTGGCGTTCGCTTCCCGCAATTCGAACAAAGCAACCAATCAGATTATGTGATACAATTTTAGGGCACACCATCGATTTTATCGGCGCATCTTGAATACCTTCTTTTTTCCTCTTCTCTTCTTTCTCTCCATATTCCATCCACGACAATTGCCAGTCCACCCAACGACAAACAAAATGCCTCCTAAGACCAAGAAAGCCGCTCCCGCTCAGGAGAACGTCTCCCTCGGCCCTCTCGCCGGAGATGGTACGTTGTCTTTTGTCTTATCGTGTTTGATGATAGTGATCCCCGCTAACAAATGTTTTATAGGCAAGCTCGTGTTCGGTGTTGCTCGTATCTTCGCCTCTTTCAACGATACCTTCGTCCACGTTACCGATCTTTCGTGCGTATCTCCAAAACATCAATCGTACCAGAAAAGCGAGGCTAATTGTTTACAGCGGTCGCGAAACCATCTGCCGTGTCACCGGTGGTATGAAGGTCAAGGCTGACCGTGACGAGTCCTCCCCTTACGCTGCTATGCTTGCTGCCCAGGACGTTGCTGTTCGCTGCAAGGAATTGGGCATCAACGCTCTCCACATCAAGATCCGTGCTACCGGTGGTATGTTCTCAAATGAAAATATCATCACAAAAAATACTCGATCCTGACATCTCAATAGGTAACGGTACCAAGACCCCCGGTCCCGGTGCTCAGTCCGCTCTCCGTGCCTTGGCCCGTTCCGGCATGAAGATCGGCCGTATTGAGGACGTTACCCCTACCCCCTCCGACTCTACTCGTCGCAAGGGTGGTCGTCGTGGTCGTCGTTTGTAAACAATCAATTGTTTACTTACTTCGTGCGCGCGGGATCTTGTCTTTTCTCTTATTCGACAAACATATACGGCTGTCTGGATATGATTTATAGTTGGATTCGTTGAATGAGCCTAGGCTCCGTGCGCGGCCTAAAGCAATTGTGGATGGAATAAACGCGAGGAACGGCTTCATGCCTGGTCTTCACATTCTCCCTCGAAAAATAAGAATACACCTTCTTTCAGTATACTCTTTTCACGAGATGATTTACTTGATCGTAGTCTAAAAGGAGTCTGAATATTGTAAAATTTGTAGATATATCAGACTATTACACGCTTCTCAAAACGCCAGAACCAAGCAGCATCAGACCAGCCAAAATCTCAGAATAGGTGAGTTCTTGTACACCAGTGTGTGCCAAAGCCATGGCCTTGGGTATTCGCATGTTCCAACCTATGTATATTAGCACCTCTTTCAACCACTCTCGTTGAGCTTTTGTCGCGCCGGACTCTGTCGAAATTGCGCAGTGCAATGGCCACATAAGACTCAGTGCATCCAATGTCTTCATCGAAGGATGCATCCATGCACTATCAGCATCTATCTTTCCTCGTTCTCGTATGGCACTACTTGTCTTCGAAGATCCATGATAATAAGCCACCGACGCACAAATACCTTCAACAGCTTCTCTTATCGTCCGCGTCAGAGCTGTAGACTCTCTTACATTCGGCCGGGTGGTGCCTGAATACAAGAACCGGCCTGTTCTCAGCAGAAAGTCTCCAATTATCAGCATCAGCGCTCTATATTCATTCCACTTCGTGCACAGAAAACTGTCTATATATGACTCTGCGTAGTAGCCAATGTATGTCGGCGGAAGGCCTGAGGGGATATCACAACCTGTGATTTGTGGTATCTTGACGGGGTGAAACTCTTTTGGGAGCAAGTTAGGAATTAGATGGAGATCTCGCTGGATACGTTTGACTGAGACTCGAAGCTTTTCAACCTCGAGCTTCTTGAAAGAAGTAGTATTCTGGGCATCTTCAACGGCACGGAAGCGGTCCATGATGGTAACAAGCATTTTCAGGCGGACTTTAGTAATATCGAGTAGCAGCCAGGCTTTCTCAATGTTGTCCATTGCAGGCCTTGAGCTAAAGAACTCCTGGATGTCGCTGGTCTTCTCTACCACTGCGAACTGTCGTGCTGCTGACAGGTTTGTCATTTCGGCTGTCCGGCTGCCTCTTGCATTTTGATTGTGTTTCATCATAGCAAGCATTCCATTCAGATGGATTTGCCAGGTCATGTCGGTCTCTGATGTGTTTACAATCATCTGTCCCAAATCAACTCAAAGAAACGGGCATATTCATGAGATTGGAACTCACCTCATACAGTGCAAACAGAAATATAGGCGCAACGAGGGCTCTCGAAGTTGGGTACAATGATAGACTTTCCCTCAACTCGCTCATAGCTTTCCAATATTTGACATGTTGCTGTTGACGTTCCTCTATCGTTTGCGAACAAGCAGCACGAATCACGAGTAATCCGGCTGTCAGCGTATCAAGTACTTGGATAACAGCTCGACCGGGGCCCAATTCAACGGGCACGATATCGAATGTCTCAACACTTCCGCTACAAATCAGGCTAGCAGGGCTTTCGGCATTAAGAACAAAGTTGCCTAGAAAGTAATCGATCGCATCCTGCATTTGAGGTGGCCTCGTGCTCCGCCACTGGAGCATGCGATGATGTGAAGTCGCCTCAATCTGCATACATGGAGGCATACGTGCGGATAACGACTTTGACGCCGTATCTCTAGACAATGTATTCTCTGTGCAATTTTGAGTTGATCTAGTTCGAGCGATACATATACGATTCGATTTCATACATTTCTGACAGCTCGGCAAAGATCGATCGCATTTGATGCGTCTAGATCGACATGTTGCGCAACCGGTCAAGGAATACATATCGAAGTCTGAAGACCCCCTTGTTCTGAAGGTGAATCATTGTATACAGAGACAGAGAAGGATTTTCATCTGCGAATATGCAATGACTAGCCATTTCGCGCGGCTTTAAGGACAGGAATTTCCGAAGTCGTCGGTGAAGACGGTGTACATAGAACGAAGTTTGCCCCACGTAGAGAACCGATTCTCAAAGATCCGCGCTAGCAGTTTCGCGCTCCAAACAATCCAGACGCTCAAGATACATCCTGATAGGACCGCTATCTTCAAGTAAATGCCACAATACTACACAATACTTATCAAACGCCTCAATTGATATGATTTTTTCAGATTATATTAGAAATCGAATTGTTGAAAAGTTCTCGATCCAAAGGACCCAGTCTTCCAAGGTTGGAAGTATGGATAACTTGGCTATAAAGGGCCTCACCCCTGAGCAGATGTCATTTTTCACTCAATGTTCTCTCTCTACATCTGCAAACAGCTCAGATTACTAATTTACGTCCTCTTTTGAGACTCAGTTTTTACTCCTCTACCTCTATCTCAAACAGGTTTAATATGGTCCAAACACTCGAGCTCTGGGGTCATTGGGGTGCTCCAAACCCTTGGTAAGTGACCTATAACTTCCAACGTTGCTAGCTTAGCATAACTTACATTCGCGTTAATGCACACAGGAAAGTAGCCCTGGTCTTGGAAGAATTGTCTCTTCCCTATGATATTCACTATATAGAATTGAATGAAACCAAAACTCCATCCTACTTGGAGATTACCCCTAATGGTCGTCTGCCGACGCTCAAGGATCCTAATACGGGAGTCACACTTTGGGAGGTAAGCAGCTGTTTCACTTTCATGTTTTGAGGTTGACTGTGCTGACTATAAGACGTAGTCCGGTGCTATTATTCTCTTTTTGATAGACCAATACGACAAGGAGGGCAAGATCACCTACAAGGATTCTCCTGAAAAGTATCTCTGCCAACAGTGGCTCGCTTTTCAGATTTCAGGTATGACTTCCTCTTTATATCCCTTATATTCCTTGACCCTAGTTCTAATATATATTATACAGGCCAAGGCCCATACTTCGGTCAAGCAACATGGTTTGCCCGCTTCCATCCCGAAAAAATTCAATCCGCAATCGACCGCTACGTCAACGAGATCATCCGAGTAATCGGCGTCATTGACCTCGGTCTCCGCCGAAATACTGCCCCCGGTAATTGGCTTGTAGGCGACAAGTGTACTTATGCAGACCTTTCCTTTGCCACTTGGGCTTCGGTGGGATATGGCTTGTTGAAGGAAGTGGGAAAGAATGAGGGGCTTGAGAAGGATTACCCCAAGTATTTTGAGTGGATTGCGAAGATGGAGGAGCAGGAGAGTGTGAAGAAAATTCGAGATTTGATGAACCAGGGAAGAATTGCGCACGGACTGAAAGTGTAATACCCATGTCTGCAAAAGACCATGTCTTTTTTGTTATCAGGTAGAATATAAAATTTTCCTACTCCGGCAGTATGCTCATGAAGCCCTAAAAACTGTCTGTGCTCATACGTAGTTCTGTACATCGAGCATACATAGTATTTCTGCACCCCAGGGATTTTGACAAGTGACAACATAGAATTCATTCCTTTTCAAGTTTAAACATAAGAAATTAGTAAAATTAACATCGATATCAACGTATTAAGGCTCTGTGTCGATATGGAGCATTGCGGCGTCGGATTGATGGTCTCCACTTCTTTCCGCCAGCTTAAAAAAAACGAAGCAGTGACATCAAAGCTCCAACTCTGCACAACAACCGCCACCCATCATCTCCCTACCTCCTCACGACCAACAATATACATATCCCCCCTGAAATCCGATCATCAAGCTTGAATCATACCTTTAGACATTGATAGAATGCCAAACATTCGACCAACACCCACGATCCTCCTMCCCCGCCTCCCCGCCAAAACTCTCGTCGGCCTCGATCTTCTCAGCTTCACATCCACCGAACAGTTCTATGGGATTAGTGACCTGACGCCTGGCTGGCATTTCCTCTACACGGGCACAACAGAGAGTTTCTCGATACGCTGCGGCGCATGGTTCTATGTCGGTAATATCCCACAAGACTCGACGGGTAATAGTAACAGCATAATACTACACAGCGGTACCGCTACACCCGGCCCGCCCGAAATCCGAATATGGCGATGGGACCAAGATATAGAGACCCTCGTACCCATGCGCGGCGACAATGACGAAGATCGCCTAGAGATTATGCGCTGGAAAGCCAACCTCGGCGGATTACGACAGATGGGCGCATTGTTCAGCTACAAAACCAAAGGCATTCCCGAAAATACAGAGATCGATGAAGATGATGCTACGGATCAGCCTGTGCACAAGGATTGGATACAATTGACGAATCGAGTGACGCCGGAAATCGTGTCGCGTATATTGGGTACGCCGTTCGCCGATGATGATGGTAGGCCGAGTTGGAGTATAAATTCAGCGAGTACGGCGGCGCGAGATGCAGATAATATTCCTGGAATTACGGCGGAAATAGCTTCAGAAGTCAGGACGAAATCGTTTGGAGGCGGGCAAAAAGAAAAAGAAATAGAGCTCCAATTCCTACCTATCGACCTGAAACGGACGTGGCGGGAAGGTGCAGTTGGGCGTGAGAGAACAGAGGCAGCGCAGGACAGATCGTGGGCTTTGGGAGATTTGGTCAACAGATATAGTCTCCCGGACAACGATGAGAAGAAAGGCGAAGGCGAGATTTTGGGAGAGTTGCAGATTTGTTTTCTCATGATCCTGACGCTTATGAATTATTCGTGTCTTGAACAATGGAAACGACTGTTATCGTTGATATTGACATGTCGCACTGCAATTACAGAACGAGAGCCGTTCTTCAAGGACGTGCTTCAACTCCTGCGACTACAGCTCCGCCATTGCGAGGATGTTGACGGCGGTCTTTTCGAGATGGACGGGGATTACGATGGGAATTTCTTACGGAAGCTGTTGACGGAGTTCCGGCAGACTATACATCGATTACAAGGAGCGGATACAGTCCGGCCAGAAATGAATGCGCTGGAGCAGTGGGTACGAACGGAATACGGATGGGAATTACGCAAGGACTCTATAATGCGACGAGGGATGTTGCAGCTTGAAGATGGGGAGCAGGTCGAAATGGAGATGAGTGGTGCTGATGAGGATGATGAGACGGGCGAGTATGCTCCTGTCATTGTCGATATGGGAGAAACCGTGGAAGAAACGACTGAGGTCGACACACCTATGGACTAATTCCAAACCTAGAGTCCCATGTATTATATGATACCCAATGCAAGCAAAAAGAATTTGAAATCATAAATGCCATTTTTCATCTGATATAGAAATTTGACATATTCGTTGCCCACACTAACCCCTGCCTGATGAAATCGTACAAACAAGGGCCGTAAAGAAAAGTATCCCGGGATTTCTCTCCATCTCCTTTTTCGTCGTGTGCACATGGCAGTGAAGCTTTGACGCTTTTTCGCAAATAAAAAATATGATCGGTTCCATCCAGCCTCTAGTCTGTAACCCGGGAATATTGTTGATACTCGTAAAGTCGGAAAGAAACCAATTATCTCTAGGATTCAAAGCACACTTTCAACCCAAGTGGCCAACAAAGTCTCTTCTGTCATGACAAATGAATATGCTTATTTTTTCCACACATGAACACACAAGTCAGACGCCCCCCTTCCAAGCAGAAAGTAACAAACACGATAAACGAAGAAGAAAAAACAAAACAGAGTCTGTTGGTTTTCTTCGTTTAACGGTAAGATTTCTGGTAACGAGCGCGAGCACCTGGACCACCGAACTTCTTGGGCTCGGCCCGTCGGGAATCGGCGACGAGGAGTGTGCGGTCGTACTGGAGGAAAGCCTGCTTGAGCTGGTTCTTGGAGTGCTCGTCAACGAATTTTTGGTAGTAGGCGACGATGGACTTGGCAATAGCCTGGCGGATGGCATAGATCTGGGAGACGTGACCACCACCGGTGACGCGGACACGGATGTCGACACCGGCGAACTTGTCGAGGCCAACGATCAAAAGGGGCTCGTAGACCTAATCCAATTAGAATCTTTCATCTCATCTTTCCCACTTGTTTGTATGTCTGCGATCGTACCTTGAAGCGGAGCTGCTCGGGCTTGACGAGGTTAAGAGGCTGGCCGTTGACCTTGATGAGGCCCTTGCCTTGCTGTAAAAAAAAAGCGGTCTCAGTAATTGTTCTTTCGCGACCCAGTCTTCCCAAATTCGCATGTCTTTTCTTGTATTTTCCAAACCAAATCAATCGTCGCTAGAGGGATGTTCAATTCGTACCTTGGTGTGGGCGACTGCGGTAGCTATATTGCGATAAAAAATTTAACGTTAGTTGTTATCACTCATTAAAATCCACTTTGCTCATCGAATCGCACATACCAGTCTTCTTCTTGCCGAAGCATTGCACACTCTGCGTAGAAGCCATTATGGGTGAATAGTATGGCTTTGGCCGGAGTCAAAGGGAGAGTGTGTGTCGTCGAGGGAGGGTTGGTTGATCTCGTTCAAACTGATCTCGGTCTCGCGATATTGAAGATGGACGGGCAATTCGCACACAGTGCGGGTTTTCGCTTAGTGTTTCAGCTAGTACGCTTTAGGGTTTCTTTTTCTCGATTGTGAGCTAGCCTTTTTGGGGGTCCAAAGTCATGTGACTTAGTGCCAAGAATGTTCTCCAGCCAAAAGTTCGGAGCAGCGACGGAGACCTCATCAGTGAGAAGAACAGAGACCTCTACAGATATCACCACATTTTCTGGTGTTCTCGCCGGGAGTCAATTGTCCTCGTTTGCAATAAAGGACACCTGGATATTGCTCTCATAGAGCTGGCATCGGCACCATGTCGCAGACCCTAGGAAAAGTTAGTACCAAACAAACTCTTCCAACAGCTCCAAACCACAACTATCGAATTCGAACGCAACAACTAACACAATTCAGACACGTCTCGCCTATTCCAGGACATGGCACTATATCGACGTCGGCACAGATGGCCGTTCCCTTGGCCGCGTCGCCTCCGCAATCGCAATGCATCTCATGGGCAAACATAAACCTATCTACGACCCATCCACGGATTGCGGTGACTACGTTGTTGCTGTGGGATGCCACGATTTACATACAACCGGTAAAAAACGTTTGCAAAAGAAGTACTATACGCACACGACGCGGCCCGGTAGCTTGAAGAGCATGACTATGGATAAGATGTTTGAGAAATGGGGTGGTGGTGAGGTTTTGAAGAGGGCTGTCAGGGGCATGTTGCCTAAGAACCGTTTGAGGGATAAGAGATTGGCCAGGTTGAAGAGTAAGCTTTCCTGATGATGCGTCAATTGGGGACAATTCATCAGTAGGAAATTACGAGCAATCGCTGACTGACTGCCATAGCATTCGAAGGCCTCCAACACCCCTACAAGAAGAACATCATCAAGATCAGTGGCACAAGCGTGCTAGGACCGAACCACCTGCCCGAGATCAGAAAAGTTTTCGAAAAGGTCAAGACAACTACAGAATCAGCTCCGGCCTCTTAATGATTCTGACTTCTGCTTGTCATGTACACCATATATCTTTCTCTTTCTTGAAAATCTTGTTTTATTTTTCTGGGTTTTTCTACAGCGCATGGACGGAGTCTTTGGCATTTTATTCTTTCCTCTTTGCTACTGTGGCATCTACCTGTATCTTACTTTTCAATCAGGTGCCTCATACATTGTATATCAGGAGTATTAAACGAGACCTTTCTCTAAATGAAATAAAGTAAAGTAGATTGATGATATATACATTAAATATGTACCAAGTTAACGCCCGAAACACCCTCTAAGCGCTTGTAAAGAAATGATGTCTGTTTCAGCTGACAGCTCACAACTTGGCCTTGGAAGTGCGAGCTACGGTGCACTTGATAAGTCCGTTGGGACCGGACTGGGGAGCAAAGACTTCGGCATCCTTGCCTGTGTTCTTGATGCCCTTGTGCCATTTCAAGTCTGTAGAACAAATTATATTAGTCACAGTTGACTCTCAAGGAGATATAAGGGTTGAAACGTACCAACTTCAAAGTAATGCTTGTTAGGCAACGAGTACTCCACCGTCTCGACCTGCGGCACAACAGCCAAAATCTGATCAGCCATATTGTACATGGTAGCCTGCACACTGGCGCTGTTCTCCTTTGCGAACGTGCTCAGCGTAATCTCTCGTGCAGCACTCCATGCATTATCGAACCGCGCAGAATCAGCCTGTACCTCGGCCAAGCTCGAGAAATTCTTCCAGTTCCATGTTGCATCGACCTCAGTGCTGAGAATACGATCCCAGACTTCTGGTAAAGTAGTGTACTCGTCGCGCACGAATCCCCAGAATTGTGAGCCAGTGGACTTGAGGACGTGCAACCCCGAGATTGTGGAAGCGATCTGAATGCCCTTGCCCTCGGCAACGTCAACCTGGACATTGCGGGTTTCAGCGCCGTCGCGCAGGAAGGAGTGAGGGTGTGGCTTGCCGTCGATGGTCATGCGGGTCCATCGGTGGGTGATGATGCTGACATGGGCGGCATGGATATGGCTGTATTTTTCGATGAAGTGCGATCCGATGATGGACCCAAAGACTTCGGGTGTTGTGACGGGGTGTTGTTTGGCGAGGATAAAGATTGTGTTTTTGATGGAGTCTGTAGCGACGACGACGCTGTTGTCGGCTTTGGTGTAGCTGTAGATAATTAGTCGCGTGTACAAGATCAATAGATAGGGTGGAAAGCGTACGAAACGTCAATGTCGCCCTCCAAAAGGCAGCAGACGGTCATCTCAACCACGGTCTGGAAGCCGGTCTTTTCATCGCGGTGGACCTTGTAGACACGGACATTGTCCTTGCCGTAGCGGGCAGCAGCAAGCTTCGTAGACATTTTGTGGTAGGCTTTCGTGAAATGATTTAGGATACTCAGAAATAGTGAAAAGGTGCTGGTAGTCAAATATTAGCTATATGGCCAGGATAGATCGAGTAGAAGCTTGGATGAAGCATAGGAAACCCTGAATGCGGCTTATCTTGCGATTGCCTCCGTATCAAGATATGACGATAGGCGTGGAGATAAGGGATTGCACAACTTACTTTTGTTTTAGAATCAGGGTATGTTTCTGATTTCGAGATCTGCTGTAATATTCACAAAGAACATTCAAGCAAGAACGACTGGCATGGGTGTATAAATGTTAAATAATCAATGAAGCGATATCTATCTAATCGACCCAATCGGCCAGCTCCGACACCCGCCAAACGCGAATGGCTAGGCCGGCGCCGCTTCTTATTCTTAATTCCTGAGCCCGCGATCCGATAGCTTGAACTGATTCATACTTTGGCAAACACTGGCTTAGCTCCGCGGCGACGGCCGGGATCATTGACAACATATTGAAGATATATTAACTATATCTTGGCTGTTATAATGCCAAAGTCGGAGGCGCATATTTCAGACAACATCGTATGATCTTTGTGATGCTCGAGTTATCCCCGCCTCTTTGACAACTGGAACGCCTGTTTCTTGTCCCGAATTGCGCCAACCGTGCGGCCCTGGGCGCTTTGATCTTTATTTTATGCGATTCTATGTGCAATCGCATTCACAAGTGATTGGGGGAGCTGTTATAAAGCTCGACCTTGGAACCCGGCCAATCAACGGGCAGTTTCAGGGAGCAGCATTGACAACAGTGTGATCGAGACTAATATACAGATATCGCTTTCGCCAGTAATTGTCAATTGTAGAGAGTTGTTTATACAATTGTACCAGCGGATAGAGTTGAAAGTTGGAACAAGGGGAAGCAGCGGAGGAATGCCAAGACTATTTATGTCAGTGCCTGAGGCTGATGATCTGGAGAAGCGTTGCGGGATACCTCAGACCTCACATGCCACAACAACCAAAGCCACTGCCCATTCTGGCTTGTCAATGCAGACTCGTCTCTACTATAATTGATCCTCTTCTGTTTCTTTCGCTACTGCCCTTAGCAATGGGACCGCTTGTATTTATGTTTAGTGTTTAATCGATCTGTCATTTCCCCGAGATTCAGCTCGTGCTAGTCCAAACAGCCAAAAGCACTAGATGTCCGCTGCCATCCTCAAATACACTTGAACCCCCCGCTAAGAAAACGAGCCATCGATGCGACCCTCTCCGAATTTTCGCTCCGTCGTTGCCAGGTGATACGCGTTGCGACCATCATATGGAGGGAACCCATGGCGTCTGCGTACAATACCGGGAACTCGGCGACACCAACTCAGTCTCGAGCACTTGGCGCTGACGGCAGGCCAGTCTCCAGGAGTCATGACGATGGAGGAGCCACTACACCAGCAGCCAGCTGGAACGATGCCGCTTCACGGTCAACCCGTGCTGGGCGCTCCGCCTCTGGTGGGAGCAGCTCTATCAGTACTCGCGGTGGAGCTTCACTGGCACCATCAGCGCAACCGGGGAGTTTCAGTCTGGAGTTGAAGAGCATTCAGAATTCTCGAAGTGTGACTCCACGCCAGGATGCTGTATCCCCATTTCCTCGACTGCCAAATACCATGGAGGAAGACGAGCCAGTCGTCGATACGACCGAACAACGCCAGGCTGCCATACGGGATAGGATAGCGAAGGAGATGAAAATAAAAGTCGGGACGGAGAACATGCTAGAAGCACTGTTGACGAAAAACGCAAAACAGACTAAAGATCAAAGGCTTCGAGTCGAGTCGGAGCTGAGTTCGTCGAATAGAAAACTTGCAGAGCTCAGGCAGGAACTGGAGGACGAATTGATGCGCTCACAGACCCCTTCAACACCACAACGCAGTCGACTGTCTGCCTTGTTTCGTGGAAGTCCGATGCGTTCACCGTCCCGTGCCACAGATTCTGCGGACGACGACATGGAGGGGGCAGATGGAGAAACGGAGTCACCGACCTACGTTCTAGCAGAGACATTACAGGCTTTGGAGTTGGAAGGAATGGCACCAGATTACTACATTGAAAGAGCGAATAGTTTGGTCGAATTGTTCAAGCGTCATCCAACGTTGAAATACGACCTCGAGTGGTCAGTATTTGGGCAGCGAGTTCAAATGATGCTTTTGAGTGATAGCAGGGAAGTAGTAGCGGCTGGGTACCGCTTGACCCGCTATGCTATAGCAGATAGAGCTTCCATCAGAACGATTCGCCGTCTACATACAGATGAATTAGTCACCTTATCTCTGGTTAAGGAGAGCAAAGCGAGTATCGAGAGAGAACAGGCCCTGAAATTTGTTAGAGCTTTTCTTGATGTTAAAGACGGTGTGCATGAGATTTCGAGAGCAGTGGTTCGAGCTATCGTTTCTGTTGCGGAGCACCATGAGGATAGGTTACGAAATATATCCATCATGACCTTGGCTGAGATTCTGATCAAAGATCCAGGCTTGATTGCATATGCTGGGGGAATCGGACCGCTTCACGATGCCCTAGCGGAAGGGACATTCAGCGCTTCTGAAAGTCTAATAGGAAGCTTTCTACACATTATGGACACTCCACATAGGCGACAATATCTTCACGGTGGTCGAGAACTTGAGGCAGTCCTCACTCCATTCACCGACTCATTCTCGGACACGGTTCGCTCAGGGCGTCTTAAATCCTCGGCAAAGGCGATTTCGGCCATGCTTAAGACCTGGCCCGGCTTGCTTGTACTTGCACGCGATAAGTCCAAGCCACTTTCATCGTTGTTGGAATCACTCAATTACCCTGATCCTACCGCCAGGGACCTCATACTGGAGCTGCTATTTGATGCGCTTCAAATCAAACCTCCCTCCTGGTCTTCATCTTTCCTCGCCGGCAGACGTCTGACGACATATGGCAGAGTCACCAATCTTCGATCAGATTCAGATAGCAAGCAGTTGCGTGTCTATCAGGAAAACGATAAGAACAGATTCGACCTGACCGCACATTTCTCGGCCCTGGTTCTGGCGACTTTGCTTGAGGCTGACTTAGTCAAAGCTCTATCCGGCCTCATCGAAGTGGAGGATAACCAATCTTTAAAGCGAAAGGCCACTCTGCTTCTTACAGAAGTGCTGAAACTAGCTCAGCACTCCCTCCCACGATCCGTCAGCTTCAGTCTTCAGGTTCTCCCTTCTCTACTGCCGGCAGCCGTCAAATATGACGTTGAGAACCACGAAATATCGACCTCGACTATCTACCAGATTGAAAGCATCAATCGAATTTTGGCGCGGTCTGGTTCCCTTACAACCACATCGGGAAGATATGCTGTTGTTGACGAAGATATCTCTGCTTCCCTTTTATCTGGGGAACCAGCGAAGAATAGGCTCAATCCCGCAATGGACGAAGCCTCGTTTAGAAATCATATTCTTGAGACACAAGTCTTGAATCATGTCAATTATGTCAAATGGAAATGGGATCTGATACTTCGCATTATCGAAGGTCCACTAACAAATCCAAAAAGACTCGAAGAAGCCATCAAGGGCTCGAAATTCATGAAGCGCTTGATTGGGTTCTATCGACCATTCAAATATAGGTTCTGCATGATACCAAACACAAAGCCAAACCAACGTTATGTTCGAACAGGTTGTGCCTTGTTGCGTACTTTGATGCAAACTCCAGAAGGAATCAAGTACCTCGCTGAAAACAAACTACTCCGTCAGATTGCAGAATGTCTTGCTCAGGTTGACAGAATGAGTGGTCTCACCTCAGCCTCGCCTCTCTTTTCTAAGGAACAGATGGGAAGTACGTTGAGTGGTGGCTATTTTGCCTTACTAGGCGTCCTGAGTAGTGATACCAAGGGTCTATCGATGATGGAACGATGGCATATGACTAACATGTTCTATCATATAATCGAGCTGAAAGACCGGGCTGATCTCATTCAGGCTCTTCTTGGAAACATGGATTTCACTCTAGAAAGTCATCTTAGGGTGCTTCTATCCAAAGCGCTCACTGCAGGCAGCAAAGAAATTCGACTCTTCGCAACCAAGCTGCTGCGCAAATATGCCGTCGGTCATCATCTAGCAGTCAACAATGTTGTCTGGGTTGTCAGAATGCTTGTAACCCAGTTATACGATCCCGATGTTTCCGTCTGCGAGATCGCCGTGAAGATTTTAGAGGAGGCTTGCAATCAGCGAGAGTATCTAGAATACGTTGTCAAATGTCGGCCGTCACTCGATCATCTTGGAGAAATCGGAGCTCCACTTCTTCTTCGATTTCTTTCAACTTCCGTCGGTTATCACTACCTAGATGGCCTCGACTATATCACGCAAGAGATGGATGACTGGTTCCTTGGCAGAAACGATGCTTACGTTGCACTTGTCGAAGCTTCACTTTCACGCGCTTACGTCGACCATCCTCGACGACAGACATCATCATTTGCACCCGACGACATTGTTGAGATGCAAGACATTGGCGTTGTACCACCGCACTTCTACCGCGAACTAGCCCGTACGTCCGAGGGCTGCAAATTGCTTGAGCAATCCGGCCATTTTCTTGAATTTGCCAGTACTATTCGCGATTTCGATCTGAGCGAAGAAGACCCCGAGGCCCTGTTGAAAGTGAAAGGGTGTTTGTGGGCAGTAGGAAATGTCGGCTCGATGGAACTTGGTGCTCCTTTTTTGGAGGAGACAGAAATCGTGCAGGATATTGTCAATATTGCCGAGCGTGCTGATGTGATCACGATGAGAGGTACCGCCTTCTTTGTTCTGGGCCTCATATCACGCAGCCAGCATGGGTTGGAAATGGTCTATGAGGCGGGTTGGGATGCTGCTGTTGACGAGCGTGGTGGTTCGCTGGGACTGTGTCTTCCGCGACGTTTGGAGAAGTTGTATCACGTATGAAGCTTCCCCTCGGTTTGCTTTCTATCAATCTGCTAAAATACTTTTAGTTATCATTCGTCCCCCACAAACGTGACCAGGAACTCAAGCGTCTTTCACAAGAAATATTCAAGACTGCAGCGACCGACACTGATCCCATAAACCAGCGCATCTTGAAGCTGATCGTCGACATGGGCAATACTGTCTTGTCCAAGCGATCAGCCAACGACCTGCACGGGTATGTTTCTTCTTTCCGAACAATAATGCATGTAGTCAGACCTCTAACGCGTCGAATATAGCATCAAAGCCAAACACCCCGAACAATTCCGCCAAGTTGAACTCTTCCAAAAGACACTGACCATCCTCGAAAGCCACCATTTCAGATTACCTGCCCGCCGATTTGCTTTGGATTTGTTTGATAAGAGCGTCATGAGACGGGTGGTTCTCGAAGAGGACGAGGACTCGTATTCCGAGTCAGATTCGTAGTACTACCTATGAAACAAAACTCTTTTTCGCATTTCGTTTATTTCTTCTTGTATATATTTGTATACCCAGGAAGCATTTCGGTCCATGTCTTCAGTATTCGCATGTTTGTCGCATTTGAAGGATTATATGTGCTTGCTTTTTTGGGCATAGGGCTTGCATGGTGGCTGCATGCATAATTTATCCGAGTGTAACGATTGGAATGGAATGATTGACACGGCGTAGAAAATTAACATTCCTTCGAAGGTCCGTAACATTGGAAGTCATACAAAGTAGAAGGAGATCACATGTCGTGTCCGATCAGATAAGATAAGATCTTCGGTCTTGCGTCAATCGATCTCCATCCACTGCCGGCGGCGCTTATCGGACCCAACTTCATCATCAACATCCTCCACCATCGCCAGACCCCAACTCCCATGATCACATACCAGACGAGCGCGCACATTCAGACCACTCTGTCGCACTCAATAAAAAATGATTGCCAACATCTCGTCATCGCTTCATAACATATTCACTCACACATGAAACGAATCCGCTCGATCTGTACATCTCACCATTCCATCCTCGGGGTGGGGCATCATCGTCATCACCATCACCGCCAACGATGTCGATGACTCCATACAACGAGCGAGATCTCTATCCATCCAGCAGCAATCCCGACGATGGAAATGAATCAGTAGATTCATCAGATACTCAGGATAATGCTACACCTACGACTGATGACAGTGCTGGCAGTAATTTCGCAAAAGATTCGTCCCGGATTGAACCGCATACTCTGATACATCTGTTCCAATGCCCGCTTTGCTCGCTACCACTGCGAATCCCCTTTCGTCTTCCCTGTGGAAAGACGATCTGCCGTTCTTGTCTGCCGCCGTTGAAGCGAAGGGAAGGGATTTCGTATTTGCAGGGAAGTATTAATGGTAGTAGTGAAGGCCGAAGGGAGGAAGGGTTCGTGTGTCCTTGGAAGGATAAAGGATGTGGGAATGAGCAGATCCCGGCTGAACATGCGCTGGATGATTGTGGGGTTGATGTTGTCTTGGGAAGAATTCTGGATGTTTTTGAGAAGGTGGTGAAAGATTACGAGGATGGACAGCGGCAGTGGGCTGGTACTGATGTGTGTGTGCGGTGGAATACAACGACGCTTGCTGCTGAGGAAGTCGTTGAAAACAAAACAGAGAGTAACGAAGCGATGATATACCCTACGAAACAGGTACATAAAGCTACCTTACGCGCTGGTCGCTACTTGGGTACATACCTGCTGGCTCGGGAAGGGGGTCTACCCTACGATGCGAAAGATGTCATCTACGAGGAAATCACGACCATCAATGACCCAGAAAAAGAATTACTTAACGATGACTCAAGTACCAAACTCGATGAATTCATATATGAACAGCTCAAAACCGCAATCAGAGACGAACTCGACTGTCAAGTATGCTACAGCCTGATGTACGATCCTTGCATATCTCCCTGCGGCCATAGTTTCTGTTACGAATGCGCGAACCGCATCAGAGATAACTCCAACCTCTGCCCTCTCTGTCGGAAAAAGATGTACATCTCCTTCCGTGAGGGGTCCGATCCAGTTCACGCTGTTCTACGTTGTTTGCTAGACGCCTTCTACACCGACGAAATCAAAGCTCGGAAGGAAGCCATCGAGGAAGATGGAACATACGATGATGACGAAATACCTCTATTTGTCTGTACGCTAGCGTTCCCATCAACACCAACATATCTTCACATCTTTGAGCCGCGTTATCGCCTTATGATCCGTCGCGCACTAGATTATGGAAATAGTAAGTTTGGTATGGTCATTCATAACCTTTATCATGATCTAGCGGCGCAGGCGCATCCAGATCATCCGCCGGAGCCATTTATGCAATTCGGAACGGCTGTTAGAATCGAATGGAGGGACTTTTTGCCTGATGGTAGGATAATGTTGACTGCTGTGGGGACACATAAATTTAAAGTACTTCGTTATGGAATGCTAGATGGATATTATCGCGCTCACACGCAGCGCGTCGATGACATCAGTCTCGCAGAGGAGGAAATCCTAGAAGCACGTGAATTAGCAGCAGCGGCGAGCCGAAATAATCAAACGGCAGATAGCTCGCCACTCAACGCACTATCGACTCCACAGCTGATGCAGATCTGTATGGACTTTCTCGAAAAGCAACGCACAAACTCTGCGCCGGCGGTGCGTGAAAGAGTCAATAGGGTGTTTGGTCAACCGCCTACAGACCCAGCCATCTTCCCGTATTGGTTTGCGAATGTTCTACCCATACCGGACGAAGAGGCATACAAAATCATACCCTTGACTAGTGTGCGCGAACGACTCAAAGTTGCAGCGACATGGCCGGATATGCTTGAAGATAGTGGATGGTACGTTTCCTTCTCATCTAACAAAGACGTTAAGCTCATCAATCACCAGGTCAATATCAACCTCCTCCTGCACCATACTGTGACTCCTCATCCCCTTTCTCTTGATCAGCCTTTTTAGTATTATTTTCATCGGTCAGCGGTATACATTTACCTACTCTACTTCATCCTCGTCCACCGTTCCCTTTTCGGCTTCGTTTGGCGACGTCCCGGTACGTGAATCTTTAGCGACGAGACGGTTTGAGAACGATACACACACTGCAATGACATATGTGCCGCAGACGATCATTGTTGGAATAACGATGCTCGTATTGACAGTACGAGTGATGAATCAAATGACGCATGTGCTGCATTTGAGAAGGTTGGGGCAGGCCGCGAGGAGGAGAAGAGGCATACTTCGCTGACCTGGAAAGTCGAGTTCTTCTGGCTCATTGAGCAATATCAATTGCGATTTACAGCCACCGCAACCCCAGTTGATCAAAAATGTCAACCAGGGAAAATGAGGCGAAAGAAGAGGACAAAAAACGCCACGAAGTGAATGAAGCATTTGACGACCGTTGATAGAATCCTTGACTATACAACGCATTGAATCGGGTTGATATGGCTTAGATCGACTAAGAATTTACTTTGTACATACTCTCCTCTCTGACAAGACTTGTTTTGTCGACAGTGATTTACACAGGGCTTCCTGGGTTGTTACAACTGGGCATGGAATCCCTACCTGTACTCATCTGTACCTAAATATTATATTTCATTTATAGAAATCAAAGGCTTGTAGTCACTTCAAAACAGTTACCGAACAAACCACTAGTTCAGCTGATTGTTAATGATTGGAGCGAAAAACAGTCCGCCAAACGGATTGTATTCCTATAATTTCATCTAGTATGAAATGAGCAGTTCTCGACTTCGATGTTTATGGAAGTTTGTCTGTTTGATTCGTTGAGAAACAGGCTAGTTGCCCTCTAAATCGGATTAAATTACAGTGATTGAGTAAACACAAGACGGGTCTCGAAGTCCCCTGTAGTGTATGATCGGCTTTTCGAAATTTGAAACAAGATTATATGGAATGGAAGAGAGAAGCGGAAAAAAAGCCCAGGAAAAGACGCCGTCGCATGCTTTATTACAAAGAAGTTCTATGTGACTGTGATGGAAATTGAAAGATCACTCCGATTCTTCATCTGACCGATCTTCTCGTCCAGGTCTCGAATTATACTCTGCGAGATCTTCATCGGCTTCTGCGTCGGCATCGGCATCTGCGCTGACTTGTGTGTTTCCAACCTCGTTCTCTTCCTCCTCTTCCAACTGTGCCGGAGGAGGGGGTAAATTCTTCTTAAACTCAGGGTCCACATTGCCCCGATGAAGACTTCGCTTGTAGATCTCAGCTTCATCAGGGTCACGGACAGTAACGTGGATCTGATCAGCTTGGTCTTCTCGGCCAGATGATTCACCGTGGCTACGGGCCAATCCCGCCTTTGCGATTTTGCGAGCTCGTTCAGGAGCGAGTCGCATCTTGCCGAGAATTGGGTAATAATAGGCAGCCTTTATGCCGCTATCAGTAGCTTGGCTTGATGAGGCTTTGGCAGGGTCGAATAGTGTCAAAGCGATGTCGCGCTGTTTCTGCTCCGAGTTCAGCTGTTGAGCCTTCGTAGAATATGTTCGTAGTCTGTCGTAACGATGGAACTTGCTGTCTCCATCATCGTGTGTGTACAAATCCTCATCATCCCTGTCGTTATTGAGAAGGTCGAGGTTTTTCTTGATCTTGTTCGCGGAACCCTTCTTCTCCGGAACAAACAAGTCGTAGTCCCATGGAATTGGTCCGGGATCCTTGTAAAGTGCAGGGTTATTTTTGTGCAATTGAGCCTTTGCGCTGTGTTCCTCGAGGACATGCTCAGGTGGCGCTGATGGGTACAACAGACCGACATCAATTCTATCGTCGCGTTTTCCTGCAGCTGGCAACAAAGGGGGTTTATCGAACTTGAATTGAACGAAGCCACCTGGATCTGGGTATCCCTGCAAGTCCGGTAAAACTGGGAAAAATCCAACGGGCTTGAGTTTCGGGTTATCCGGGTGAACAGGGTGTGCCCATGCATCTATCTCAGGTTTCTGTGGTGTATGTCCTTTGATTCGCTCAGCAGTATCCTCCCCAGTATGTTTACTTTGCGGATATGCGATATCAAAACCTTTCATGAGGTATTTCTTGATGTATACGGGATCATCGTTGGCCAGCTTGGTCTTTTCTGACGCACGTGGTTTGACTCTTCCAGCCGCAGGTTTGAAGCCACCAGGGCCTCGTTGTTCCACGGCAATGTATTGAGTACGACGAAGAAAGCTGACGTTGACATTCTTCACAGCCGGATTTTTGAGTTGATCAAGCGAGACTAGGAATGGTAGGTCGCGAGGGTCAGGTGGTGGTGGATTTTCCGGCATCAGAATAGCTAAGCAGATGTCAGAACGTTGCAAAAGCGTACTAAGTAGTTGAAACATACCACTTTCATCACCCAAATGAAGACCTGGTATTCCAACCAGATCAATTGGCATGCCACCCTCAGCATCAACATCAACACCTGGCTCCTCTCGCCGAGCCATGTTCGAAGCATAGCCAGAAGCTAAGAATCGCTGCAGTCCTTCATGAGGTATGTCCAAGAATTTTGGAGGCATCTCTGGGGGCGGAAGGTCATTTCGGTATCGAAGCGACGCGATATATTCCTGGTGGAAACCCTCAGCAGGGCGGGTTTCCTTTGTCTTGGACATTTTGTCGCGAGGTCGCAAGTTGACTACCAACTCGCTGGTGACCTAGATAGGAGTCGATATGAAGATAACGCCCAGTTCCAAATCTACCAGCAGTGCTTTCTGTAAGTTGGCTGAGCGAATATGCGCAGATGAACAATGAAAAGGTGCTTGTAAAACCGCCGTATGTTTCGCAGACTTCGGAGTCAATAAAGGTAAGTGTCAATTCATGCTATTCTGCTGTTATCCACCGCCTGCCACGTACACATTAGTCGATTTACGGAACAACAATGTTCCTTACAATCCACCGATCACATGACTACCCCACAGCAGACGCGCCACGATGGCAGCCATGTCGTAATTGACCAATCAGAGCAGCTGCTAGTAAGATCTATGTAAGATCACCTTGACATATGACCTCAAACCTATCTCTTCAAGCGTATTAGGCTGAAAAGGCGGATGATAAATTTATACCGAAACTCTAGACTGATTCTCAGTAATCACTGTATCTTTTCAGACTCCGAGGATAATGCTCTATTCTGCTTAATCCGGAAGCTGTTTAGCCGGCGCGCACGCTTGACGTCACGCGCGAGATGAACTTGCCTGGTACAAGACGATCAATTTTCCGGCGCAAAACTTGCTGGGAAGATCATTTACACGACAGGCAATTCGCCAAGGGTGTCGCTCCATATACATGTGTGGGAATCCGGACTTAACAGCCGGTAGAAAAGTGTTGAACCATCACGGCACTTGTTTGTAAAGTCGGATACTTTTCTTGCTCCCGTGGCGAGCGTTTCGGTCCCATTTTCTCCAAGATATACTGGTCGGTAAAAGAATGTGAAGGTGGTCAGATGATGAGTAGCACGGTCATGATACGCATGCAGAACACTTGAGCAATCCGGATACAGCTTGACCTGATATGTCCTCGTATATGTACCTGAGTAGTGATGTATCTCCACATTGGTCAAAGAGACAGCTCGACTGAACATCCTGCCCAACTCTGTATCGCTTCACCAAACGTGATTGGCAGGAAGGGACCACGCAAAGTACACTAAACCAAGGTGCTCGAGCAGGATCTGCAAGTTTTTCAAGGCCACATCGTCGACTGAATTGGAAAGTTGGCCAAGCGAACCAGGTATGAAAATGAGAGAGTGATCCACAGAAATAACCTGTCAGACCCGACAGGATGTTTCGGGGGCTAGAAATCCAGGCAGTCTCATGGGGTGTTCAGCGATCGCCTCTCGGACTACGCCAGCCTGACGCATGAAATGGCGGGACTTGCAATAACCTCTTCGTTTGACGCAGACAACAGACGTTCTATTGTAGACATTGAATAGATTCAAGCGGAGGAAGAATTCGATGAATTTTGATGATGATGAATAATGACTGGGCTGACATAAACTTGTTATCATACCCAACATCAATTAATACGGTGAACGAGTGGACTTTGAGCCCCTCATATTGGTCTCTTTTCATGGGGCTTATTTGCCCATAATCTTGGAACAGTTCATGTCTTGCACTATGACACGCAGCCAAACCGTAATGGCCTAGAAAACCCTTTGTATATGGCGAATGTCCCGGCTTCCTCTCGCATCCCTTGACAGGCATTTTCATGAACCACTTGCACTTAAGTCTTGCTTTCTGTCAGATACATGAATGAAAGTCTATTCTAGACTACTGTTGTCTCTCCATGCATAAAATCGTGCACAATGTCGACTTTTCCTCGACAGATACTTCCAAAGGGTGATTTTGATAATCCCCATGCAAATGATGTCTTAGTCCCCTCGGAACCCGCACGGTCGGACTCTACGCGGCAGACTAAAAAGACTTCTACGGCATGCTCAGCCTGTAAACACGCCAAACGAAAGGTAAGATTGGACTTTTGACACCTTGCAAGTAGGCATTGAAGCGCTGTGGGTCGGTGAGCGCAGGAAGCTACGATGTTTTCACAATACTTGACGCCATATTCATTAGCAACCATCAGCGCTAATGTCAATTTCTGTCAATAGTGCAGTGGACGACCTTCACCGTGCAATGCATGTAGGCGAGCTGGATCCGAATGTATTTTCGATGAGGCGGCAGATATGAGACGCAAAATCGCTGTGAAACGAACCGTCTCTGAACTTGAAGGGTATAGGGAGCTATACTTTTCTATCCTCGAGATGATCAGAGCTCAAGACGAAAGGTTCTTTGGGCGGTTTGTGACGGCGGTTCGCTCAAATGTTCCCTTGGATGACATTGCCGACATGGTCTCACAGAGTATACACGAGATGAGGTACGGAGAAATGCGTTCAAGGAGTCCGTCATCTCCCTTGATGATCAGGGCAGGAACTGGTCTCTTGACGGGCCAGCGACCGTCAAACACTCGCTCACAACATTCCCGCATGAACCTGGAAAATATATGCGACTTACCTGTATATAAAGAATTAACAAATTCTCTGAGCGGTACTTGACAGACTTTTGGAAGAACGCGTCTCAAGTTAGGCCCAGCGGCCTACTGGCGTAAGCAAATCGGTGGCTGTTATTGTCCATGACGAGGGTCCGAGGTTCTTATCACACCTCTATGCGCACATGGCAAATCGTACAATGTACAGATGACCTGACCTCTGGATATCTTTATATAGAGTCTAGAGCACGACACGCCGCAAATTGCATACTAAATCGTCCTTGAACCACCAATATGTCAATTAGCATAGTCTTTTCGAGAAGGTCACGGATTTCGATCTGGGAGTTTCCGAGTGCCGTAAAGGTGCGAGGTATCACCTGCAATAGACACTAAATAGCAGACATATAATCTTTCACCTCAGAATGCGTTCAAACAAAAATATGCCAGGTCCGAAGTCCTTGAGACTCGGGAGAGGAAATAATTTATGCGTGCATATATGACTAAGCAGCGGCGATAAGATAAGCACAAGGACTTGGCGCGCTCAAGCGAACATTTTGAAAACCCTCAAAATTCAATTTGAATGTGGCTCCAACCTTAGATCCAACCAGGACCATTAAGAACGACCGGCAACGATCGCCATAACCGGATACTCTTTTCCACCAGCGCTGTTCGGTTTCGAGCGTCATAACTCCATTTTCACAAAAACCGCCAATCTCAATAACCACCCACACAATGTCGTACGACGAGCGCTCCAATGCGCGCCCTGCTCTGGGTGATGAGTCCGACGTCGAGGAGGAGGCCTTGGTCAACGACTACCGCGAGCAAGTTCACTTCGATGATGGAATGAGCGACCTCGACCGTACTACTTCACTCGGTGGTGCGTCTCAAACCCAGGACCTTCAAGCACAACTTGCGGCGGCCGCGACCCCGCTCGAATACCAGGCTACTTTGGAGACAAAATTTGCCAGCTACGACAACTACTGCAGTCTGTTCCATTACATTCTCAACTCGGAGGGTCCTGTTGATTTGGAAGTTCCTTCGGTATGTGGATACAATAACATAAAACCACTGATCTATAAATTTTGTTTTTGTGGTTGGAGTGACCTGACTAATTCCTGCGTTTTCTTCGCATAGTACTACTGGGCTTGGGATGTCATCGATGAATTCATCTACCAGTTCGAGTCTTTCTGCCGCTACCGCAACCGTGTAGCTCGCACCGGATCCAACGAGGAGGAGGCTCAACTCCTCCGGGAGAACCCCAACACCTGGGGCTGCTACTCGGTTCTCAACGTGCTATACTCTTTGATCCAGAGATCACAAATCAACGAACAACTTGCTGCCATCAAGCGTGGGGAAGACCCATTGACTGTTGCCGGGGAATATGGCTCACGTCCATTGTACAAAATGCTTGGATACTTCTCCATCATTGGACTGTTGCGCGTTCACTGCTTGCTCGGTGACTTCAGCCTCGCCCTCAAGACTCTCGACGACATTGAGATGAACAAGAAGGCCATGTTCGCCCGTGTCATGGCTGCCCACTTCACAACATACTACTACGTGGGTTTCTCCTACATGATGATGCGCCGCTATGCCGACGCCATCCGCATGTTCAGCCACATCCTCGTTTATGTGTCGCGAACAAAGAACTTCCAAAAGGGCAGCAACCAGTACGATGCCATCACCAAGAAGAACGACCAAATGTACGCTTTGATCGCTATCTGCGTTGCCTTCCACCCCACTCGTCTTGATGACACCATTCACACTGCCCTCCGTGAGAAATACGGCGAGCAATTCCACCGCCTCCAACGTGGTGGACCTGAGGCCTTGCCTCTGTTTGAGGAGCTCTTCCGCTCTGCATGCCCCAAGTTCATCAGCCCTACTCCCCCCGACTTTGACAACCCATCCGTCAACATCGACCCCGTTGACCACCACACCGCCATCTTCATGGACGAGGTCAAGAATACCCTCTTCAACCCCACTGTCAAGTCCTACTTGAAACTCTACACAACCATGGACTTGAGCAAGCTTGCCGGCTTCTTGGATGTTGAGCCCGAGAAGTTGCGCGCATGGCTTCTTGTGAACAAGCAGCGCAGCCGTCAAATCCGCTGGGTCGAAGGTGGCTTGCTCGAGGGCGAGGCTATCACTGCTAGTGACTTGGACTACGCCATTGAAGGCGATCTCATTCACATCAGCGAAGCCAAGGCCGGCCGAAGACTTGTTGACTGGTACTTGCGTAACTTGACTCGTACCTACTAACTTACTTTCTCTCTCCGCGTCTAGACTTCACTTCTTTGATTAAAAGTTATATTCACATCAACCTCCTCTTCTCTTCTATTTTGTTTTTTTGGTGCTTGTGATCATCCTTGAGGAGTCGGCGTATTGTCCCTTCGATCTTATCATGTACTTTTCATCGAAGAGTATTCTTAATCTTTTCGATTTACTATTTCTTTTCCTTTCTCCAATTTATATGTTTGAGTTGTGTGCATTACTGTGACTGGGTCCGTCCATTTGATTTTTATGGATTCTGGGACACATAAGGAACGGGAGATGAAGGCAATGCACGAATCGGATGAGAATTGATGATCAAAGGAAGTCAACCGGGATGAAGGAATGGGAATACATTCTCTGGGGCATCGATGCAACGATCACCTCAAGGGTCAAGAAGTTGCTACCGGAGAGGAATACATTTGGCGGGGATTGAGTGCGAAGGCTGCCCAGCGTCACTCGTGGGAGTTGCACTATAAGGATCGTGTAGCGTTGTTCGACGAATTGATGAAGGCATGAGGAGGATCAGATTCATTTGGTAGATAGATATCAATGTCAGTACATGAAGGTATGATTCATTCACGGACTGTTGTTAAATTAGTCCGCTGCTTCCCACTGCCTACAGGGAAGTTATGGTTGAACCATTTTTTCTCAACTATAATAGCGACACCAGACTTTGTTGCGTCCGCCCTAAACTCAAGAGATGTAATAAAGACTGATTTGACTTATCAAAGCATGCCACAGATTCAAATAGTCACTTAGCGTTGAGAAATATGAGTTCGCGAACGAATTCGGGAGTTACCGAGATGTCCCTTTTCCGCCGCTTCCAGGTCTCACAGACACTCGAAACACCGTAATTTACCATTATTCATATGCTACTGCTGACCAGTGTTGATGAAAGAAACATTCATTTCATCTTCGGCATCGACTTGCAGAGTCAAAGAAATGCACTACAGATAATCGGGTAAAGACACCTGATCAGAACTTGCACTCAGGTGATCTGGCCATGCCCCGAATAGCATACCGTATGGCGACCAATCATTCGTAGGAGACTTTCACCTCGCGGAGCTGTCCGTATTTCGATGAAAAGTTGATGGCTCTAAGAATGTTTAAGGAATGAATTCGTGCTTAGATGCTTTGGATTTTCAGAAGTCCTCGACACGACTCAAGGGGTTCCGGGGGTGATTTACACGGCATCTGATATGGCATTTGAGGCAGACCCTAACGAGGCCAGTGACATGCCTTTTGTTTCTTTATCTCGGAGCAACAATTCAGTAGTAGAGAAGTCTAAAAACAAAACAGTGTTTCGTATCATTATCTATCTTTGAGTTCATTCAACCTGAGGAGCGTTCCGCATCACCTGATCAAAGAAACCCTAAAGCAGAGGTGATTGACAATGGATCCCAGACTGTATCTTCCCAGTAACATCGAGACTCAAAGATTTGCTTTTTGTCTCAACAAATGTTTTCTTTCTCTCAAGAAAACGGTACAAACCAAGAATACTGGAAGCCGGAGAATAGATCGCTGCTCCAAACACAAGGTACCGGAAGAGTGTAGTTACTCGTATGGCTGAAAACAAATCTGCTAGCACGATTCGCTTTTCAAATATCATACAAATCATTAGGCTTCTCTTTGATACAGATCTTGAGACACCTCTTTTGGTGGTGTCTCCTTGGAAGTGCTCGAAGCGAAAAGACAATCATATCTTTTGACAACGTAAACCTCAATTTGTTTGACGGTACAATGAGCATTGATAAAATAGTGCTATTAAGCACTAGAAGTCAAAGATTGAGAGACCAAATTCAGGGCAGTCATTGTGTGTTGGAACAAATCTGGTTTTGTAGGATGCTCATCATCTTACTACACACTCTTGAAGAACATTCAATGATATCGCCAGAGGTTCTTCATTAATTCAATTTGTCTTTTTGTAAGAATACTTAAAGGGACTGGAAGCATCCAGCTTCTATGGCTGTATTTTAGTGGACAGAAACATTTTTTTATACCTATTTACCACCATATAGTACAAGATGACGACGACCGTCGTTTGCATCGAAACAGATGTCGATTCAACGACCAGACTTGAGATCAACGATTCAAAGATTAACAGTCAAATCACAATTACGTCCGACGATGTCGACACTCGTTGGCCCTTCCGGGCAGGCTATCCACGCCTTCTTCGACCATCTGTAATAAACACACCCATCAAAGATGCCGACAAGCCTATCTCCGATGCCAACTTTGTAGACTTGAAGTCACAAATAGATACGATTCTCGAAACGTACAATATTCGTCGGGGAAAACGTCCTCATAAGCTGGTGTATCGGCAGCAAAAATTCGGCGAATGGGGCCTACCTCGTGTCGTTGTCGATTGCACCTATGACAAGGAAACCAGTCACAGCGAGACGTGGGCAAAGGCCGTAATTAAGATTTATACAGCAATTCAATCCGTTGCCGAAAGAAATATCGAGGTTGGCGTCGAACTCCTTGACTGGCAATACATGTCTAGAATGCATATTTGTACATGCCCGCCTGATGAAAGTAAAGAGCTGCTTGCGAATTGGGAGGTTGGGCACAAATACGCAGAGAAAATCCTCCAATTGTTTGAGGGGTCTGATCAAATGTTTCAAGCCATGACACCTGTTGGTCGTTGTTCAAAGGGCCAACGAGCGTACGAATGGTCGATTGTCATTTTCTTCGACGCAATCAACGCAGAAGATGATAAATGGGATTCCATCGAGAACAGTATGCGATCCATTCTCCCAAATTTCGTCGGTATTGAGATCCAGCAGAGGGCAGGTTCCTTATTCTGCAATAATGATGACGGAAATGCCCAACAATCCGTCGAGTTTGACCAGCCGAGCTGGGTTTCCACCCTAATCGGGAAATACAAGCAAGAACCTCTCCCTGGCTGTGAGATAGGTCCCCAGAATAAACCTTGGCAGGGTACAATGGGTGGCTACGTTATAACGGAGGACGAGGAGACAGGGGCTAAAACGACATATGGGGTTACCAATGCGCATGTGGTAGTTGATGGTGAGCACCCCATCTCCGTAACGATGTAATCGCATGATATTTTCTCTAATAACAGACCAAAGGGAGTGATGTTACTATGTCTCAAGTACCCGCTGAATCAGGCGTCAAAATGCAATACCCGAGCTTCGGGACCCAGGTGCGTGATGTAACTAGGCTTTTTAACCGCATCAGTGTTCTTGATAAAGAGCTACAGGCACTTAGGTCTGTCAAAAATAAGGAGGGGCAGGAGGACGCTTCTGTCCGGCAACACACTAGAAAGGCTATAGGAATCAAGAATAAGGAACTCAAATGGTACTACAACCACTTCAACTTCGTCAAAGAAAAAAGGGATATTGGTGTGGTACGGAATGCAAGACTCGGCCAGGCAGAGTACTACAATACTGTGCCATTGGGTGGCTCAATATTGCAAACCATAGATCTTGCGTTGATTACGATGGACTGTCCGGAGCCATGGGAAAGACCTCTTATGGCAAACGCTAATGAGCCCATGATTCCGAAGAATGCATCATATCACAGTTGGGAGGGAGATTATCTTGGATGCTCCAACGATTCCGAACAAGGCATCAAAGTTGTCGCAAAGTTAGGAAAGGGGTTCTATAGGATGGGCATCGTAAGTGAATTCCTGGCACACCTGAAGCTTCCAGGTGGAATCAAACAGTCGAGTCCTTCCTATACGCGATCGGTTCTCCGTCCTCCTCAATTTCAGATGGTACAGGACACCGGTGTTGAGGTTAATAATCTAGATCAACAAGAAAAAGCAATTATTGACGCATGGGAAAGGCAACCGGAGGATCATGACTCAGATATGGGGTCGTGGAACTCTGAAACATCTCCCCCAATATTCTGTGAGCCTGGGGATTCCGGTTCGTTTGTTATGGCTGCTACGGACTTTAAATATGGGGGTTTCACTAACCGAGTTGCAATGCCATCTACCGACGAGCTCACGTACGCCAATGTCGCAGCTCCCATGCCATTCATTGTTGGTCTGCTCTGGGGCCATTCCCAGAATGCAAATATATCCTGGATGATACCATTTGATACAGTGAAGCAAGAAATCGAACAGCTGACCGGTGAAATAATGGTATGGCCCCAAAAGCGTACAAAGTACTTGGAGGAATTGGCGGAATTTCCCCTTGGCGAGGAGATGGATGAGTCTGATTTTACCGATGGTTGAAGTGGTGTGAAAGACGGCTCTTTAAATTGACGTTGAAATCATGTTCGAGGAAGACTTTAGTAAACTGCGAACACTCTTGCGATGATTTATTGGTATATAAACTGCTAGGACCTTGCACAATTCAAAGAACCCATACAGGGGAAGACTCCTCAAGCTACATACGTAGAATTACCACATGATCATGTAATGACAGCGAGATGAGCAACAGATGAACCTACTGTTGATTGCCCGGGACTTCTTCCAGCACTGGGATGTCCATTCTTTATGCACTTGAGGAACTATATGTATCACTGGTACTGGTAGGACCTAGTGACATAGCAAGACCCCCCAAGATCGAGACACCAATACCGAATCTCCCAATAGAAATGAATAGATCTTTATGTACAAGTATATCAAACAAGAGCGAAGTCTCAGTCAGAGATTTCGCTCTGGAGCATTGTGTTGTTTACCAGATTTGATATTGCTTACCACTAATTGGGTAGGACTGACGGGAATATAAATCTTTTCATGGGCATATCTAGCACATACGACCATAGGGTGTGGAAAACAGGGCTTCCCGTCCGCTCAGCCGTACTTAAGCCACACGCCGGCTGGTTAGTAGGGGTGGGTGACCACCAGCGAATCCCAGCTGTTGTATGTATTTCTTTCTTTTTTTCAATTTATTTTACTTTTTTGCTATCCAGTCTCGCATTCTTTCTATTGCCGTTTTATTTCAGTCTGTGCGTTACAAGAGGCCTGGTGTGTCACCGTTTTGCATGTATGTCCCTTTCCAGGTTGTCTCCTCGAACCCCCGGAGTCAATGGAAAAGTCGGATCTATTGCCAACTTGTCCAAAAAGACCAATCTATGTCAGAGAGGATCGAATTCCAATCCGTGTCCACGAGGTTGTTTTCGTCTATGATTGATGAACCCTGGTCTCGGCTCGTAGAGTCTGTAGACTCCATATTTCCCGAACTCTGTTTGACTTGTGTGTCCCCGCTCGAGAATTTGTTTGCCGTGTTCATTGAGGATCTTTTAGAGGCCACCGAGCGCTCTAAGTCATCGAGAAAGGTAGGTCTTGGAGGGTTTGATCGACGATTGTTCTTGACATAATCGGCTTCGTACGCTTTCCATGCTGCTAGGACCATCTCCGCTGCGCGAAGCTTTCGAGGATCTTCGTTGAACTCGGAGACGAATGGATTATCTGTGTAAATTTCACCGAGCAAGTCCCAGCTAGGTCGGAGTCCCGGCCGCTCACGATAGCGTGATGACTCGGTGATGACATAAACGACCACAGAGGATCTTAGTATCAAGCATTGAGTGAAGGAATAATATAATGATCTTACAGGCATTCCATGAAAAGAAACCCTTGGTACGCCACCGAAACTTGTCAAGACGTCTTTGAGAATAGAGATTCAAATCATACTCCAGACAGCGCATGCACATAGCGAAAAGCTCATCTTCAAGCTTTTCAGTGGAAATAGTCGAGTTAATCCCACTCAGCACAAAAGAGTGAAGAAGAACTCGGCGCATGGTCCAGGTGAACGCCCGTGTGCCAGCCAGTATGATATTGTCAATTGGTCGAATTGGGTCGCAGTATTGAATAAACCTCCGGTTAGCGCCATTTTCAATCTGACATATAAAGGCTTCTCGCTGCTCTCGGGACAAGGATTGGTCTACGATCCATAAGAAAGCAACGCGACTTCCATCGGTACGGCGAAAGGACCGCTGTTGTTCTATGAGGTAGTACGTCCAAAGACAGTAGGACATGGCTGTGATACCTTGTCGTTCAGGGGGAGGAATCGTCATTTGAGGGTTAATATCGCTGTCTTCAATGTTGAGTGGAAGCCTCACATCCCAGTCAGCCATTAAGGTCAAAGATGCTGATCCGGTCATGACTCCCGAGGCCATATCTTGATGTTGAAGCAGCCACCAAATCCGCCTTCTCTTTTCTGTTTCGTATGGAGACAGATTGAGTGCTGTACCATCTCGATGAAGACCCAACTTCTCTGCCTGGCGTATGGTAAGGCCCATGAGGGATGAAAGGCTCTGTGCACTTAATCGGTCGAAGCATGCAGACTGTGGAATATGTCAGCAAAGGTAGACGCCGAAATATGGTACGAAATTGCTCACTGCATAGATACATGTTGCTTGAATGAGAAGAATATCCGGCTTGCCAAAAAATTTACTGGCGGCGAGTGCATGTTCATAAAGCTTCTGATGCTCAGATAGCAGATGATCTCTGGGGTGAAAGAATATCGTTATACATTCTTGCTCGGATAGAGCTACGAGACTATGAAGGTATACCGCAAAACAAAAGGCATGTTGCGGATTCGTCAAATTTTGTTTGCCTCCAGAGTGAGTTGCAAGTTCTTGCAATTGATCAAGCTCGTAGTCGAATGATACCTTGACGAGAGGATTGATAGTGTCGATAAACGTTTTCCATAATAGCGCCGCATCAGCCGGCGTGGGATGAAGTTTTGCAAGATCAAAATCATCCCTACAATTGATGATATACCCAAGAGCATGAGAGGTAAATTGCGAAGTAAGCGATGGTGTTGAGGAATTATCCTCGTTTGCGCGGCTTCTTTTGTCCCAGCTACGCCACGTGGACCTGGTGTAATCAGAAGGATCCTTTTACTTATTTACCCACGGGAAGAGTTGACATACGATTCAAGATACACCATACTGCCCCTATCTCTAACTATAAGCGGATCATCCCTTGCAAACGGGCTACTGTCTTCGTTTAGGCTTTGGTTGTTCCGCTGTTGCACTTGACTCGCTGTAGAACTACCCCGAGCCTGTATCGGAGTGACATCGTCTGTGTGTTCGGGGGAATGGACGTAATTTGTTACAACAGTCTCATATCGTCGAACACGCGCATTTGTTGTAGTAACAGGATACGCGCAATGGTCGTTTTTGCGTCGCTTGCAATTGGAGCATGGTTCTTTGCGATCACACCGAACTTTTCGCCTTGCGCAGGGGGCGCAAGACACATTCCTTGTCATAATTACCTTCGGTCGAAGAGAGCTGAGTGTCTTCCGAGCCCCATTTTTGCGTATATTGTCTTTATTCCAGGAGATAATGTTTAAATTAGCTCGGGGACAGATCGATAAACAACGTAGAAGAAGCTCGGGACCGAGGCCGAGATGCCAAGACTGGGTTCGGCATCGCCAAGACTCAAGCCCTAATTGCCGTACTATACGGATTAGTGCATGAGCATGTTTACTCCGTATAAAAGTCCATAAAGATCGAATATGTTGAATATAGTATCTGCTTATCTTTCTGCTATTATCAGTCGAGCAAAAATCTGCTCTACTGCAATCATTGACTTTGACTATGGCAGCTAAAATGGAAAAGCCGTCAGCGGTTCCTGAGGTTGAACGCGACGAGATTGAATACCCGCCCAAAAAACAGGTTATTCCTGCTATGATAGCTGTGGTTCTTGCAGTATTCGTTGTTGCCCTTGTAGGATACTCTCCACTACATGCCAAGCATATCGAATAATTCAGAAGCACTAACAGAAAGTTCCAGGATAGAACAATTGTCGGTACTGCCATCCCCAGAATCACGGACGACTTTAACAGTTTCGGTGATGTTTCCTGGTATGAGTCTGGCTTTCTTTTGCCGTTCTGTATGTTTCAGCTATCCTTCGGTCTGGTATACGTGAGTTTTCATTGCAGGCGACGCAAATATGTGTTCAGCCCTAGGAGCTAATCATGAGTGGATAGAGCTACTATTCTGCAAAGTGGAGTAAGTATTATTAAAAAACATAATACGAAAAGTCATCAAAACTCACGAACTTTCTAGTCCTATTTTCTCTTGTCACCATTTTTGAAATCGGATCTATTGTATGCGCAACAGCTCCCAATTCAAATGCTCTGATCATTGGTCGAGTCATCACCGGAGTGGGTGGCGTCGGAGTATCATCTGGAGCGCTCGTCCTGATCAACCTTTTGTTTCCACTTGAGTCTAGACCTCAATGGTCAGGTAAGTCTAGTTTCACATACTGATAAAACTCCCGAGTAACGCCCTAACTTCCTGCTATCTATCTAGGTGCTATGGGTGCGGCCTTTGGAGTGTCCTCGGTAGTCGGCCCCCTTCTTGGGGGATATTTGACATCCGTCACTTGGCGCTGGTGCTTCTGGATAAACGTTCCTATCGGCGTTGTTGCGATCATTGTACTTGCCATACTGTGTCCAGACAGGCCTCCACCGAAGAAACCGGCCGAAACATTTTTGGGAAAAATCAAACAACTCGACCCTCTCGGTTTCAGCTTGATAGGCCCGAGTATCATCTGCCTGCTCTTTGCTCTTCAATGGGGAAGTACACAGTACACTTGGAGCGACGGGCGCGTAATCTCGTTATTTGTCGTCTTTGGTGTCTTGTTCATCGCCTTCGTTGCATCCCAGGTTTCCTTCAAAGATCACAGGACCATACCCGGAAGAGTCATTTCTCAGAGAAGTGTGATTGTTGCATGTATAGCTAATCTAGGGATTGGATCCTGTCTCATTATCTTCGCGTTCTACATACCCATTTGGTTTCAGGCAATCCAAGGCAAATCTCCTCAGAGCGCAGGGTTGTCGTTGCTACCTCTGCTTCTTCCACAAGTTATAACAATTATCCTTTCTGGGATTTTTACCACTAGAGTTGGATACTACACGCCGTTGCTAATTGTCGGAGGTGCAATCATGATAGTGGGCGCTGGATTACTTACAACGTGGGAGGTCGACACGAGTGCTGGAAAGTGGATAGGATATCAGGTAAGTGCTGAATTCTTGCCGAGACGTCTGCATTGAAGCTCTGAAGAAACAATGACGCTAACGAGATATTTACATAGATAGTAATAGGAATCGGCATTGGACTTACCCTCGCACAACCCAACATAGCAGTACAGACTGTGCTCCCAAACGATGACGTACCAATCGGTATATCCGTAATCAATTTCTTCCAGTTCCTCTGCAGCTCAGTCTTTGTTACTGTTAGTCAAGTTCTCCTGGAAGATCAATTAATCAATGGTCTTAACGGAAAGGTCCAATTCGACCCGAATACCATTTCGAGTGGAGGAGCGACATCTTTGCGCACGGAGGTACCACCCGATCAACTCGCAATCGTCTTGGGTGTGTACAACAAGTCATTTGTATCCATATGGTATTTGTCACTCGGTCTTGCTTGTTTGGTGTTTGTTTCCTCCTTTGGACTTGAATGGAAGAGTGTCAAGAAGGAACAATCTGGAAAGAATGAGGGAATTGATACAACATAGACTCTGACTTCAAATATCCCCGGGGCTTCTTTTCGAAAGCTATGATTTACTAAGCGTGATTCCAAGATTTAATATATTTATTGTCTTTTCTCCCAATCTTCAAAGCAGCTCGAGAGTCTAGCCACTTTTGGGGGACGTCAAATCTGCTTGTGAATAGGTGGGTTGATATAGGGTTCAGGGGTAATGATGTCAGCTCAGGATCAGGAGCAATCTTTAGGTACAAAAATTCAACCAATTCACGACCTTCGAAATGTCAAAACGAGAAAATCCTTTAGATCTCTGCGCTATAGTAATCTCACTAAAAAAGGTACCACTTCTGTACGCAGCTGATATGGGCTAGCTCTAACTAGGTAAATAATTCGACTGAGTGATTTTGAACAAGTTAAATATTTTTAATTTGCCAACTAAATGATCAGATAGAATGTCGCAAATGCAACTAACACACAAAGACAACGCCCAATTACTAATCAAGCCAATCACATCATCCTCAATGCTAAAAGGCTTGTTTACCCCCCATCAAAACAGAGTAAACAGTCACATGCAGAACAAAAATCTTGAATACTCCACCACTTCGCCACACGATGCCTCTTACTCCAGAGGAAATCATCAAAGACTACGTCGACGACGGGAGTTCCGTCGAACGTGTCAACTGGCGCAAAAGAAAACTAAAATTCGCCATCGTCGAGTCCAATCCAGCATGGCCACAGCGATTCCTCGACACCAAGGCACGGATCGAAGCTGAACTAGGCCCAACGGCGGTCGCCATCAACCATGTAGGATCTACCAGTGTTCCAGGTCTGCCGGCAAAAGATGTCATCGACATGGATCTGGTAGTAAAGGACATCAACGACGAGGACTCCTATGTCGCCCCTCTCGAGCGGCTGGGCTTTCTATTTCTATTTCGTGAGCCAGCCTGGCATCAACATCGCTTCTTCGTCGACGAAGGAGATCGCGATGGTGCATATCCGATCAATCTCCACGTGTTTGGGCCGGATTGCCCGCAAGTCGAGACACACCGGATCTTTCGCGAATGGCTAGTAAAGACACCAGATGACTTGCTGCTATACGCGACGGTGAAAAGGGAGTGTGCTGCGGCTGCTGAAGCAGCGGGTGAATCGATGCAAGAATATACCGTGCGGAAGGATAAAGTAGTAGGGGAGATTTTGAACAGAGCATTTCGTGATTTGGGTTACATCAAGTGATACGAGGAGCTTACTTGTGATTACGTAGCTTCAGATCTCTGTTTGAGGAAATTTCTTTTGAAATGATTTGAATCTACCTAATACGTAATCATAGAATAAGACTACTTCAGGTAAGGCGAATCTCCAAGATTCCTCTCAAACTATCAGGTGTCGACGCGATCAAACGAACCTCAAATCGATCGTCAGCTCGCTTGATTACCTCCTGCCACTGCTCATAGGATCTCTCCAAGCTGTTGAACAACGTAATCATTTGCAGATCGATTGCGCCTAACATGCGCAGCATCGTTGGCGGGAGCTGACTTTGGACGGCAGCATCAGGAAACATTGACTCGAATAACAAGATGCGACTACTCGGTTTGAGTTTGTGCGTGAGATTCTTTAAGATCTGCACCACGTACTTGTCCGGCCAGTCATGGAGAATTCTTTTGAGGATGTATACGTCCGCTTGCTCTGTTTGTGGGTTGAAGAAGTTGTGAGGTTGAAAGGTGATTTGCGAAGACAGCTCTTGGGGGACGTATGATCGAAAAGCTGGCTCAAGTTCAGGACGGTCTTGAACTATAAAGGAGATTTTGGGGAAGGCTTTAGCTAGGAGTACAGCGTCGTGTCCGCTGGAGCCCCCAACCTTGAGAGAACTGTCAGTAATTGACAAGAAGTGGGTAGAGTTGGGCATGAATTGCCACGAGTCACGAACGTACATCTATTACTGTTCCGCCCCCCAGGCTTCCCCAGTCAAAATTATCTCTAAGAAGCTCGGTGGGAGCACTGGATCCTCCGGCTGCAGCCTGCATAGCTTCAGCAAATCTCTTCTCTCTGAAACCCTCCGGCTTGCCTTCTGGAGTCACTTTTGCATACGCCCAATAATCCACTGGGTGCCCAGTTCTATCAATATCGGCGATCGAGAAGCCGGACTCAAGAATCTCCTCGCTGAGATTTGGCTTGCCGGCGCTATACTTCCTCAGTGATTCAGCAAAATGCAATGATCCCGCTCGAGTTTCTTCGGTCTGGTGAGCTATCATACTTCGCATGGCTGGCGTTTTGGCAAGGTAAGCTGTGGTAGCGGTGTGTTTCACAAACTCAGAACCTGGCTCAGTTGCTGCAAATAGTCGCATGGTGAAGGCATGTCTCAATATTCGGCGAACGACAGATTCAGGAAGATTTGTTGCGCGTGAGATCTCGCTGTAAGTTGCGGAACCGCCGAGTGGGACAGCCAAGAAGAAATCAAATTGATTGAGGACATCGATGGTCATCTGATCGTGGTTGTTCTACACTACATTAGCTGAGTGGTCCAGTGATAGACTATTGCGGAGATTGAAGCTAGGATTACGAACCCATACGGGCGAGAACAGGCTGTAGAATGCGGGGCCCATAGCAAGGTGAAGCATATCAGTCAGTGCACCGAGGAGCTGCAGACGAGCGCCTTGGACTTCAGGGTCCTTGGGGATATCTGGAGGGCCATTTTCGTCGAATGATGGGGTGGGAAGGTTCTTTGACTTCAGAAATGAAGTGATGGCGTTTGATGATTCACTAATCGTTGCCGCTAGGCTTTCGAAGTTAGGACTTGGTTGTGCCATTTCAATGTATTACCCAGGTGTTGTTAGTTTTCATCAAGCATCTAGTACGCAAAGAAGATCAATGGATTGAGACGTGTCAATCAGATGCGACAGGCAGCCAGATTGTTGCATGGGATAACTAGGTATACTCTCGAAATCATAGCTTGGTTTGTTCAAGGTCGAACGTTGATTTCGTAGTCGGGAATTCTGCATCATATATATCCGGGAAACCTCTAGTCACCCTTCCACGAGACAATCGGGAATACGATATTACTGGCCTCTGGGAATGATCGCGTCGCATCGGTGATGTGATACGGGCCGCTCGGGGATTAAATTGATGAAATTATCACCAAAAACCCGCTGAAGTACGCCATGAGCTGAGCATATCACCATTTAGCCTCGAAAATCCCGTACAAGGACATGGTCAATCCGTTCCTCATCCGTTCTTCGCAAGAGTGCTGGGCGCAAGTATAATAAATATACCACGGCTAGGGTTAGCTGGTAGTCAATGCAACGAATAGTTCTCGCAACCCCCTAGTTGTTTTTTCCACCATTTCTACAGCAATTTGATAACCAGAAAAAAAGCAACTCTCCATGATCTCAATAATAAAAAAGTCAAAAAAGAAACTTTAAATACAACAGCGTAAACATGGCCGTGGTCACCCAGTCCGTCGCTATTTTGATTCTTGCTGCTTCCCGGCTGATAGTGGAGCGTTCCATGCCCCAAGGAACGCCCAGGAGCAGGGCTTCCACCCCGTCCCTAGTAAGAGCATAAAACTGGAAAGAAAGACCCGCGACCTTCATTGGCATATCCGTAACTCAAACGGCAAGCAACTCGTAGAGCAATATATGCTTTCTACGTCCTGCCTGTCTCTTTAAATACTTGCGAGCAATCTTATTCTTATGGATTCTCTGGGTGATACATCAGATGTCCTGTGCTTCAATAATGAAAGCAATGTGATATGTTAGATAACTATTCAGCTGTGTTTGCTGAAAGAAACATCAACAACATTGCCCCGTTCTGAATTAAGTGGACTAGGAGCTTAACGATTTTATGCTCAATATCTGAGGCATAGAAATCTTGATTGCTTACTATAGTGTTCATGGATATGGTTGGTATCCAAATTGCTCGCATCGATGGCGATGGACAACCTTTATGCTTGCAATAAATCCAAGTTGACGGCCCTCAATTTTCCTGCACACTCTATTCAATTAATTTTAGAAAGTTTTACGAAAGATTATATAGATCTCACTGCTTCACGTATACTGCAAGTTTTTCCATTTTTCAAATCAACAATAGTTAATCCGATCTTCCCCTCAATATGAGCTGATATTGAAGAGTCATTATTACGAATTCGTGGCATTTTGACGGGTTGAAACATAGTAAACCTCCGTCAATAATCTTCCGTTTACGACAACGATCACATCTCATGTCAGTATGCGTACCCTTCTGATGTTAGTAGATGATCCCAACCTGTAATTGTTCCCCAAGATCAGAAAAGGTAGCAATTGGTTATGATCAGGCTAACATCAAGGCACATCCTGTAGCGAGTAACGATAAACAACACTAAAAGAAAAATAGCCCTAGATCCATCTTAACTTAGAGCTCATAAATCACGTAGAATTGCCATGTGATCTAACACATAAGGGTCTATATAGAAGAAATCAATAGGGACCTTTTTCCACATTAAGAGTAGTATATATAGCCTTAGCTCTAGAGTTAGATTCAATTTTAAAATCCACATGCTACCAATTAAAGAGCTTAGTAAGATTATGAAGATATCAAAAAATTCAAAAAAAACCTAAGTTCGCTTATTCTTAGTCTTGCATAAGTTTTTTTTCGTATGAGTAGTGGGAGAAAATTTCTAATATTATAATCTTCAAAAAGTACTTTAATGACTAGGGCTTCCAGAATTCCTTCTAGATTCTACTCCAGCAACCTTTGCTTGGCCAATTTTCAATTTTATAATACTTTTTTAACCAGTTCTTATGCTTCTTTAAGAAGTTTCATTAAGCTCTCTAATGACGGTCACGGTGATGGTGCCCAGGATGACAATTATATATTGGACCTGAATTATATTAGGCTAGATTGTCACAGAAAGTTCCAATTCGCCATCAACGCTATAGATTCAAATTCTGAAAACCCCATTGGACTCGCCAAAACCTGATGATTGATATCAATTAGATCTGGCTGGCTAAAGGTAAGATATGAGGCATCTTCACCCTCTGCGGCGCAGGCAGCAAGAGAAACCGCGCCCTGATCTGTGGTTTCGAGGAGGCCTAGCTCTGTGTATCTGTTTGTGGCAGTACCGGCAAGAGCAGGCAATGATAGTTCTTTACCATTGTGTTCTCGCAGACCCCTGGTTTGGGATCGAATGATAGTTGCTCTTCGCAGTAGCCGTTGTAAGGGTCGCCACAACATTCCCCTCTTCCCATTTCTCTGAGTCAAATGCCACTTGTTTTGCACTAAGTCGACCGCCTTCCATGCTTCATCTGCGAATGTATTTGTCGGTCGGAAACATAATTCCGAAAGCAGGAAAGCAACATAAGACCAATGTGCATTAGCATGGAATAACCAACTCCATCGATGGGTGTATATACTGCTTTCCAGTGAGAACGAAATCTGGATCACTTCAAGTGACAAGTGGAACAACTTATCTCTAGACTTCGCAGAGATATTTTGCAGCGTGAGGTGGCTGGCAGACCGGCGAAAATAAATGTGAATCCATAGATTAGCGAGAAGAAGTCGAGAAATCAATACGCAGACTTTCTGAAACGGGATAGACTCATCACAGAAACTAGTGTACTTGTGTTGAATCTGATCGCTGATTTCCTTGCCAATCTGCTCAAGGCTTTCGTGAGTGGCTTGGTCGCTAGAGCTCGATGAAATGGCAGAGGTCACCCGATTGAGGACAATAGCTACCTCGCATCGAATGAGGCAGAAGGTCATCTCAGTGAAGCCTATTTGCGGTTGTACAGGCTCCGTCATTTCTGGGTAGAGACATTCATCATTCACATTAGAAGGAAGCTTGGTACTGTATGTCCCCTCTGAAATTTGCCTATCAGTTCCATGTTCTTCTGACGACCGCATATCCAACAGCAGGATATGCCACCATAATCGTCGGCGCATTTCCGTGTTGAACGACGTCAGTCCGAACTGATCTCCATCACGATGGAGACCAAGATATTGACCGATCCGCACAACCATACTGGTCATAGACCAGACGAATCGGGTATTATCCTCTCGGCGTACTGTCATCAGAAATAATACCACAGCTTGTAGTAAGACCGTGCTTTGCGTGCTCAGCAGGTCTGCCTCCGCAATAGCCTGTTGGACAGCAAACCGGAATTTAGTCAATAAGACATCTCGAGCCACACCGAGCTCACGATGGCATTCATCGGCGGGCAAGCTTACAGCCGCGGCATGATAGATGGCAAACATCAAAGTCTTAACGACTTTATCCGCAGCGCGCCCATGCTGAATAATATCCATGAGAAGCCCTCGTACTGTTGGCCAATGAAGTATTGGTAACAATGGAGCAACATTCTCTTCATAGGTCTTGATAAGGTAACAGGCCTTGTCTGCCGGTGGACAGAATCTACGTAAAGATCTGCAGGGAGAAGTAATGCCGAAAAGAAAACCTTGAAACCGAGAATTCGTGGCCTCGGCGTCTTCTGACTCATCTTCTGATGTTGACGAGTCCAATACATCCTGCATTTCTTCAACCTACAAAGGTCAGTGTGGCAAAAGATTCAGAGACATATGTACCTACATCATTTGCAAGGACATTCCAAATTGTACTGCTCACATACCGGCTTTTCCCTTTTTGCACGGCTAAACGACCAGATTCAGAAAGGGCTTCATGTGTTGACGGAGTAGGAAAGACCCTTTCCGGAGATTCGTGTTCGGCGTGAATCGTGCGACTTGAGACTGTCTGGTCGCGCTTCCCCAGAAGGGGATCCGAGGCACTCATAAAACTCTTTCCAGACAAAGAGCAGATTCCGGACATGTCTTCGATCCTTTCCTCGAGCCTCTCAATGCGAGCCACAATATCAGTGCTCAAGGTTTGGGGGACTCTACGACGCCGCCGTCTGACCTCTTGGAAGACGCATTGTGTTTTATTTCGAAGACACGTTGAGCACGGCTGCATACGATCACAGCGTACTTTTCTCAGTCTGCATTGAAGACAACTGTTTCGAGAGATCTCTCCAGAGGTTGATGGCAGGCGTTCAAGTCCTGAACTTGATGAATAGTTTCTCAAAGATTCCATAAGTAGGGTATGGAAGGTATAGTGTTCCTTCGCTACGACTATCTCGGCGGTGTGGGAGATCGCAATTGAGGGCCGCCCTCGGAAGCTTCAGTGTATGCTGTAAATCTATCAGCGAATATATCACCATGTCTCATCATATCGATATGTAGGGAGAACATTGGCCTGAGAAAGTACGATAACCAGATATGTTGAGACTGAGCAATGCTGATTACTCATCAATTCCACGAACATTAAGTTAGTGCTGCCGACGGCCCGAAACCTCACGGACTACCGAACGCCATAAGCCCCGAAAGCTTAGATTCGTTCAACTCTCCGCATCTTATATTCTTACATGGAATGAAATTCGTCCGCAGACCTATAGAATTTGGATTGACAGCCTACGTGGTGAAACGCGATGATTAATCCCCTATTATGTCTATTTGTCATCGAGCATTATACTCTGAGACAGTGGGCAGTACTCGACTTGAGTCGATTCGTCATGCTTACAAGTGCATGATTTTCACCTCAGCTGGGCGAGTTTCGTGTCTGATAAAAGCCTGATACCTATCTTAGTTCCCAGAAATATTTTTCACAGAGTCTCAAGGTATATGTGTCAATCCTTTGGTGATTAACCGAACCCTGAGAATGTCTGTTGCTATTCCCACTTCCGCTGTCATCGTCGTAGGTGCCAGTGGTAACCTCGGCCCGTTTATTGTCAAAGAGTTGTTGAAGCAGAAAGCCAAATTTTCTCGCATCGCAATTCTTTCCGCACCAGAGAAGAAGGGCAAATTTGAAACCGCTGCCAAAAGCGGGATCGATGTTGTCCTGGGGAGCTACAAAGAAGCAAGGTCTTATCAAGGTGCTCTGAACAATTTCCGGATTGCTCTTCTAAATTATTGATTGTTGATAGGGTTTGATGTCGTAATATCCCTTGCTGGCAATTCAATCATGATCGACCAGCCGCAGATGATCGATGCGGCCATCGAGGCAGGTGTTACTCATTTTTACCCATCGGAATTTGGAGTCGATATAGGTCAGCCGGTTTTTCTCCAGGAGCGTTATTTTCGAGACAAACTTACGACTCGAGAGCATTTGCGAAAAAGGGCAAGAGAGGTTCCTGGATTTGTCTTCACGGAGATAATCATCGGAGCTTTTGCCGAGACATTCGTTTTGTCAGATGTCTTTGGGCTTGACAGGCAAGGTCGAACATTCACCTACTACGGAGACCTTGACGATGTCAAATCTATCTCCTCCATGGAAGAGTGAGCTTATAGCCATTACGGTCTTCTTTTCCTGGAAATTCTGACAAGTTCAATATTTTAGTACTGCAAAGTATACCGTTGAGTCGATTCTTTTGCCTGTCGAGACTGGGATCACAGAGCGAACACTGAAGGTTCCAAATGGGAACTATACGGTCCGCGAACTAGTGAAAATTGTGAGTGAGCTTGATGGTACTCAATATGAGACCCATATATTTCCGGTCAATGAAGCGAGAAAACAGCAAGAATTAGCGCGCCTGGCCGGATCAACGGATCGCGAACTAGCATTTTCCTTGAAGGCGCTGTTTTCAAGTCCATTCGTAGTTGTTCCCAAGCCGTGGCAGAATGACATGTTCGCATTCAAGCCGAAGAATCTAGTGGAAATGATCGAAGAGTGCTTGTAATAGGTGTCAAATTTTCCTATTTCCGTTCTCCATTAAGTGTTAGAATCATTAATCCATCAACAATTTCCTTAACGTACAGAAGTCTGTTTTTGTCTTAAGTACTTAAGAGTCAGGATTTTGCCGTGACAGTTCACATGTTTAAAGACTGATACCTGCTAAAGCAGGAATCTCTCATGTGTTTATATCGACTCTCGTTTCTTTTCCCATGCTTAGTCGCTTCGTTGGATGCTACTACGTTGACGTTGTCTCTTCGTACTTGAGCTATAAGTTTTGCCTGGATAGTAGATGTCGTCTGTCGTCATTAGTCTGTTAGAGTGATGAATAAAGAGTCTAGGACTCGAACTGTTTTAAGGAAAACGTAGGTTACTGCATAGTGGACCTTTGTCGTTTCCCTAAAGAGAGACATATAATACCATAAACTACAGCGAACTGGCAGGKACAGCGGCTTCGGACACTAACAGCAAGAAATCAAAGTGGTGATTCGCATGTCATGTAGACGCGAGAACTGAAAGTGGTATGTTGTCCGCTCACCACTTCAACTGGGACTAGATAGACGGTCTCTATGCTTAGTCGACGTTAAATCGAATGGTGATTGGGGAAACGCTACGAAGAATTCGTTACATTATATCACAATGTGGAGTGAGTCAGGGGAATATCTCGCCCTTCGGAGTTTCGGGTTAGCGTATTCATCATCACCGAAAGTCCTTGTACTATTAACCTGCATATCCTGAAAGCTGAATACCGACCTATCCGTTGATTATAAAGAACGGTATCACGCTTCCTTTCTGGCAAAGCCTTCAATTCCGTACTCCCACCGTCCCTCAACAAAACTTCCGGCTTCTGCCAGCCCAAAGCTGCGGCAGAATTGTCATCAATACTAAATTAACCCTTACCATGGAAAGACCAGAGGAGAATGAATTGGAGGAACTTGTAATTCCTATCTGGCATAGTGAGCTTGAGGGGCTCCGCTCGCACGTAGTGCTCAGATGGAGCATAGTTGGTAAGCACATTGATTTTTTCAACATACGAGCGGTCCCTCGTAAAAGTTTGGTCTTCAAAAGATTGATATGATAGGTTTAGTCTTCCTTCTAGCCGGATTTATCCTCAGTGTTCTATCTCTCTTTTCAGGGGTGTTATCTCGAACAGAAAATAATCTGTGTGCTCTGAAAATATGGATAGTTGATTTTGATAGCTCGATGGCTCCATATGACGATATTGAGCCTATTATTGGCCCTATGATCACCGAAATTATCATGGAGGACTTTCCCTCAGCTTGCCAAAGTCCATCTTTCGTTCGATGCACTCCACACAGCTTTCAAAATGACTCGATGGCAGTCCGACAAGCGGTCTACGAAGAGCGGGTGTACGCAGCAGTGATTATCAATGCTAACGCAACAAGCTCCTTACAAGCCGCTGTAACGTCTGGAAGTACATCTTATGATCCTCTCGGTATTGCACAGATTGTCTATAATTCTGCCCGTGACGAGAATACTTATTATGCCTACATAATCCCGACGCTATCTCAACTGCAAAGAAAAGTCATCACCAAATTCGGGCCACGTTGGATCGAAATGATGCGAAACAGCGGATCTCTCAATGATCCTCGAATACCCACCCAAGCATTAAATCCATCCATTGGCTTTACAGAAATCGATCTGCGACCCTTCAGCCCGGTCGTCGCGACACCATCTGTCAGCATCGGGCTGATATATCTGATAATTATCGCATACTTCGCATTTCCCTTTCTAATGCCCATTCACAATCGTCTGAACAACAAGAGACAAGGCCATCCTGTGAAGCGTTCGCATATGTTACTCTGGCGTCTTATGTCGAATTTTGTTGCCTACTTTATCCTCTCGTTTTTCTATTCCCTTATCCCTCTCGCATTTGGAATCCCATTTTCCAATCCCCGTGGCATCACAACGGACGTGATAATGAATGGAAATGGGTATGGAAAGGGTTCATTCGTGGTTTATTGGATGCTGAACTGGGTGGGCATGACGGCCCTGGGTCTTCCAAGCGAGAATATGGCCATGATAATAGGGGCACCCTGGAGTGCACTGTGGCTTACCTTCTGGGTCATTTCCAATGTATCCACGGGTTTTTATCCTCTGGATCTTGCACCAGGGTTCTATAAATGGGGCTACATTTGGCCCCTTCACCGCAGTAAGTCCATAAAACTATATCATGTTCATGAATGTGTTTACAATAAAGTTGCTGATGTTTTTCGAACATATTAACAGTAGTCGAAGGCTCGCGTACAATACTATTTGGCACACACTCACGTATCGGAATTGATTTTGGTGTGCTCTTTGGCTGGGTTGGCGTCTCAATTTTATTATTCCCCTTTGCAGCTGCAATTGCAGACTGGAAAGCTGTTTCCAAAAAGAAACTCTGATACTGTGGTGGTGGTGAATTCATACCATGGCCCCTTGCCGAAGTTGTCACTCTGAATTGAGACACAAGTGATGATAATATTCTTTGCATTCTATGCAATCTATGTATGTAGGCACATTATATTTATTGTCATAGTAGCTCCTATCGCCTACTAGGCTACCAGTGGTAGCCTGCCCAGCAGTATGTGTATCATTGTTCTGGGGTCCAACTACCGAAGCGATATGCAGGACGCCATTATCTAGTCATTCTGTCTATGTAGAATAGTCCATTACATTCAGACGAATTTAGAGCCTCGTCGCGGCCTGTAGTTGCCTAAGCGCCCGGTATTCTGTCAGCGGCCCTTAATGCGTGTTTACCATATCGCGAGTCTTCCTCCATCTGTACTACATTTTCCACGGCAACTACCTCAGCTGTTCTCTTTTATATCCTGCTACGTAACCAGGAGAAATTCTGCCACCAAAAGTCACAGGATAAAATGAGTCAAATTATATCGACTTTTCATGCCGCATTTGAACTTGGCTGTAAATTTACTACATGATCACCTGTAAGCGTGGATTTAAGCTAATAAAAATTGCTATTTTATCGCTGGTGCTTACCCTGATAACGCACTGATACACTTTTGATATCAGTTTGACTTTACTGAAGTGATCAATTGATAAAAAGTATAAAGAAATGAATTATTCATTTTAATACCTTTTCCCACTCAATTATCATGCGCATTTTCGTTGTCATGGTCCCACCACACGGGATATAGTACCTAGAAGATAAACAGTGCAAGACTGGATAGCAAAAACGTAAAATAATTAAAGAAGAAAGAAAATTACATACAACAGCTGGGATTCGCTGGTGGTCACCCACCCAACTACTAACCAGCCGGCGTGTGGCTTAAGTACGGCTGAGCGGACGGGCCTGTTTTCCACACCCTATGGTCGTATGTGCTAGGATATGAATTGCAACGGGATATATACCACATGAAAATGATATTTTTCACCAGCTGCAGTTGAGAGGCATCGCATAATAGCCCTAAGGTTCTAGATTCTATTTTCAGTCAATTAAATCCCATGAGAGAAGAGCATAGATGGTATATACATAAGACTCAATATACACAGACAATATCAACATTAAATATGTATGATACAAGATCTAGCGTGCCACTTGCAGAGCACGCTTATAGATTAATATCAAAACTCGTACCACAGCCACAATTGCTCGTGGCCCGAGGATTATTGACCTTGAACTGACTTCCAATAAGCTCTGTCGTAAAGTCGACCGTACTTCCAGACAGCAGCTCTAGTGACGGCTGATCCATGACGACTCTAGCTTTGCCGGGTCCCAAGTTTGCTTCTGTTTCAGAAGGTTCGAATATGGTGTCTTCTGCTTCGTCGACTTTGGTTGATGGTTCTAGTGACATTAAGTATTGGAAACCATGACATCCGCCGCTCGTTACGGTGACTCGTAGGTGTTGGCTTTCTTCTGATGAAGCAGTTATTTCACTTAGACGCTGTCTTGGAGTTAGTAGAAGATCGGCTGTGATGGCCAAGTAGTTGCGATCAAATATAGAGAGAAGAGAAGAGAGCAAAAAATCACATATGTAAAAGCACGTGACGACACTCCTCTCGTAGGGTGGGTGAGCACCGCCATATTTACGCCGTTCTATGTGTAACTTCAACTATTTTTTTTGCTTTTTTCATGGGCGAAGATCAACATACAACAGCGTGCATTCGCCGGTGCTCACCCACGCTAGCCCCCATACAGCGAAGTGCATACGACATGACCAAAACCAGAACCAAATCGTAAAAAAAGAGGCGGAAGACACCACATACCTTTGCGGCCCGAGGCGATATCTCTATAACCATCGGGTTCCCATCATCATCGTTTCTCGGGTTTAGAGTCGCAATCGCCGGCACTCGAGCTGCTCTGGTTGTGGAGAATGCCGCGGAGGTCTGAAGGAAGGGTCGAGGACTGCGGAGACATCGCTTCGCGACGAGTGTGTTTGCTGGTGATATCGAAGGTATCGTCCGTTTTTGTCTAATAGCTGATGAATAACTGGCGGACTGGGTGCGAGAGATGTTCGACAAGGGGCAAACAGGCCGTCGGCAGGTTTGTCGGACAGACTCGGCAACGGAAGGAGTTCGATGCTGTATGGCTCGACATGTGAGGTGTGAAAGTCTTTGATGAGACATTTTGAAAATCGACGACTTAATCAAGTCAGCTTGTCTCAGCTTACCGCATATAGTATGTATGGGGGTGAAGTTCTGGCTAGAAGAAGTCGGAATGTTTTGATGTCGAATAATCAGTTGATTATCTTATCGATTGCCTCACCGCCTCTGGCAGAATACGCATGCTTACAAATTCAAGCATTGTGATTGACTGACCGAATATCCTGTACATAGGCTATTAGCTTTGATGGCATGAACAATGCTTTCGGCAGAATGTGACGTATATGAAAATGGAGATATTGCAAGTCCCTTTTTCTCATGTTGGGCTGTGAGCTCTTTTCTCGTAGCCATCAATGACGGACATCGAGGCGGCGACTAGCGGCAGTATATTATACAGGCTCACGGTGCCCCTCGATGAAACAAAAGTTTCCCACGTCATGCTTTGCTTTTGAAATAGAAGGATATTGTTGCTTGCTATTTTCTGTTACTTCTAATGAAAATCTCAATTAATTATATTTTACCTTGACGAATGCAATGGGTTCCAGGCTTCACTTCCAGAGAATCAAAGAGCGCCCTCCGCTCCCCCACCATGACGATATAAGAGCTTATAAGCGGGAATATGCAGAAGCTTTGGACGAACGGGATCCTCTCAGGTCATATCGTGATCAATTCATTATTCCGTCCAAGAAGGATTTACTCAGGAAGAGGCTAGCGGACACCGAAGGTCTGTATCCGATTTCGAGCCACTTTGAAAGCCTATCGTCGCAATGCTGACATGTTGCGGTCAATAGGAGACGATGAATCAGATCCACGCTGTACATATCTCTGCGGAAACTCCCTAGGTCTTCAGCCAAAGAATCTCCGCAAATACCTCGATCAATACCTCAGATCATGGGCCATAAAGGGAGTCACAGGTCACTTCGTTTCTCATGAGGATGCTTTACTTCCCCCTTACTTGCATGTGGATGATGCAGGCTCAAAGCTTCTGGCTCCCATTGTGGGCGCTTCGCCCAGCGAGGTTGCTGTTATGGGAACGTTGACGGGGAATATACACATATTGATGAGCAGTTTTTATCGACCGACGGCGGAACGACATAAGATTATCCTTGAAGGAAAGGCGTTTCCCAGTGATCATGTATTGCTCCCACCCTCAAAGCAATTAAAGCAAACTTGAAAGAAGAACATGCTAATGTGACATATAGTACGCCGTTGAATCCCAAATTCGACTCCACAACTTCGACCCCGCAACCTCCATGGTCCTCATTGAGCCCGAAGACGCCGAGAAACCCATTCTCAGTACCGAGCAAATTCTAAGAGTCATCGACGAAAATGCCTCTGACACAGCCCTGATATTCCTCCCAGGCATCCAATTCTACACGGGCCAGTACTTTGATATTAAGACCATCACTGCCCATGCACATTCAAAGGGGATACCAATCGGCTGGGACTGTGCGCATGCCGTTGGAAACGTTGAGCTGCAATTGCATGATTGGGATGTCGATTTTGCCGTTTGGTGTCATTACAAGTATGTAAATAGCGGGCCGGGGGCTATGGCGGGATTGTTCGTGCATGAGAAACACGGGATAGTTAAGCTCGGCGAAGAGACTGGTGAGAGTCCATCGTATCATCCTCGATTGGCTGGGTGGTGGGGACATGATAAGGAGACTCGTTTCCAGATGAACAACAGTACGTATAAGACTTATACGACCACGATGAAAGAAAAACGTGATCTATTTATACTTACTTCCGACAGAATTCGTCCCCCAAGAAGGTGCAGCAGGCTACCAAATCTCCAATCCCTCAGTCCTCGATCTCAGCGCCGTAGCCTCATCCCTCGAAATCTTCAATCAAGCAACCATGCCCGCCCTCCGCCAGAAATCCTTAGAACTGACAGGCTACCTCGAGCACCTCCTCCTCAAATATCCGCTTGACGACCCATCAACCTCGAACGACAAGGACCAGAGACCATTCACAATAATCACCCCCTCAGACCCATCCTCGCGCGGCGCTCAACTCAGCATTCTTCTTCAACCCGGGCTGCTGGACAAAGTACTCGAAATCCTCGAGGAAGAAGGCGTGGTGATTGATGAACGGAAACCGAACGTTGTGCGTGTTGCGCCGGCGCCGTTATATAACACTTTTACGGATGTATGGGAGTTTCATCGGGTGTTTGTATTGGCGTGTAAAGAGGCTGTTAAGGCTAGGGATGGAAAGTAGGAAGCAAAAACAGGGGTCATTGATAATCATGCATCAATCGACGTTATATACCATACACTACGTACTTATCTACTCACTCACTCGTTCGTTTTCATCGTACTAGTAGTTAGTATCAGGCTTAATTTACAGCAAAAGCAACTCCCCCGTAGCAGCACCACCCGCCCCCTGCGGCTGATAAATCTGTTGCTGATTTTGATTCACCACGTACTGCGTCATCTGGCCTGTTCCGCCTAACCCGCCTAGCCCGTTATCATCTCGTCCGCCCAGGTCGAGATTCGCCATTTGCTGAGACGCGACGTTACTGAAGTAAGCGTCTGCAGCATGGACGGCGGCAGAGAGGTCGCCTGCGTTCCCGTTCGATTGTGCAGGGGCAGGAGCAGTTGAGGTTGGTGGGATGACGGCTGTTAATCCGGCTGATGTAGCGTCGTATGGGAATGAGCCTCCTTTTTGCAATTCGGCCATACCCGGTCGTTTGACGAGTGCAGGGCTATCGCCGAGCCGTTTTGGTCGTGCCGAACGGAACACTTGTTGGACAGGTTTGAGGTAGACGGTTGCTAATGTGCCCACATTCAGACAGAGCTCTTCCAGTGTGTTGGGTTCTAGTTTCTCGCTTTCGGCTGTGATAGGGGGCTTCTCGCCCATTACTACCTCCTTAGCTGCAGCTGGATCCGTTGATAGAAGACGCCAGTACATGTATCCTCGGTCACGGAGGTCGGGGTCGTCAGTGTCCTCGGTGCACCATTTCAGGACTTCGGGGACTAGTTGTTGACCTTTTGTGGGCCGTTGGATGAACAGTTTCACGGTCGCTGTGAGCAACGCGAGCTGTACTTCGATAGGCTCGTCGTGGAACGTTGCTAAGTAGTCCTGAAGTAAACCATCCGAATTTTCGATGCGGTCCGCATACTGCCCAATGATCCAGATGATTGCTGCTTTGGCCTCAGGCTCATCGAGTTCGTCAATATTTTGAATGACTGCTCCAATGATACCTTCGTATTGGTTGGGGTATTTGCGGAATATGTTGCGAATCACGACTGTAGCTTCTTGGACGATGTAAGGGACCTTGGCATGTACGAGTTCCAATAAAGTGTCGATACATTGTCGTGCGGCAGACTCAATCTTGATAGCCAGTTTACCGATGGCTCGGACAGCCTTCCGCACAAAATGCACATCAATTTCTGACGCATATCTATGACAGTCAGCGAAACCCAACGGTAAATGAGGAAATAGACGTACTCTCGCAATTCAGCCAAGACGACACCAATATTCTCCTTTGATGCAAGCATAAAAATCAACTCCAACTTCGTGACTTTGACATAAATTGGGTCATTATATTTGCAGAAAAAGACACGGATATCATTTCGAAGAACCTCGGGGCGTTTCTGCAGAATCAATATGGCGTTTCGTAAAGCAAGGTATTGCACTTCAGGAGGTTTTGACAACAGCGTGACTAGCGGCGGTGACAGCTTTTTTGACAGAGCAGTGACTTGTTTCTCGTCACTGATATAGTTCATGAGATAGAGAATGACCCGGATCGAAGTCAGAACAACTGCAGAGTTGGAGTGTGATAGACGAGGTGAGATACGTTCGGCTAAGAGTAGAGCTTCGCCAGAATCTTTAGGCACATAGGCCATGAGAGACTCTAATATGTATGTTTGACCCCATCTGAACAACAATTAGCGCCACTCGTAGAAAGGAGAAGAGAGACATACTCTGAACAGTCTGCTAGAACAGACACCACTTTCGACGCACTGGCATAATCTATCGTCAATGAGATAGACTCACTGCGCTCCCAGATATCCACCAAAGCGGCTAATACACTAGACACAACGGTAGGGTTCTCGTCTTTCAACATTTTATTCAGCCGGTCAATCAAGTCCGAGCTTTCAACCATTTTCTTGTGATGATCGTACAGCTTGGCGACACAGAAAGCGGCAGTTTTCCGGACGTAGGGGTCAATATCGACCATCAAGTGTTTCACAGGTTGTACAGTCGCCTCCACGAATTCTCGAACGTGAATATATGATATCGTCCTAAGAGCAAGAGCGCGAACTAGCGGGTTGTGGTCGTCCATATCCTGATCAAATGTTAATACTTCAAATGTATACCCAAGTTCCTATCCAGCACGTACATCAACCAAAATTGGCAACGCTTTGAGCGCAATTTCCGGCTTCACCCTCGCATAATTGACCAAGTATAGAAAGCACCTGTCCACGCCTGTCAGCTCAATTGTCCCTAAGCAAGCGCATTCCTATACGCACATCTTCTTGATCTCCAAACTCGGAATCGTCATGCAGGCAATGACATCCGGGAACAAGCCAACCATATCATTATTGCTCATGGTCATGTTTGCGACAATCTTTTTCAGGGCGATTTTCTTTGCCGAGTGGTTCTTGTCCTTCTTTCCTCCGCTGTTGAGTTCCTGGCGCAACTCGGCGACTTTGCCCTGTGGTGAACGGTTATAGAGTGAGCTTTGGTATGGATGATAGGGGAGGACGCTGATGAACATGGTGACGTTTGCAGTATGACTAGCATATTACATTGAATTGGGATATGTGTTAGGAGAAATGATACAAGGTGCGACTGCACATAACCAAGGTCGAGAACAGATGTGCAGATAAAAATGAATCGACACAAACATCGTAATGAGGAATGACTCGCGTGTAACGTACCCTTGCGAAGAGCTTCGCATCTCCTCCGCCTGAACTCATGGTGTATTAAAGTAATATTATGAGGGGCTATAAAGCCAATATCTCGGTCCGCTCGAAAAGGAAAAGGCAGAGAATCAGACGTCTTTCCTTTGATTGGATTGGTACGAGGGATGGGAAACGCCTTAATCGGTGTCAGTGCTGTGCGATAAGACGATCACATGGATCGATGGGCGCTGAGTAGAGTGAGGGGTTGTCGATGTGTCTTGTGTGTATTGCGCGTCGGGCGTTCGGTCGGGCTAGTAGGAGTGAGACTGTCACTGGCGCGCAGTAGTCTCCATGGATATATGGCGATTTGTAGGTAGACTCGTAGGCGAAGATATAGGGTGTGTATAATCGAATCGTCGAGGAGGCGATGGCTCGGGGTGTGGTTAACTGTCGCTGTGCACTCGTCTGTGGTTAGAACAACAGCCTTGCATGTCGGTTGCGGTGTCTAACGTGATTATGAGCTTGATATACTCAGAGTCGTCAATCTAACGCCATTCGACATAAGATGAAGCAGACAAAATAATATCGAAGAACGACCGAGACAGTCGGAGCTCAGAAAGGAGAAGGTGCGCTCAGCCAATCAAGTACATCCCAGACGCTTTGTGGATATCTCCGCTGGATCCGCTGTCCTAACGACATCTCTCTGACCAACACTGAACTATCTCGTCTACTACTCTCTGCGTCTTGAGCGTCGCATAAACGAAGATGTCTTTGACGTCTACTATACCACCGCCCAAATGGGTCGTTGAAATGAATACTCCTCTCGCTAAACGCGCCGGCAAGACCAGCTTTCGCAACCCACCCGGCTTCACCACCAAGGCGACAGGCAAGCAGGTACTACCACCCCTCGCGCTACCAATATCTCAACTCATACTTACAATGTTCATAGCAAGAAACAAAGTCAGCCGTCGACCGCAAACCCATTGAAACCGATACCCTCAAACTCAAAAAGGCCTGGGAAGTCGCCCTCGCCCCTAGCAAACAAATCCCCATGAACGCAATCATGATGTACATGTCCGGAAATAGTCTACAAATCTTCAGCATCATGATGGTATTCATGCTCTTCAAGGGTCCCATCCAGGGACTGATTGCCACAAACGCGCAGTTCGTGAAGTTCGAGACGGAGAGTAACAGGGCGAAAATCTGGGGTTGCAAGGCGGTTTATGTGTTGATGCAGTTTGCGTTGTTGGGGATGGGAATTTGGAAGGTTAATGCTATGGGGCTGTTGCCGTATGTTTCTACCCCTCCCTTTCTTTTAGTCTTTGTGTCTATGGATGGTCTCACTAACTTATATAGTACTACGAGGTCGGATTGGTTGGCGTGGGAGTCGGAGAGAATATCTCTGGAGCGTGCTTACTTTGCATTTGGTTAGACGAGATGTTCGAGATGCACAGGTTACTAGACCTAACAACATGCATGGATTGTTGTGGTATGATGCTGAATGCTCTATGTACATTGAACAATGTAAACTATATAATATCAAGGTATCTCTGATCCGAAATATGCATAACATAACGCTCAACCGAAAAAGCAAAAGCTCTCTATATGTATCATCATCGCCGTCATCGTTAATCTGCCATCTCACGCAGTCGCCTCTCCTCCCTCCATTTCGGCCCGTAATTAATCAAAATAAACAACAGCGGCGTCGTAGCCAGCATCACCAATGCAATGAACGTGTAACACCACCCGGTCCCCATGGCAGTCAACATCGGCTCAATGACAGCCGTGGCACCAGCCCCAAGCAGACAACGTGTGATATTACTCCCCGCCGTTGCCGTGGCAGCTTTATTCGGATATAAATCAATCAGCAACGTGCCAACCGTGTTGAACGAGCCCGTCAGACAAAACCCCATGAAAAATGTAATGATCGTCGGGGCAGCGAGATGAACACCGTAATCCAACACCCATCCAAACACAATGATCAGCGCTATAGCGCCAAGAATCAACGGAAACGCAATCTGTAATCGCGCCTTCTCGATTGGGAAGTTTTTTAGATCTGTGTGCCTATTCCGCTGCACGGGAAGACCCAGTTCAGTCGCAATACGGCGATAGTTCACATCTAGAAACTTCCCATTCGCGAACGCAGCTAGTGCAGAGCCCGCTCCGAAGGGTAGGTAGCACAACCCGATCTCCAAATCGTTGAGGCCATAGATATCCGAGTACAGCGACGTAATGGCCACAGCCACATCGTAAAATCCCGCAAAGAAGATCGAGTTCGTGATCAATAACACAGCTGTATCCTTTTGCAAGACTATCGCGAGCGTCGGCAGCGGATTGGGGAATGATAATTTGCGTGGAGCAGCGGGCAGAGTACTCTCCGCAGCGAGTCGATCTTCTTCTGAAACCTCTTTGCGGGATTTCAGGTAACTGATCAGGGACATATTCCATTTCGGCGGTGGGATTGAGCCATTGCCCACGATCTTGCGGCCTGTCTCGGGGTAGAATACAATAAACTGCASGAGCCATACGGCAGCAATAATAAACAGAAACCAGAATATGGCTCTCCAGCCAAGATACTGCGATAAAAGACCGCCGATGACGGGGCCTAGGGCAGGACCAAGGAGGGATCCAGCCGTCACAAACCCCATGTAACTCCCTCGCTCAGCTACGGAGGCAACATCTGCAATGACGCCAGCAGACAAAGCGATTGTCGTACTGCTCCCCGCGCTCTGCATGCATCGCAAGACGAAGAGAGCGGCATAACTGTTTTGTAAAGCAAGACCAACATTAGCGCCGAGGTAGATGACGAAGCAGATGAAATATGCCGGTCGTCGGCCGGCGTTGTCTGCGAAATCACCTATGAAGACGGGTGCGATTCCTTGGAAGATCTACTCCATAAGCAATTGTTTCGGAGCCTGTAGTCCAGGACAAATGGGGATAGTGTACGTACCATATAGCTGGTCATAGTCAAATTGATCAATGAAATTGAAACATTCAGATCCTTCGCCAACGTATTCATAGCCGGGAAATATATCTGAGATGATATCGGCGAGAAGAATCCAGCGCATGAGGCGGCAATGACGATATATCGTTTCATGCCAGGCGAAAAGACTGAATATTCAACTGTGGAAGAGGCGCGAGTCCCGCTGCGCTCGAGGTCGACCGCTTCCGTGCCCAAGGTTGTCACAGCATTTTGCTGTGTTCCTACTTCTTTTGACGCTGTAGTTGACTCGAACGTAGGCTCAGGGAGACTGTCACTGTCGCTATTGCTGCTGTCATGGCTGCTCTCGTGACGAAGACCATGATCTTGGTCAATAGGCGGCACTACCTGATTCGTACTATCCGTCGCAGGTACCACATAGGTTTTCTCCAGATACTCGTCTTCACCTGCCATCGAATCTACCTTTCTTCTGAGCGTGCATCGTGAACAACAGAAAAGAAAAACGCAACTATTCCTGATATCATCGCCATCTTATACGAATGGAGCTTCCCCCCTCTTTAGTGCTCCATGAACGAATCAACGACAATTTCCCTTTGACGTAGCTCCACTTAGATAGCCAGAAACAAAAACTTCAAGAAAACCTCTAGACCATACTCCGTAGAGTCTCAAATCTAGAGTCGGTACGGACAGTAAGAATTGAAAAGAAGCAACACAATTGGCCGTATAGCAGAATGTATCCCGTTCGCGGCCAACCACAGATGGCTCAGCGGGGCCGCCGAAGTGCCGTCTTTGCCGATTTGAAGGCTTAGGGTTTCCGGTGCCGGCTATCGTCGCTGACAGACCGCCTTTAGAGTCTAGAGATAACTGCGTGCTAAGTTTTAACTGACTAGTCACCACTCACTTCGCAGTACTGTGACTAAAGCAAGATTCCGGCCGGAGGCAAGCCACGTGAGATTGATGCCTATCACTATGATTCGGAACGTTTCCGGCCGGCTATTTGGTATTTGCCAGCCGTTGGAGAAGCAATGATCGAATGGGAAATAATCAGTGCATGTGTATGTGCATTAGGTACAGATCAGCATACAAAAGACTTGATACTCATGTAATTGGAACGAAGCGATGATGGGCATGCATATTATCATCAACATTGAACAATAGAAAAGATAGAATAGAATGAAATCACTGTATGTTGACAGGAACGCGGTACGATGACGACAACACACGTAGAAACAATGTCCTAACGACAGTGTACACACAGCTTGACGACTGCGGTTGCTTACTTACACAGATATAAACATAAACTCTGGCCCAGTTCGACTAGGAGACTATTTATCTTCATCCCATCCAATCCAGCTTCGAGGCATGACACGCCAGACCTTGACTTCTCCGCTCTTGAGATCGCCCAGCTTGAAACTCTCCGGCTTGACCTTTTTGCTTTCACGACCCTGCTCCCATGCGTGAATCTTCTTCTTCGTCCCATCCCAATCAACGATGACTCCGACGTGGTCTGGCTTGCCAACTTCGGCGCTGTACTTTTGATGAAGCCCACCCTTATGACCTTGGAATTTGGCATTGCGGAAGCTGATGATATCGCCAGCTCGGATTTCATCGTTTTGCTGTACAGATGCATTGGCTAAATTGGCGTAAACCAAAGCACCGTAGGCCCGGGTACCCACTGGTAAAAGCACATCCTTAAGTGGTGAAAGTAAGTGCTGGATGAGACCGTAAGATGTTCCATCGCCCACGGTCGTATTTTGTACCGAATTGGCAGCAGCAGATATCCGGCTTCCGAATCTTTCGTGTGCAGTCTCTAGCTGGTCTTGTCGAAGTTTGCTAGGAGGCGCTTCGTGTCGTTGCTCAAAAGTTACATCACTCGGGTTCTTTGCATCGAAGCGAACTTTGATCACGGTTTGCGAATAGTCCGCAAACAAAACATAGACGTCTTTGCTGACCGTAGTTTTACCGCCGCGTTTGCTTGAAGTTGATTCCTCAATCTCGAACAACAAGTCTTTGCGATTCTGGAACACAGGAGGAGGAATTTTTGGCTGAGTCCACCAGAAAGTGCTCTCCGCAAGGTCTACATCGGTTGCGATGAAACCCATATCCACGGACGGGCGTGGAATGTCCATAGATCGGCGAGCGTTGGCCATGGCCCTAGATATATCAAGACTCTGCCGGGATCGAGGAGCCTCGGTAGGTGGAGGAGGAACAGATTTCTCATGTGGTGGAGCTGGTGGAGCAACAGTCCTTTCAGGAGGAGGCGGAGGAGGAGCCTGTGGCAAAGAAACAGGGCTATCATCTTGATCATCGTACTCTTCTCGTGGTGGAGGAGGATTTGAAGGTAGAGGAGGGGGAGGTACGCTTGGACGACCAGAGTCGTATCGGTATGGATCATATTCATCATCGTCTTCCTCTTCCTCAGTAGTCAGATCTCTTGCAGGAGGTGGTGGAGGAGGTGGCGCAGATCGTGGAATGTCCATCGATGCTCTTTTATTAGGCGGCTGACTAGGCGGTAGGGGAGGAGGTACAGCACGAGGAGCTGTGGGTGGAAGCGGAGGTGGAAATCGAGGAGACTGAGGTGACAGTTCATCACCTCCGTCTTCGATACTGGATTCTCGACCGTGCGATTTGAGCGCGTCCTTGTGTTTTGCGGTGGGAGCTATATCAGTGTCATAATCAGCTTCGTACTCGGTCGTTTCGTCTTGTATGTCATGATCCCTAGCGATTGGTGATTGGATAATGCTGTGTCTAGAATCCGATGTGGTTTGTCGAGTTAGCACCCCGGGAGGAGGAGGTGGTGGTGGAGGTCGAGCCTGCGGTGGAGAGGAGGGAGTCTGAGGAGGATTGTTTGGGATCGGTGGAGGCCCGCGACTGAATCGCTTTTCCGACATGGTTGCAGACCTAACAGAATCATATGTTGAAGAACGGCGAGGAGGTGGTGGTGGACTGGCAGGCGCTGCTTGCGTCAATGTTGAATCCAGTGACATTTTGTTAGTATGGATTGAAAGCTCATCATCTGATTCGGAGCCAGGACTCGGAGACGTAAGAGGTCTTGGTGGCAGAGCCGCAGGTCGCGATTCCGATGCCACAGGGGGTGGTGCAGGTTGCGATACAGGAACGGGTGGCGGAGGTGGCCTGCTCTCTGCAGAAGGCAGAGGAGGGACGGAACGTTCATGCGGTGGAGGGGGTGGAGGAGCCCTGTCCACTGACTTGCGCGGTGCGGGCTCATGTTCTTCAACAACATCCTCGACATCTGGTAGCTCTTCTGCGGAACGCTGTTGAGTAATTGGCACATCCTCATGTTCTTCTTCCTTTTCAACTTCCTTAGGCGAGGACACGGAGGGTCTTTGAACATTCATACCAGGCAGTGCCATGATTGGCACGGGAGGAGCGTGTAATGGAGACCTGGGGGGTTCCAATTCTTCTGCTTGTCTTCCAGCATCTTCAGGAGCCTTGGCTTTTCTTGGAGGCATTCCCATGCCCAAGCCACCACCACCACCACCACCGAACATACCCATCATGCCCATGCCACCACTCATTTTAGCCATACGCTCCCTGAGTTCCATTCTCCTTCTGACTTCAGGGTCAACTTCCTCCTCCTCCTCTTCCTCGTCGTCCTCTGCTGCTGCCTCGTCATCACTATCAGCCGCTGGCTCTTCCTGTACAACATGCCTTTGCGCCCGAGGCCTTTCATCAATGTCTTCCCTACTTGTCGATGTTTCTTCCGCATCTTCAGTGTCTGCAGCGCCTGAGTAATCTGCATCATTCGTATCACTCGTAAGCTCCCGAGAAGGGAGAGGAGGAGAAGCAAGCTGCACTGGCTTAGAATCCTCACCACCTTCGCCTTCAAAAGACTGACGTTCACCGCGAGGAGTTTCAGGATTTTCTGTATGCTCCAGCTCTGTACTTTCAGCGGCAGCGGGCACTGGGGGAGCTTCCTGAGTGTCAGTTCGCTTCTTGGGAGGTCGTTTTGCCTTTTCTTTCTTCTGTGCAGCCTCGGCCAAACGGTTCGCTTGTTCCAACTGCTGTTTCTGCAACAAAGCAATTCTCTCCTTCAGACTCGTCGGTTTCGGTTGATCCTCGTCCTGAGCTGGCTCAGCGGGTGGGGACGGCAGTGAATTTTCAGATACAGGAGGTTCTCTATTGGCGATTTCCGGGTCTTCTTCACGACGATACGCCTTTGGTGGTGGTTGTTCTCTTGGTAAGGGGACGTATGCATTCTTGCTTGGTGGAGGTGCGACGAATGGCTTCTTTATGAAAGTATTAGAACTTGGACCACCCGGTTTGAAAGGAGCAATTGGAGGCGCAGCAGGTTTGTTGAATGCGGCAATACGGTCTCTGAATGCATTTGAGCTCGGCTTGTTGGAGACGACTGGAGGGGGAGCTTTGGCCGCAGGAGCAGTACTCGGCTCAGGCTGTGGCTGCTTTGGTGGCTGCGAAACCACAGGAACAATCGGCTCAGCAACAGGAGCTGGAGGGGAAGATGGGAGTGGTATAGCTTTTTCTTGAGGCAATTCAACAGCTGGCTCTGGCTCTGGTTCATCCTCTTGCACGGGCTCTTCCGTCTCGACCGCAGGTGCTGGCGGGGGKACCGGATCTGCCTCTTTCTTCGCTTTTACCGGACGACTTGGCCTCGGCGGAGCTGTAGGCTCAAATCTCTCGACAAAATTGCGAGGGAAAATTCCCTCTTGTTTCCCAGCATTATCATTGTATTCCCCATAAAACCAGTCCGCATCCTCCACTGCGGTCACGGTAATCACCTGGCCGATTGAGAAATGAAGGTCATCTTCATGCTCTGATGTATAATCAAAAAGAGCCTTGACCGTGAACGGCGGGTCGGACATCTGGCTGGTAATGCTCCGGGAGTGCGTGATTGTGTGGTGGGAAGTGTTGTGTGTTTGTTCGTAGGCAGCGGGATTAGCGCAATGAGGGGAAAGTGACAACACACTTCAAGGGAGCGAGGCTGAAGTGTCAACCCGGCTAATGCAGTAGTCAGAATCGAATACTTCTCAAATAGACATCTGTTTATGTGGACAATCTGTACATGACGATAACTATGTTGTGGTCTTGGGGTTACTGTAAGAATTGCTGTGCAAGGGCGCCAAGTCAACAACAATAACCACGGGTTGATGCGGACTGCGGGACAATTGGCCTTACCTCGATAGTTAGACACTGGACAGGTCCTGGCAAATACACAAACTGACAAATGAGGACGAAGCGTAGGTGGTGGCCCGGACACGCAAAGGCAGCATCAGGTAGACAGCAGACAGGGTCCGTAGTGATATCAAAATAAGTATAAGACTAGAGTAAGAGCAAGATTAAGAGGTTGACGGGGGTTGCTACAGTTAAAGCAAGAAGGATGTGGGGAGCAGCAGCCTTGGCTCTCCACCAGTGACGCTGAGCTTCCCGTTTCATCYCCCGCCACTCACTCACACTCTCTTCTTCTTTTTTTAGTTATACTATGTAGGGCAACGAGTTTCAGATATTCGTATCTTGCTTCAGATTTGCTTTTCGCTAGAAGTGATGGCTCAGGTCTTGCGACATTAGAACTAAGCCGCAGCGTTTTGTTTCAGCGATCACAACAACCCCACCACTGAAGATTTTCCGCCTTTCCACTACAGCTACAGCTCCATCACCATGTCACACCTCAACGCTCCCACAACAGAACAGGCCAAAAACTACAAATACACCGGCGAAAAGCCCCCGAATCCACGACACCTGGCTATCGCGCTACAGCACGCAAACCAAATCCAAGCCCAAAAAGACGCCCAAGCCTTAATACTAGACCGCATACTAGAACTCATCGAGTTCCCGTCGTCAGAATCAGCAAATCCCGCGCAACCATCTACAGCGGATGCCGCAGCTCTCAAAGCGGCTCTTGTCCCATTCCAGCCCACAGATTTTGATAATCTCATTCTCGAGCGCAATATAGAAGGTCGATGCGGCTATGCGCTATGTCCTCGTGAACACAGAAAGGAGGATCCTAATGCTAAGTTTCGAATTTTATGGGGTCCAAAAGGCAGCGGAGACAATGGTCGAGGTCGAGATATGAAGGTTGTCCCTCGTGAAAAGTTGGAGATGTGGTGCTCGGATCAATGCGCTGAGCGGGCTTTGTATCTACGTGTGCAGTTGGCTGAGGAGCCGGTATGGGAGAGGCGAGCAGTGGATTCAAGGACAAAGCCGCTTGAATTATTGGAAGAAGCGCGACAGATGAAAAAGGAAGAACCTAAGAAAGCTTTCGAACGCAAGGATCTGCTGGCTGAAAAGATGAAGAAGCTCACTGTCAAAGATGAAACTTCCTCAGCGGCAGCGAATCAACTCGCTCTTGAACGAGGCGACACTGGTCCAACATTTAGGAAACAAGGTCGTGTGGACGTAAACATCCAAGAGAAAGACATTGACATGCACGGCGATATACCAGCGGCTCCTGTTGCTCGCCCAGGAGACAGTACAGGAGGTTCGATTGAGGGTTACGTACCTCAAAAAACACACGAGCAGCTTAAGCAAACTCATGACCGCGATGAGCCAGTCGAGGAAGACGTGCTTGATATCATTTGAGTTGGTTCGTCAACAAGAAATTACAATACTACAACGTAGATGGATCTACAAGACCAGCCACGAAGAGACGTACAGTCTACCATCTGACTACGGCTGACGTTGACAGTCATAACTCAAAGAGGTGGCCTCCACTCGACATCGCCAAAAGAGGGCAGCATCGACTCCCATCGGAGCGAAAGGTAGGAACAAGGGCTATATGTAGGCAAAAGAAAAAGGAAAAAGCAATTGGCAATCAAGCATCATCTCCCGTCGATATGACGGAGAGAATCAGCGACACCTTGTTTTTGGGAAATCCTGTTTCTATTCATTTTTTGGTATCTTTGTCGTGTCAATGAAGACAGCCAAGATTAGCTACATCATCATCAAAGCATTAAGAAGAAGTAATCTCTTTCGAGAGAACAATCTTCCTGCGTGAGAAAGTCATTTTCGCTTTTTTGTCGCTGTGGGTGCCGAAAATAAGAGATCATTGATACTTTCACGACATTAAGTAAAAACACATCCCTTGCTCGTCAAGTGGTTTCCCCCCGAGGTTTGTCGGAAGAAATGATTTACCGGAAGCGGCGAGGGCGCTCAGCCTGCTGCTGCTGAGAGACCTGAACAACGTTGACCTTGAGAGAGTCGAACTGTAGACACCGAATTAGATAAACAATGTATTTTGTAATCAGGTAATGGGAAACTCACGCCGAGGCTCTTGAGGAGATCCTTGGTATCGGCATCAACATCAAGCTGACCAGACTCGGACTGGGAAACATCCAAAGCCGAGATCTCGGGGACGTATTGATCCTTGCGCTCACGCTCCTCCTCCTGAAGCTTGAAGGAGATACCGCGGACGGGACCACGCTGGATACGCTTCATCAAATGGGTGGTGTAACCAGCAATCTATTCCAACAATCAGTACATTATTGCTACCGAATTTCGACGGTTGAGAAGAAGGCGAACCTTGTTGCGAAGACGCTTGGAGGCAATGATGGCGATTTCATCGCAAAGACGCTTGTTGGTCTCGAAGTCGAGCGTCAACTTGGGGTAGTAACGCTCAATGATGACCTTGGCGGACTTCTTGACGGTCTATTGAATCCCAGAAATTAAGCAATTAGTCTCACTCATTCTCAAATCGTCTCTCTAGGTAAGAGCTTCGTACCTTTGTGCGGACGCGACCCATTTTGGCGGTTTGATGATGATTGTCGAAATAGTTGGATTCCGTCTGACGCTGAATTGGAGATATTATTTCGAAATCTTGTGTGGGTTGGTGCGGGCTTGGCGCCCGGTTATTGAGTCACGTGAGCCAAGACCACGAAAAACCACGCTTCCGGCCCAAAAGGGTTATATTGTCTTGGCATCGCTTATAGTCACGTGATTTGTCTTTAACAATAAATGTTGTTAAGAGGACATACTATGTATGGTAGAAATGGCATGTCAAAAAATATATATAGGAAAGCTTTGGGGTGAGAATCAGATAATATCGATAGAAAAGTTTATTTTACAATGTATAGGTACACAAAAGTATATGGCTTAAACACGGCTAATCAATCCATTCTCATTGCAAAAGGATCAAACCAGTCGAGGAACATCCCGTTTCGTCGACTGTGCTGCCGGAGATATATTGGTCGGGTCACTGGAATCATAGTTGGATAGACCATAGGGCGCCATGACATCCTTTTCAGCCCTGTTGGCTTCCAGGCTGATTGTTCCCTGGGAAGATATCGAGACTCGCTTAGGGACCACCAGGACTTTACCACCACCAGGAATCGATGGGTCGAGGTACTCGACACCCCTAGTGTTGTCTTCCATGCTCTCGGCCTCATCCTCATATGCAATACCGGCAACACCGAGAACAGGACGGCGCTTGTATCGTCGTTTCCTTGTCTTGGCAGTCAAGACACGAGCTTGGACAGGGCGCATGGCTTGCTGAGGTCCGTATGAGGGGTGGTTGTAGATCATTGCGCCTGATCGAGTGTAGGCAAGACCAGCCGAGGGGTGGGTTCGTGGTGGTCCTTGGTTTGCATAGGCAACGGAAGCCAAGTTTGACGCAGTCGCCTCGTAGTAACTGGTGCCTACAGCCCATTGCGGGAGATCGGATGACAAGGTGTGAAGATCCAGAAGACGACTAAGTTCGGGCCCAGCCAGCCTCTTGTTCGTCCGCAGTCTCTTCAAATGAGCCTGGAACTCTTCATCGGTGACTTTGACCGGCTCAATGGTCTGGTCAGCGTCCAACCCACCCTCATCCTGCGCTTTCGATCGACGCTCAACAGTCAATTTGTTTTCGTATTGCTCTCGCAATTTTTCCAACAACTCCGGTCTTCGACGACGTAGTGACTGTAGATAGGCTTGAAATTGGACCTCGGATTGACCGCCCAGCCACGGCCCGGATTGCCGATATAACTTAGCATCAAGCTCTTTTGCGCCCTCGCTAGTGGAGACATTATCGTATCGGAGTTCGAATGGGCTTTCATGGCCCTTGCCATAGCTTGTTTGGTTCTTCCGGGCAGTCTGTGGTAGAGAAACGGGGATATGGAGTTCCTGGAACTTCGTCAGGGTCATGGTGTGGTCACCAGCGGAATCGAAGTCGGTGACATGTTCGAAGGTGTCGAGCGCATTGATACGAATGACAGGCTTGCTGGACCTTTCGATCGTAGATTTTGCTGGTAGTGCTCTTTTCAAGCCCCAGTCTCCTTGATGGAGGGCCGATGGCGGTGTTTCAATGGCGGCTCTGGTCGGGTGTGGAAGGGKTGCTGAACTCGACTCGTTGACGAATTTGGATGTAACCGGTCGCGGCGCGGTAGTCAATGGTGTCGGTAATGCAAAAAGACGAGAATTTCTCAACAGATTAGCCGTTGGTGAAAGTTTTGGAGCCGCCATGGCTGTATAGTAACGGCTGTTGACGCGGTCTCACATTTGAAGCTCCTTGATGAAAAGTATCGCCGAAAAGTTGACGGTAGTCCGCTACGGCGGGCGGTAGCACCATCAGCGCAGAACATTATTATACGCGTACCATCTGCGCGCTTTAATGCTAGAGAATCAAAGACCATAACTTCTCTTGAATTTCTGAGTGTCTACAACTCTATATATGTTTTATCACAGACAGACCGCCTCCCCAACAGATTCTTTACAAGCCAACTTTCGCGAGCGAAGCAAGAGTGTCACCAACCGACTCCTTGATCGACTTGAATTCGATGCCCAGAACATTGCGAATCCTCGAGTTGTTAATCTCATACGGGTGAGGGAACTCTCCAACCTCGCCATAATCTGGCAAGTTGGCCGCATACTTTGGCTGTGTCTCGCGAATAGCATCCACAAGGTCCTTGTTGCTAAGGAAACCTTCAGTTGTGAAGAATCGCTTGCCGCCAGCTTCTGCGACCTCGATAGCCTTGACGTGAGCAAGAGCCACATCGCGGACGTCGACCCATAGCACCTGCTCTTTTGGTGAAGTGTCGTCCTTCTTCTTGCCCAAGGCAAAATCTGTAATGATCTGATTGGAAGTGTTGAGGCTCTCTAGGCTGTTGAGGTAGCCAATGACCGGACCAAAGACGAAAGGAGGGTTGATTGTTGCTACGTCAAAGTTTGGCTTCTCCTTCTCCTCGAATTCCCATGCTGCTTTTTCAGCAAATGTCTGTCCTGGTAAGTATGTACTTCCATTTTTCCTGGAGGGCGTGGGTGACATACCTTACTACCTCTGTATGTGGTAAACTTATCGTCTTTGGTTGCCTGCTCGTATGTGACTGGATTCCACACGGACTCGTCATAGAGCTTGGGGTGGTTGGGCGCATTGGTAATGGCCGCAAAAGAAGACGTAATCACCACTCGCTTCACGGATGGAACATAATTCTTAATAGCGTTGAGAATGCCCTTAGTGCCGTTGATGGCTGGGTTGAGGATCTCCTTGACAGGGTCGGTGAAGTTATAGTGGAAGGGAGAGGCCGTGTGAATGACATAATCGTAGGCTGGGCCAGATTTGAGGACCTATCTATCCTTTAGCAATGATCGTTTTCAACACGAAGGTGCTTTATGTGATTGTACCTCGTCAAAAGCGCCTTCTTTAGCAATGTCCTCGACAATGACGTAGGACAACTTGTCCTTTGAGAGATTGGGGTATGCCTCGAGAATCTTGTCACCTTTTTGCGCGGATCGCACGGTGGTTACAACCTCGAATCTGAGAATAGTATAAGCGAGTGTCGTCGAGATTCTTTGTAGTATTACTCACCCATGCTCAAGGAGAATGTTGAGAACGTGGGCGGCAATGAAGCCGGAGCCGCCTAATTGCAACGATCATGTCAGCACGACGTCAACAATCTACGTAGGTATTCAGAGTGCCAATGTCTTACCAGTTAAGAATACTTTGACCATTTTGGTGTCGATTTTGCAGGATCAGGCAATTGCTATAGATCGAAGCTTCTCTACAAGGATCTTGTATTATTATATAATAAGTTGAAGAGTTGGAGTAGAAATCCCGATTTGCTTAATTGGTGCGTGCCCCTCACTCCTTATATATGCCCCCCATATTATGGATCACGGCACTTGATGGTGTGCTCGATGGCGTAAGGACTGTCTGGTTAGCCAATCACCATTGTTTATTTGCAAAAACCGATTAATAGCTATCACAAAAGGTCATTGGCGTCAGCATATGGTCGATCTAATTGACGGCGCCACCAGTCTGGCTCCAGATAAGTCACAACAGACCGGCTTGCAGTCGGGCGGGAGTCGGAAAGGCTGGGTTTCGTTCAGGCGTTCCGAGCACTTTCCGAAAGTGACAAGCATTTTGACATGATACATGAGTTTCGACTCGTGAACAGAGAACAGTCCCTCGTGCCAAGAGTATAGGAAACACCTTGGGGCTTGACATTGCTTGTCTGCCATGTTGTCGGGCTGTGCATGTAGTCTGGACCAGATCTGAATCAACCTAGCCCACTATGTAGTTGGTTACATCGTAAACAGTAGCTGTTCAAGCATAAGTGGAAGTACAGCTATGAAATGTGTCTGGTGTGATGGATGAAAAAGGAAGGAGCACGCACATGATATGCTGGGATGGCCCGTGCGTCTGCGCGGCTCCCGCTGGAGGCTTCCGCTAAACTAAGAGTCTCGACCTCAACTTCACTCTTCAATCTAAGTCATGTTGCCGTCGGTGACAGACTAGATTTACACGTCGCTCTGCTAATCTCCTTTGCAACCGAAACAATAGTCAGATGTGTGCGCCGTGTCGCTACCCATCATGGCGCAAGCAGGTCCGGTGACGGACGTTGTACAGAGGCTCTTCACTGAGCTGAAGTCCAAGAACGAAGAAGCGCGTGTCAGAGCTTCCTTTGAGCTCTACGACAATGTTCTCACAGTTTCTCGAGGTGCGTTCATCAAGCCGCCCTTTCTGGGAAAGCTCGTATACTAACTGATAGCTCTTGACAGACTGGGCGCCCGAGAAATTCCTCGAATTCTACAATGCCGTTAGCCAGCGCATTGCCCAACTAGTCGTCACGGGCAGCGACGCCAACGAAAAAATTGGCGGTCTTCTAGCGCTCGACCGACTCATCGATTTTGATGGAGTAGATGCCGCACAAAAGACAACACGATTTGCAAGTTATTTACGAAGTGCGCTACGAAGCAACGATAATGCAGTCCTCGTCTATGCTGCTCGATCGCTCGGCCGACTCGCAAAACCCGGCGGTGCTTTGACGGCGGAGTTGGTGGAAAGTGAAATACAGTCAGCACTAGAATGGCTACAATCAGAGAGGCAAGAAAGCAGGCGCTTCGCTGCTGTATTGATCATACGGGAACTCGCCAAAGGATCACCTACTTTACTATATGGATTTGTACCCCAAGTATTCGAGCTTGTCTGGGTCGCTCTCCGGGATCCCAAAGTCCTTATCCGAGAGACTGCCGCCGAGGCTGTAAGCGAATGCTTCGAAATAATCGCCGCCCGAGATGTCGGCGTGAAGCAACAGTGGTTTGCGCGCATCTACGAAGAGTGTCTGCAGGATCTCAGGTCCAGCAATGTAGACTGGATCCACGGCTCCCTCTTGATACTGAGGGAACTTCTCCTCAAAGGTGCCATGTTTATGAATGAGCACTACAGAAACGCCTGTGAGATCGTGCTCCGTCTAAAAGATCATCGAGACCCCAAGATCCGGACCCAGGTTGTCCGCACGATTCCGATCCTTGCCTCCTATGCGCCCATGGACTTTACAAATAACTACTTGCACAGATTCATGGTTTACCTCCAAGCACAACTCAAAAGGGAGAAAGAACGAAATGCCGCTTTCATTGCGATCGGAAAGATCGCCAACGCAGTCGGTGTTGCCATTGGACAATACCTCGACGCCATAATAGTTTACATTCGGGAAGGCCTGGCATTGAAAGCAAGAAACCGTGCAGGAGTGAATGAAGGACCTATGTTTGAGTGCATCAGTATGCTGTCGCTGGCAGTCGGCCAAGCCCTCAGCAAGTACATGGAAGCCTTGCTTGACCCGATATTTGCTTGCGGTCTCAGTGAATCTCTAACCCAAGCCTTGGTAGATATGGCACATTATATCCCTCCTATCAAAGCCACGATACAAGAGAAATTACTCGACATGTTGAGTATCATCCTCTGTGGCACACCGTTCCGGCCTCTAGGATGCCCGGAAAACCGCTTACCACCTCTTCCTTCATTTGCCAAAGATTACACCCCACAGGAGCTTCATTCAGACACAGAAGTTGCCTTGGCTTTGCATACTTTGGGCAGCTTTGACTTTTCCGGTCATATACTAAACGAATTTGTACGAGACGTCGCCATTAGATATGTTGAAAGCGATAATCCAGAGATCCGAAAAGCTTCTGCCTTAACTTGCTGCCAGCTTTTCGTTCATGATCCTATCATTAATCAGACAAGCAGCCACTCCATACAGGTCGTTGGCGAAGTCATTGATAAATTGCTTACTGTGGGAGTCGGCGATCCTGATCCTGAGATTCGCCGTACAGTTCTGTTGTCGTTGGACCGAAAATTCGACCGTCATCTAGCCAAACCAGAGAATATCCGATGCTTGTTCCTGGCAGTTAATGACGAGGTCTTTGCTGTGCGCGAAGCAGCAATCAGTATCATCGGACGTCTTTCCAGTGTCAACCCGGCATATGTCTTCCCTCCTTTGAGAAAGCTTCTGGTCAATCTCTTGACAGGGCTAGGTTTCGCTAGCACAGCTCGGCAAAAGGAGGAGAGCGCACAGCTCATTAGCCTCTTCGTTGCTAATGCAACTAAGCTTATAAGATCATATGTTGACCCTATGATCACTTCCTTACTGCCCAAAACGACCGATCCTAGCGCAAATGTGGCGTCAACCACTTTACGGGCCATTGGAGAACTCGCAAACATTGGTGGCTCCGAAATGAAAAACTACCTACCGCAGCTTATGCCAATCATTCTAGATTCTCTGCAGGACCTCTCATCACATTCGAAACGAGAAGCCGCCTTACGAACACTAGGTCAACTAGCCAGTAACTCTGGTTATGTCATTGAACCATACATGGAATATCCCCAACTCCTTGCTGTGTTGATCAATATCATCAAGACCGAGCAGGCTGGCTCGCTTCGCAAGGAAACCATCAAATTACTGGGTATCCTAGGAGCTTTAGATCCTTACAAGTATCAACAAATCAGCGAGATCTCACCCGATGTTCGTTATATCAACGAAGTTCAGCCCATTTCTGATGTTGCCCTAATTATGCAAGGCCTTACACCGTCCAGCGAAGAATACTATCCAACAGTGGTCATCAATACTTTGCTGCAAAACATACTACGGGAGAACTCCTTAGCCCAATACCACTCCGCTGTGATTGACGCCATTGTCACGATATTCAAGACCCTCGGCTTGAAATGTGTATCATTCCTTGGGCAAATCATTCCAGGTTTCCTGGGGGTGATCAGAAGTTCCCCTGTTGGTCGACTAGAGTCTTACTTCAATCAGCTTGCCATCCTTGTCAATATTGTCCGCCAACACATCCGAGCTTTTCTACCTGAAATTATCGACACCATCCGCGATTATTGGGACTCGAATCATCAAGTACAGGCTACGATTCTCTCCTTGATTGAGGCGATCTCCACCGCACTCGAAGGAGAATTTAAAAAGTACCTAGCTGGGTTGATTCCTTTGATGTTGGACACTTTGGAAAAAGATATTTCTCCACGTCGACAGCCTTCCGAACGCATCCTACATACTTTCCTCATATTTGGCTCTAGTGGCGAGGAGTACATGCACCTGATTGTCCCATCTATTGTGCGCCTATTTGACAAGGTTCAAAATCCTCTTAACATTCGCAAATCTGCCATTGAGACTCTGGGCAAGTTGTCTCGCGAAGTTAACGTGTCTGACTTTGCCTCGCTCATGATCCATTCCTTATCCCGGGTAATTGCAAGCAATGACCGCACACTTCAAAAAGCCGCTATGGATTGTATTTGTGCTCTCATTTTCCAACTAGGACAAGATTTCACCCATTATATTCAGCTCATCAACAAGGTACGTTTGCGTCAACTTCTCCCTATGATGGTCAACTAATGAAAAACAGATCATGAAGCAGCATCAAGTCACTAATTCCTCGTACGAATCATATGTTGTCAAATTGCAAAAGGGCGAGTCTCTTCCACAAGATTTGACTCTTCACGAGAATTACCGAACTTTAGCGGATGATACAAATTACGCTGAGATAGGACAGAAGAAGATGCAAGTGAATCAGCAACATCTCAAGAATGCCTGGGATGCTTCGCAAAAATCAACGCGCGAAGACTGGCAGGAATGGATTCGGCGCTTTAGCGTGGAACTTTTGAAAGAGTCACCGTCACCAGCGTTGAGAGCATGCGCCAGTTTGGCTGGTATCTATCAACCTCTAGCCAAGGACCTGTTCAACGCTGCCTTTGTGTCATGCTGGACGGAACTCTACGACCAGTACCAAGAGGAACTCGTACGTTCTATTGAGAAGGCATTGACATCTCCAAACATTCCTCCAGAAATTCTTCAGATTCTGCTCAATCTCGCAGAGTATATGGAGCATGATGATAAGGCTCTACCTATTGATATCCGAACTTTAGGCCGCTATGCGGGCAAGTGCCATGCATTTGCCAAGGCGCTTCACTACAAAGAGCTGGAATTCGAACAAGATCAAAACTCCAGCGCTGTAGAGGCTTTGATTACGATCAACAATCAGCTTCAGCAATCTGATGCAGCCATTGGTATTCTCCGTAAAGCTCAAGCATATCGCGATGTTGAGCTCAAAGAAACTTGGTTCGAGAAGCTCCAGCGCTGGGAAGAAGCACTTGCAGCTTACAAACGACGTGAAAAACAAGATCCAGATTCTTTTGGTATCACAATGGGCAAGATGCGGTGTCTACATGCTCTCGGAGAGTGGAAACTTCTCTCTGATCTAGCTCAAGAGAAATGGAATCAAGCCTCGGTGGAACATAGACGAGCAATTGCACCACTAGCTGCTGCGGCTGCTTGGGGTCGTGGTCAATGGGACCTTATGGACTCTTATCTTGGTGTTATGAAAGAGCATACCCCTGATCGATCCTTCTTTGGGGCTATTTTGGCCATCAACCGCAATCAATTCGAAGAAGCGGCCCTTTACATTGAAAAGGTGCGCAACGGCTTGGACACCGAACTTTCTGCCCTTCTGGGAGAATCATATAACCGAGCATATGATGTCGTTGTGCGAGTACAAATGCTTGCAGAGCTTGAAGAGATCATCGTCTTCAAGCAGAACGTTGGTGATCCCGAAAAACAGCAAGCGATGCGCGAAACATGGAATAAGAGACTTCTGGGCTGTCAACAGAACGCAGAGGTTTGGCAAAGAATGCTCAAGGTACGACAACTTGTCATACCGCCGCATGAAAATATGGACATGTTGATCAAATACGCCAACTTGTGCCGTAAATCAAATCGCATGGGTATCGCTGAACGTACTTTGGCATCTCTGGAAACCGAGATTTCAGGGCCTAATGGCATTGAAATTGTGGTGCCACCAGAAGTCAAATACGCTCGCTTCAAGTTCGCATGGGCTCAAGGCCACCAAGTCGACGCTTTGCAATCACTCAAGGAATTCACCTCTGTGCTTGCTGATGATCTCACGAGGTACAATGCTTTGCTCGCGAATCATACTGACCATGACGGCACAAATGGAGTCAATGGCATGCTTGATAACAACCCTGATGTCAACCACCTTCGGTCCAGAATTGGAGACGTCACAAAATTGAAGAAGCTTCTCGCGAAGAGTTACTTGAAACAGGGAGAATGGCAGACAGCTCTTCAAAGCGGAGACTGGAGACCAGAACATGTTCGAGAAGTGCTAAATGCGTACTCGGCTGCAACTCAGTTTAATCGCGACTCTTACAAAGCCTGGCATTCCTGGGCTTTGGCCAACTTCGAGGTTGTTACTACCCTGGCTGCTCAGCAGAGTCGTGACGGCTCCTCGGTTCCTGGTCATATCATCAATGAGCATGTTCTTCCAGCGATTCGTGGCTTCTTCCGTTCCATCTCACTGTCTTCTACATCCTCGCTACAGGACACCTTGAGATTGCTCACGCTGTGGTTTACCTATGGAGGGGACACAGATGTTAATAGTGTTGTGACTGAGGGTTTCACTTCTGTCAACATTGACACCTGGCTGGCAGTCACACCACAATTGATTGCCCGTATCAACCAGCCTAACGCAAAGGTCCGCACTGCAGTTCATCGCCTCTTGGCCGAGGTTGGCAAAGCTCATCCGCAAGCACTCGTGTACCCTGTGACCGTTGCCATCAAGTCAAATGTCGCACGACGATCTCAGTCGGCTACCTATATTATGGAGAGCATGAGACAGCATAGTGCAAAACTGGTTGAACAGGCCGACGTCGTCAGTAATGAACTGATCCGTGTTGCTGTTTTGTGGCATGAGTTATGGCATGAAGGTCTAGAGGAAGCATCGCGATTGTATTTCGGTGACCACAATGTGGAAGGAATGTTTGCTACATTGGCCCCTCTTCATGACTTGCTTGATAGAGGTGCTCAAACCTTGAGGGAAGTCTCGTTTACACAAGCATTCGGTCGTGATCTTGCTGAAGCTAGACAATACTGCCTACTGTATCGTGAAACTGAAGAGCTTGGTGATCTCAACCAGGCTTGGGAGCTCTATTACAATGTCTTCCGCAAGATCGCCCGTCAACTGCCTCAACTACTAACACTTGATCTCAAATACGTGTCGCCAAGACTGAAGGAGGTATCAGATCTTGATTTGGCAGTACCCGGAACATTCCGTCCAGGCAGGCCGATCGTTAGAATCATGAGCTTCGATCCCGTCTTACACGTTCTTCAAACAAAGAAACGACCTCGAAGAATGATACTCAAGGGTAGCGACGGCAACTCTTACATGTACGCTCTCAAAGGACACGAGGATATCCGACAAGATGAACGTGTAATGCAGCTATTCGGTCTCGTGAATACACTTTTAGACAACGATAGCGAAAGTTTCAAGAGACATCTATCCGTTCAACAATTCCCAGCCATACCTCTGTCTCAAAACTCGGGTTTGATCGGTTGGGTATCCAACAGCGACACATTGCATGCACTTATTAAGGAATACCGTGAAAGCCGCCGTATTTTGCTCAACATCGAACATCGTATCATGCTGCAGATGGCACCCGACTATGACAATCTTACCTTGATGCAAAAGGTCGAGGTCTTCGGCTACGCTATGGACAATACAACAGGCAAAGATCTCTACCGCGTCCTTTGGTTAAAGAGCAAGAGTTCGGAATCCTGGCTCGAGCGACGGACCAATTACACGCGTTCTTTGGGTGTTACCTCGATGGTCGGATATATCCTTGGTCTCGGAGATCGACATCCTTCCAACCTTTTGCTTGACCGACTCACGGGTACAGTTGTGCATGTCGATTTCGGCGACTGTTTCGAAATTGCAATGCATCGGGAGAAGTATCCGGAAAGAGTGCCGTTCCGTCTCACGCGTATGTTGACGTTTGCTATGGAAGTTAGCAACATCGAGGGAAGCTATCGTATTACGTGTGAAGCTGTTATGCGCGTCATTCGGGAGAATAAGGACTCATTGATGGCTGTGCTTGAAGCTGTAAGCATATATTCTCCCTATTAATTTTGACCCTGACTAACACCATTTAGTTTATTCATGACCCTCTAATCAACTGGCGCCTCGGAACTCGCGAGTCACCCGAAAGACCGTCATTCTCTACTGTTGACCGCCGACAATCAATTGTGGACGATGTCAACCTAGAACACGGCATCCAACCCAGCAATTTTACCCGTCATCGTCGAGCATCCATCTTGGAAGGCGGCGGCATTCTCGACGCACCACAAGGAGTCGCAAATGAAGCTCGCGAAGCACAGAATGCACGCGCCCTACAAGTCCTCGCTCGAGTCAAGGAGAAGCTCACGGGACGAGACTTTAGACCCAACGAAGAACTCAACGTGAGCGATCAGGTCGACAAACTTCTAGCCCAGGCGACTAGTGTTGAGAATATCTGTCAGCACTGGATTGGATGGTGCAGTTTCTGGTAGTGTATCGTTGTGTCTCATATTTATTTGTAAGATGATAGATGGTGCTTCGGTGGTATTGGGGATTTCTGTTATTTTCCTAATCGCGTTCAGTTAGGCGCACAGAGTGATACCTGTTTCTATCTGGGGCTTTCAACATGTGTATAGTCATTTATATGGAGCGGAGAATCATTCTTTATTTTTTATACCATTTAACATGTATACATACATAAATGATAATGAAGGTTAATACGTACGTAGTAAGAAGACGCTATGACATCTCAGCCATCCGGGGTTAGCGGGGAAGCAACCAATGAGCCGAGGTTCTCCAGATCGACGACTAGAGTAACCTCATGACCTTCTCTTCAAGATCCTTTGCGTCTTCTCTCAACAACTATCCTCCCATCCATTCTCAGATGTACCTCCATCAAATGATTAATCTCTCAATCACTTAGTCTACCTGACGTTAACGTCAGGTCTACCGAAATGCCGCCCCCACAACCGAGTCCGCCGCCAGACGATGTCGCGGCGCCGGCTGTTCATCCTCTCGTCCAGAATGCGTTGCGCGTCTCTCTAAGCGCAAGGGAGTACAAAGTCATACACGAGCGCATACTCAAACGATCCTCGGCATTTAACAATCGTCTTCCAACGCCGTCTAGATATGAGAGCATTGTGCGGACATCCAACAAATACAATGTAGCTGCTATTCGGGCGTCGTTGAGGGTGTTTCTAGGTGTTAGCAGTGGAATGTCGTTGGTTGAAGCAGTTACTGCACGGCTTGGAAAAGGCGAAACGAGGTATAGTTTCTTCTTCCTCTTTTTAAGGCATTGAAGTATTGAATGAGTCATGATGCAGCACCAAAAAAGCACCTCGTGAACCTTACCTCCGCTCTCCCAAATTTCGACTCGCGCTTTCCCTTTCCTTGGTTCTTCTCATCCACCGCATTTTATATCGCTTCTTCGTCCGCCTACGCGCAAACCTCCGCACAGACGACGCAAAACCCTTCCGCGAACGAAACCCCCGCTTCTCACAAGCTTTAACCTCAAAATACGCACCCGTTGTGGGCGCCAGTCTTGCTGGTGCTGCATTGGGTATCAGCCCACAGAGCAAACTCCGCGTGACGGTTGCAATTTATATGGCTACTCGCAGTCTGGAGTTTTTGTACAATGCGTTGAATATCAAGGGGTATATGAAGTATAAGCCGTGGTGGTTTGGGAGTTGGTTGTTGATGCCTATTTCGTGCGCTCAGTTGTTTCATGCGTTTGTGTTTGATCGGGAGACTATACCTAAGGTATGTTCATTTGGATGCTGTATGAAAAAAAAAAAAAGCTAATTCTTGGAATAGTGGATGGGTGATATGCTACTTCGATTTTCAGGGAGCTACATTCCACAGCGCCCTGAGCACTTTCCAGCTGCTGTATCATGGCCGAGTCAGCATGATCTTGTCGATTCCCTCGGCTCGATTGCAGATTTGAAATGGCCGTACGTTCAAACAACCTCCGAGCAAGATAAGAGACTAACTTATCTAGGGCATTCATCTCGCCAATTTTACATCCTAGCAACCTCAATCCTCTTCCCAAACAAGTCAAGGCAATCTCGCCATTGACTTCCCCAGCGCATCCGAACATTGCCTCGTTGTCATGTGCCGTGCTTCATCCCAGCACACCAAGCTGCAGCACTGCTTTCCTGCATCATATCTTGAATACTGCTCCTGCATTAGTTCGATTTATCACTATCACCGCCCTGGCCATGTCAGCGGGCAGCTACAAAAAAATTCTCTCCAGCCCTTTCTCATCAATGAACGTAATCTCCAAGCGGATTCTCAGCTTAACAGCTATTCTGTCTGCATCAACCGGTTCCTTCTGGGGAAGTATATGTCTGCTGAATAGCCTGCTTCCTCGCTCAACCCTGCCCACGAAGCGATTCTTCCTCAGCGGCGCATTGGGCGGTTTACCATTCGCATTTGTTGAGCAGGGAAGAGGAGCATTCACTTATATCTTTCGCTCAGCTATCTATTCAGCCTGGGCCACAGGCGTGAAACGCAGATACTGGCGTGAGTGGAAGACAGGCGAATTGGCACTTATAGTCGCGTCATGGGCTCTTCTTGGTGCTGTACTTGAGTGTTCCCCAGAGGCTGTTGAGGGTGCTGGATTGAGAAAGGGGCTTGCGTGGTTGAGAGGTGATGGATTTACGGATCCGGTTGAGGTTGCGTTGAAGAGGAAGAGAAGGGCGACGGTGACGCAGAAAGAAGAGGGAGAGAAATCTGCCTAAGTTAGCTCTGAGCTGTTGTCTTCGGTGTGTCTATGTATATGTTTCTTTCTTATTGATACCATTCGAGAGTATTCACGGTTGCAAGTTAGTAAATTCATGTTCTTATGAGCAATCAGATTTGTGTAAATACTCGTGATGCTTAGTAGGCTTTCATTCCAAGAGAAGACAATGAGGAATAGTCATATGTCACCTCCTGCCCTAGTCCATCGTCAACTTATAACGCAGCCCTCTCAACCCTCTGGCCCTCCTCGTCAAAAACGATCTTCTTTCCACTAATCAACGCCTCCTGCAACGCATACCCAATCCTAACCGCCTGCACTGCGCCCTCCAACTTCAACGGCACAGGCTTATCATCCAAACAACAATCCGTGAACTCCCTCGCTTCAGTCACAAACGCCTCTCGGAAGCGATCAAAATAATGCTGCGGCAACTCCCTTCGCACGCCATCGGCTTCATAGACATTGACGAGATTGATTTGAGGCTGCGTGTTGACGGTCAATTTACCTTTTGTGCCGATGATCTCGGTGGAATCTTCCTGTCCCGCGGCCATCATGCGCGAAGCATAAAAGTATGCGATTCGACCGTCATGAAACTCTACGAGCCCCACGGCATTATCTCGATCGTTATACTTCCTCAGACCTGGCTCTACTGCCGTGATCCCCACCGCTGAAACCGATTTAACCATCGGCCCTGGCTTCCCATCCTCGCTATAAAACCACAGCGCGAGGTCAATATCGTGTATAGAGCAATCAACAAATATCCCGCCCGAGAATTGCGCATACGCAACAAAGAATCCCGATGGATCGAGTTTGTCGCATGTTTGAGAACGGATTACGCTAGGACGCCCGATTGTGCCTGCCAGCATCTTGGTGTGTGCGTCGCGGTAGGAGGCGTCGAAGCGTCTGCTGAAGCCGCAGAGGATTTTGAGATGGGGTTTGCGGTTTGCGGCGTCGAGGACGCTTTGTGACTGTTTCACTGTCAGCTCTTTTCTTTCTCTTATATATCACGAAGGAGGATGTACAATTTCAACGCTGGTAGACAATGGCTTCTCGCACAAAACATGCATATCAGCATCCATAGCCTTAATTGCTTGCTCGGCATGTACGGCCGTCGCAGACGCAACGACGACAGCCTGCAAACCCTCGTGCTTGAGCATGTCGTCGTATTTTTTGTATACTGTCACACCTAACGGGCCAAGGTGCTCGCGTGCCCATTCCAGTTCGGTTTCGTCGGGGGAACTGACGGCCACTAGGTGCGCGCGAGGAGTTTGTTCGGCGAAGTGTACGGCATGGCGTTTTCCCATACGGCCTAGGCCGGCGCAGGCAATGCGTAGACGGGTCATTTTCTGTCAATTTTGAGTATATATGATTCAACTGAATGTACTGGGGATATATGTGAGCGAGATCTGGAAAGAAAGTCTACTTCGATACCTACGGATGAGGGATATTTATCCTGTCAACCTGAGGAAGTACATAGTAGCACGGATTCCGTAAATGCTAGAACGGAACACCCTCATTATTCATGTTTCTGTATGTTATTGTGGAGTTGCTTTGTAGAACCGTAGTCTTCAAAGGCCCAGTTCGGAAATGGGTTTCCTAGGGGTGATGTACATAGCTCACCGCATGTCTGAAGCTGAAGCGTGGTCAATGATTGTTCCTATTAGGTTATATGATCGAAAGAGAAAGAAATGGAATCCATTCTGAAACGGTTTTCAGTGTGATAGACTTGTGGGTTCTGGTGTGAAGTGCATCAGAATGGAAGGTCTAGCGAGGCATAATTCCGTGTTAGGGCTAAGCCGACAGAATAAAGGTAATAGGTATATACTTCAACCCACAATATTGATTAACACAATAGCCAGATTATTTATCATAGCGGAGTCCATACTATCTTTAAAGTAATTGGCGTCTAGTTATGAGCAGTTTGATTGCCATCTAGGGCTTGTCTGTGAAACCTGAATCGTAAGGCTACCGAACACTCCAGCTCCAATGTCTACCTCTATTCTCCGCTGTTCATCGATTTCATGATTGACATTCATTCTACAACCATTCATTATTATACCTTGCAAACACGATGGATGACTTTGTTTCCAGCCAGATGGAGAAGCTGCACCAACTCTAAGCACCGACTCGCCGCTGACCCCCCAGTAAGAAGGGTGGGAATTGAAGACAGTTGGTTAGACCTACACTTCAGGACAGGACAGGACAACTAATATTGAGCTTTATTTTAGAGCATTCTAGATCCATGCAAGGTTTTTTTTAGCAGAATAGAAAAAGGTAGGAACGCGATGTAAATATCATTCGACGTCTCCCTCCCTCATGACAGCAGTCTGACCACTCTTGTCTCACAACTTACATAGATCTCTAGCACTAAATTCCAAGCGTCCGTAGAGGTAGTCGGCAAATTACATCGTACTCAATCTGTCCCAACGGTGACGGTCGGTCCGATCACAGATTCCTTCTTGTCAAACCCGAATTGTGCAGTAAGTTTGGCACGCTCTCGTCGCAGTCCCTCCGCAAAGGACCAATCAGCTTCATCAGACCGTCCATCAAGCTCAAAAGTAATACCAAGAGCGTCTTTCCAGCATTTGTTAGTATAGCCCCTGTGGAAAGCGCGGTCCGCGATTTCAAAGTTGCTCTTCGTCTTGAAAGAGGTGGGACAAGGTAGCACGCTCTGGAATATTAGACCGAGACCAAAGTCGTCTAGCAAGCCCTCTTCTTCCATCAATACGATAAACAGCATACCATAAATGAATCGTTTAGAGAGAGGAATGCTGAGTGTCTCTGCTGCTCGCTTCATAACAGGGTCACGGATGATCGATGGTGGCCACGCAACTCCTGGACGGGCCTGATCTCCGCCGTTGAGGTGATTATAAACTCCTCGAAGGAGTCTTCGCCGCATGTCACTCATTTGCTGCCACTCCTTGTTGTCGTCAGAAACATCGCATGCTTTGCAATTGCAGACAAATCCCATCATATCAGCTCGCTCTTCCCTGCTAAGGAGCTGGAATTGAAAGACGTAGCAGTTTGTGATTTCCTCGCCAGCAGTAATGTCTCTCGTTGGGATCAGCGACGTAGAGTCCTCAGTGGTTAGAAGCCATGGGCGTCTGGCGTTGGGTAAGCACGAATGATTGATACGAGACTGGAGGACAAACAGGCCTGTTGTTGTTGCGAGGCTTACAGATTCGTTCATTTCTAAGTATGGCTCSGCAACTTCATTCTTCAGATTCAAATGATTGTGAGACCAGACCTCAAAAGGAGACTTGGGAGGCTGCGATCCATTCTCGCGTAGAGGTAGAAGTGCGTCTTTGGTGGAGTAGGGGAGCTTTGTCCACGCTTTATTAACGTCGGTTTCAGTAGCTTCTTCTCCTGCACTTTTCGTGATAGTGAAGATTGCCGTCTCTTTCAAGATCAAGTTGTTCTTCTTGATGGGTCTGGTAGCAAAGACTCCCCATCCTGCTCCAGGTGACGGTCTCAACTCGATCGGCGCGTCGTCGGGGATTTGGATGTTGCGATATGCTAGAAGAGAGTCAGAGTCAGTCAGTCCTATGTATGGCAGGTTTTGTACTTACGATGTGGCTCAGACATGGTGTCTCGAGCTTGGTAAGCTTGAAATAGTTACTGTCTGGGGAGGAAGAAAGGAGATGGAAAGACGAAGACTCTGGGATGTTTTTAGTGAGGAGCGTACTTTGATAGAATACGTCCATTTCGTTTGCCCGGTCTGAGCCCTAAGCCCTTAAGCATCACCGCTCTTTGTACGGTTTGTTTTGGGATTTCCCGTTTAGTTCTCATTTCGTTTGTTGGTGTCTGTCCTATCAGCGTCAGTGTTGACAAACAGCGCCCTATCATTTGACTCTCATAAGCAAGCAAAATTGTCTCCATTGGTCTTGCAAAATCCGGGGTCAGAAACTTCTTAATATCAATTATCACCTCAGGTCCAACGTTATTTTGTCTGATCGTCTCCAAAGCGGTCTGAATGAGTCTCGATTCTTTGCATCATATCAAAACTAGGGACATTTGCTTGTAGACTTACATGGGAATCACGCTCTGTACCAGTTGAACCACATGAATATTGACGTTGTCCTATAAATGCCCAGGTACGCTGGCATCTATAGGAGTGTGTATGTTCAATAGATATCCTGCGTGACAATCTCCATTTCAACCAACCCAATTGCATATATAGCTATGGCTACATATCAAGAACATCAACTTTTTCATGACCATCGCACATGATTCAAGTCAAGATCTATGGTACGGTCGCTGAAGACTTTAATTGGTGGCTTGGGATTGGCAGGTTTAAAGTTGAGTTAGTACGAGGTGTTGAAATACGTATATATAGTGTAAGAGCTTGTGATACAGGGTGGCTATCTGGAGGCAAACATATTGATCTCGTTGAGCTATTGTAAGTCTCGATTGGTTCTGATACAGTCTATACCTGCCACATTCCATCAAGGTGGTGCAGTGTATGGAACATGAACCAATCTCGTCTAGCTGCATCGAAGCGCGTGACTTGCTCTAGACCGCTATGACAGAATATTGAAAACAGGCTTCTGCAATGATATTCGAATATATACACCAAGAATCAATGAACACGACGGCATTCTTTGAGGCAGTTGGCAGGCATTGATATAGTGATGATAATCTGTGGATATGGCTAGATTTACAATTTATGTACAGACGCTTAAGTTCAGCTAGCTTTGAAATATCTACAGCGAAATTCTCCGACTGCTACGACCCATACACCTGCCGCAAATAGTCACTACTCCAATGGGAAGCTTGAGGAGACGAGATGCTTATGCGGAGGGTGGTCATGCCCCGAATATATGTATGAGATGCATTAGATCACAAGGTGTCCAAGGATTAGAAGGAGTGATGATCCGGTGTGGCCTGAGACATGGGCCTAGATCCACAGGTCATCTGCCCAGGTGGTACTTCTAAGACTCTTTGTGAGCTTTGACTGCAACCGAGGACAGGGAGTGATATTTTCGGATAAATGCCAGTTGCGGAAATACAGAAGCGATCCGGTTAATCTATTCTACGGAATCGATCCTACTCGGAGGAGGTCGCTAAGGAGTGGTCAGTATTGTCGATCTTTCTGGGGGCATTAGCTTTGGGCGGGGTGTTGCATGCACATTAACATCACTCAAGCACGATAGGATGTAATGGCGTATACATGTCAATAACACTGCATATGAGTAAACATTCAAACACTGATTCAGCGAATGTCCCACTTTCTACAACATATGCATATTAGTTACAATTCAAACCCTGACTCAGCTAATCTCCACTTTCTAAAAGATATGCTCCTTGTCGTCATTCTTAGATTATGTAGATCTTTGATATAGGTCTTCGGAAATACTCAAATACCCCACGGTTACACATCACGAGCGGATGAGCAAGTACGTGGATCGACATTAACGATTGACGCGGGCCTCCGCATACTGACACCCCTGTCGGATTTCATGTCGATAACCAGTGATAGACCTTCTGTAAAGTGTGTGGTGGATGTAATATATCCATATCATGGCATCCGTCGCGGAAGCACTATGGGTGATTATCGGTGCAGGTATCAAGATGGAGACAACGTGCATGATGGATCTTCAAGGATAGCGGTTAGACGGCAAGGTCGCGAGTTCATCAGGGCGAGCACTGGCCGATGACCCGACAATTATATACGGTGCGCAGAATCGCTGTTATTGCAAACCGAGACTCTTTGATAGGTATTTAACGTGCTCTTCATCTCCCGAGCTCTTGTTCGATTTCGATATTGACATACTGCCTAGTCACTAGACACGTGACGTGAAGACCAACTTTCTCGTTACACATCTCAACAATCTACAGGGCTCTTATATGCTATAATCGAGACTCAGAGCCGAGAGAGACAGGTAGACTGGCCCGCGCGGCAAGTAATTGCACGATGACGAGTTACTTGATGCCATTTGACCGGATCGACCACCATCCACTTTCTAGCTTGATCTCCATACCAGTACGTACATGATAACCCTTAATGAGTCCGTTCTTCACTCTTCTAACCTCAAGGTATCTGCGAAAGACCGTTGTAGCCCTCGCGTTGGTATGGACGGCTTCGAAAGTCATCTACAACCTCTACTTCCATCCCCTGCGTTCCTATCCTGGTCCGTTTCTCGGAAGGACGTTCAGCGTTTACCTCTCCATTCTCGAATTGTGTGGCACGCAGCACAATACAATTAAGAAATGGCACGATAAATACGGCGAAGTAGTGCGCATCGCGCCAAACAGCTTGTCATATAATTCAAGCCAGGCGTGGGAAGAGATTTGCGGTTAGACTAACCCCTCCCCCTTCTCTCTTCAAGAGTGTAAATGAATATGATAATCATAACCTCTAAGGCCATCGATCCGGCAGTCATAAAGCTCTGTTTGACAAAGACCGAGACTTTTTCGTACTTCCACCAAATGGGGAGCCAAATATTGTATCTATCCCCTTGATCCAGAGCAGTTTAGCTACTAGACTTACTAACCATGTGGGAAAACAACAATAGGTAGCAGCCAACGGTGAACATCATCGTCGGCTACGACGACTTTTGGCATATGCTTTTTCTGATAAGGCTCTGAGAGCGCAGGAAGCCTGCATTATGAGCTATGTCGACCTTTTAATATCTCGATTGAAGGAACTAGAAACTGGAGGCCATGGTGTCGTGAACATGGTGCACTGGTTTAATTTTACAACTTTTGATGTCATTGGAGATCTAGCTTTTGGTGAATCGTTTTCACTGCTGAAAGGGGGTGTGTGGTCGAGACATCTGTCCTCGATTTTCGGTATGGTACAGTTCAGTGTCATGGAGCGGCTGGTCAGGCGTCTGTTGCCATCAACATGGAAAATTTTCGTCAAGCTTATTACTCCAAAGAAGCTGCAGGACGACCGGATGTATCAGTATAATCTAGCCAAAGATAAGCTATCTCGCCGGGTGGCTCATGATGCAGAGAAACCTGACTTTGGTGAGGACCCTTAGAATCATCCTATGGACTATTTGAGACACAGATTACTCTAACATACTTCAGTGCACTGTATGCTGAAGGGATCTCGCGAAGCTACCGGTCCTGACGGTCTGACGTTCGAGGAAATGGTCTCGCAAGCAAACCTTTTATTAATCGCTGGTAGCGAAACAACAGCATCACTATTGTCCGGCATGCTGTACCATCTCCTAGTGAATCCTGAAGCACTGGCTCSTTTWACAGAAGAAATTCGCACATCCTTCTCCGAGGAGTCTGATATTAGCATTCAAAGCGTCTCCTATCTACCATATATACAAGCTGTGATCGAAGAGTCTCTGCGTATATATCCTCCCGTACCCAATATCCTACCTCGCTCAACCCCCCAACCGGGAGAAGTTATTTGTGGGAAATTTGTCCCTGGAGGCACTAGCGTTGGGTTGCATCACTATGCGTGCTATCGCTCTTCGGAGAATTTCTACGAGCCGGACTCTTTCCACCCTGAACGCTGGCTCGATGATGGTGATTCTCGTTTCGCGAACGATGATAAAAATGCATTTCATCCGTTCTCTCATGGACCGAGGGGATGTCTCGGGAAGAAGTAAGTAACGTCTTCAAATTTTGTTGATGTGAGCGCTTTCTTATTTTGTTTTCATAGTCTGGCGTACGCCGAGATGAAGTTGATTGCGGCAAAATTCTTCTGGAATTTCGATGTTGAGTTGCAACCTGAGAGCAGGAATTGGACCCAGCAGAAGTCCTCGATCATTTGGAAGAAAATCCCTCTTCATGTCAAATTGACATCGAGGATGTAGTATCAGCCTGTCACTGCACTTCCTCGTCGATGTCACATGCAGTCGATCACAGATTGCAAGATTTAGCTTATTTTTAATTATGTTAAATAATCACTCCACTCTACAATCTGGACTCCTGGTGTAATAAGAGTAACATTATTTATATGAATGGGGGATATCAACCATCAATATGAAGTAGATACCAAAAGTAATACTGAGTATTTTCATGTGATAGCTAATAATCACAAGTTACTCTGGCTAGGTGGTCAAATATAACCTGCAATGTGAAACTGCTGGTATCAGTCGATGGCTGAAGCTGCGTTCATTTTCCAGTTGCAAATATATACCAATTGTCACTCTCGACATTGAATCTTCCACGCGTAAGATATATCAGGTATACATCCGTACAAAGTCTTTCTGAGCCTACATATCTATCATCCGACTCAATATCATGTGTTCCTATGATGGAAAAAATCCGGCCTAGGCTATGCTCGAGTCTATCATTAACCTTTAGGGTTCCATCTCGACCTTAAATATGATTAACGATGATGATGGGAGTTCTGGTCATTGAGAGTATATAAATCATAATTTTTTCAGTCTTATCATCAAGTCTCTATGTCCCAGTGGTTAAGGAGTCCGGCTGTTATCAGCGCCTGCAAAGGTGATGACCGCACACCGGAAGATCGGTGGTTCGATCCCACCTAGGGACGTTTCTTTTTGTTTTTCCTGATTCATTCGCTTTATTTTTTATTTTTTTTATTTTATTTTTTTTGCTAATTTCTAACGACGGAATCATTGGCTGCCAATTATTTAAAATCAGTCAGAGTATGAATTGCCGTGTCTATACCAACAAATCTATCTGTATCATCAAGCCCGAATCTACTACCACTTATCATGGAATCCCAGGTCGACACCAAACGGCGGTGCAACATATCTCTTCTGCTGCCCACTGGCCTTGAGATCATCGGCATATTTCTGGAGAAGCGCAACGTCATCGGCGTCCAGTTCAACCAACTCCCGGTTTGCGGTGATGCGGTCTGGGTTGATTGATTTTGCGAGGACGACGGAGCCACGGGCCACTACATCTACCATCAGTATCAATGAACAAAACATGAAGATTAGGATGACGTACAGTGCCAACTCAACAAAACCGTCGCAGGGCTCACGTTCCTCTTCTTCGCAATCTCGACCACGGGCTCAGCAGTAAACAACGGACTACCCGTTGACCCCAGCGGACTATACGCCTCAATCAAGATTCCTTTACTCTTACAGAAATCGACAACTTCTTGCTGCGCGAGTTGCGGGTGATTCTCAATCTGGTTTGTGGCAGGGRTGATTGTTGCTTCGGCGAGAAGCTTTTCGAGGTAGGGCACGCTGTAGTTTGAGACGCCGATGGCTTTCACTTTGCCGCTAGCGGGCAGTTTTTCCATGGCTTTCCAGGTGTCGACGTGGTTGTGGCTGTGGATTATGTCGCGGGTGCCGTCTGGCAGTTTGGGGAAGAGGGGGTGGTTGCCTTTCTGTCGTGTCAGGGTCGGCTCTGAGATGAGATCGGAGAGAGAGAGAGAGGGATACCTTTATCGTTCATCCTCAAAGGCCAATGCACAAGATACAAATCCACATAATCCAACCCCAACGCTTTCAGGCTTGTGTCGAGTCCCTCCTCAACTCTATTGGCATATACATTCCACAGTTTCGTGGTCACGAAGAGATCTTCGCGTTTCACGAGGCCATCGTCAATGGCAGCCTGGATGCCCTTGCCGACGTCGACTTCGTTGCTGTAGGCAAGCGCCGTGTCGATGTGGCGGTATCCGACTTTGATAGCATGGTAGACTGCGCGCTGGGTTTCTTCGGAGGAGGATTGCCACGTTCCTAGGTCTGTTAGTTTTTGCTTATCGCGCGCGAGAGTAAGTGGATGGTGCAGTACCGAAACCCAAGGCGGGAATCTCGGCGCCTGTGTTGAGTTTGTAGCGTTTTTCTGCGAGGGGAGCCATGGTTTTGGTTGTATATACGATATGTACCTGAGGAATTGTGCAGATGTAGAGAATTACGTGGTTTAGGGGGGACTGTTACTTATTTCTCTACCCCGCAACCCATGCTACCATCGCCCGCCAAATGGCCCGGATATTTAACTTCTCATCCCACTCCACCCCCAAAATCTGGATGAATCGGGCTATTTGATTCGGCTCAAGTCGCGGACAAACCTCCGGAACCATTCCAAAGAGCATAATCGACTTGATTTTGGACGTTTCTATGGTTGATCACCTTCAATCTACAACTCTGGTAGTTGAACTGTATGACTGTGTTTCCAAATTTGAACTTTTATATACTACTCCAGACAGAGGATGGTAAAATGGCGTGCTTGGCTATTTCCACCAATGGCGCGAGAACCCAAATAAAGGACGTAGTCGTCAGGCACCGTCCCTTAATGACATCAATTGCCGTTGCAACAGTGTAAATCCTTGGGGAAAAAAAGACTCGGAAACCATTTTCTCTGGCAACAGGGTTAGGGTAAAGCCACCCCTCCACGCCCCCCACGCTCTGCCTCACGATGATTCGTCTCTCGGAAACCATTTCTCTGTCTGAACACATTCTAGAAAGGCTCACATTTTGCCACTATCGCACACGCTGCTCTGGACGTGTGTCGGCTCGTCCAGATATGGAAACCTACATTCCCAACCAGATCCGGTAATTCGCCTGATTTGGCAAGTAAATGTTCTATGATGATGTCCTTGCAGTTGATGCTGCTGATGTCGTTGGAGGCTCCACTTTCCATGAGAGTCATGATCAACATTTTGCGATTTACGAAACCCGGGAATTGGCAGTTCCGTAGAGATCTGAGTATGGAATCTGACTTCCGTGTTGAAAATTTGAGGGTCTGGGGTAGGGTAGTACGTAGGTAAGGTTGGGTGTATATAAGCATAGATTCGTCCGTGGCGAGAATAACTCTAAGACACAATCCAAACATTTTTATACAGGAGAAAAAAGTAAATAAAAATGGCACCAGGCGCAACATTCGTCGACTCCGCCGTCGAAAGCGGCGCAGTGTTCAATACAAAACGCGACGGCAAAGCCCTAGAAGCTCTATCCGACGACATCGACGCCGTCAACGCCCTCAACCCTTCCGGCAAGAGCAACAACATCAAAAATAGCACCCCAGAAGAAAAAAGTCTATACGACGAATCCGTCTTCGACAAGTCCAAGGACAAATCCCAATTCCGCCAATACACAACCGCCTGCGACCGCGTGAAAAACTTCTATCATGAGCAACACACCAAGCAAACCGTGGCGTACAACCTGCAGGCCCGCAACAGATTCCGAGCCACGACGCGCGCGCGGATGAGCGTATGGGAGGCGATGGAGAAACTCAACACATTAATCGACGAGTCTGATCCCGACACGACGCTGAGTCAGATTGAGCATCTGCTGCAATCTGCAGAAGCAATAAGGCGCGACGGAAAGCCGAGATGGATGCAGCTTACAGGGCTAATACACGATTTGGGAAAGCTATTATATTTTTTCGATGCAAAGGGCCAGTGGGATGTTGTCGGCGACACATTCCCCGTCGGCTGCGCGTTCGACGACCGCATAATCTACGGGCGGGAGAGCTTCAAATCGAATCCAGACTATTCGCATGAGGTATTCGATAATGGGCTGGGGATCTATTTCCCAGGTATTGGGCTAGACAATGTTATGCTCTCTTGGGGTCATGATGAGTACCTATATCATGTCGTCAAGGGTCAGTCTACTTTACCGGATGAGGCGTTGGCGATGATAAGGTATCATTCGTTCTATCCGTGGCACAATGCTGGTGCGTACGAGGAATTGATGAATGAGAAGGATAGGCAGATGTTGAGGGCGGTCAAGGCGTTTAATCCGTATGATTTGTATAGTAAGAGTGATGAGTTGCCCAAGGTGGAGGAGTTGAGGCCTTATTATGAGGAGTTGATTGATGAGTTCTTTCCGGAGAAGGTTATCAACTGGTGATTTTTTGGTTTCTCTTGGTTTGTGGATAGAAGTTTATTGATGCATACTTTACATGACTGAAATGACCAATGCTCGCTCATCAAAAGTACCCAAACCAGGCCCGCTAAATTCTCAAAGTAATGACCAAGACAAGTATCAACAAGAAGAAAAGAGTCTAAGAAACAATCGGTATAATACATGCCAACCACTACACCACTAGATTACTCTGCAAATTTTCGAATAACAGACTGTAGGTCGCTTTCTGGTTGGTACCCACGCCATTCACGGTGCAGAGTGTATTCGTGATGAATCACCTCCATATCAGGGCCAAATGGATATTCAACAGTCTGTATATGGACTGCAAACTCGCGGTATCCTAGCTCCTTCAAATTTTCCACATCACCCTGCCCATCGGCGTGCTGCGCATGTATTCGCAGAGCACTGACACGACGCATTTCACGTTCTTGCAGGATAGCCTTGATCATGTCCCCGCTCAGACGTCTACGAACACGCATTTCCTCAATGACCTCGCGGAATCGTAAAAACGGCAGAGCAAGGATGATGGCTGATATGCGATTTGCCTCGGGAGTAGGCACAGGGTGCTCGCCAAAAGCTAGACCTGCTAGCATCGGGTTGCGGTTCGCGATGCTGTACTCTTTGCGCAAACGGGATGGAATACGATCTTGGAGATCTTTTGACAGACCGGTGCGGTCAAAGTAATAGTCAGATGGCAGGTTTTGAACTAAGAAGTTGATTGCAGCCGAAGCAATCCTGGGAGCCCATTTATCAACCACATCACTGTTCAAATTATTGGGAACGAAATTTCTGTTCGCCTTATTGCCTCGGAGTCCCCGCCTCTTCTTTCTTTTCTTCTCATTGCTGTTGCTGTTGCTGTTGCTGTTGCCGTCGGTCTCGTTGGTTTCGTTGGTACCATTGCTGGCTTTGCTATTGTTTTTGCTATGATTGCTCTTGCTTTTGCTGCTGTTGTAGATCAACAAAAATTCCTCCGGATAAAGCCCAAATTGTAGTGCAGTCTCAAGACTGCTCCAGTCAAACAATTCCAGGACAAGATTGAATGCTGCGTTGACAACGTCAGGTTGGTCAAGAAATGCCCCCGCGGCGCCATAACACAATACCATGTCAATGGCCGCTCTCTTCAGCATGTCAGATGTCAGCCCATGACCGACTTCCCCATGAGCTGTCCGAGCAAAATCATACACGTTATCTTTGGTGATCAACTCCAGACCATAGTGACGCTCTAAGGCAAACTCAAAGCTGCGAGGGAGACAGAAACTCTTTGCTGCTATTATGCAGATCGTTGCATTCGTATCCGTTACACGTTCCAGGATTGCACTAAGGGCCGGGCTCTGTGAGATAATGACACGATGGACATTGAAAGTGCTAGATGGGAAGGCATGGCTAGCAGAATCGAGTACAATTTTCAGGTCAGAGTATCGTCCAGAAAGAGCCATATCCAGTAAGTGAGTCGGAGATGATACGTTTCGACCAGTAGTGGTGCTCGTAAGTGTTGAGACTGGAGCAAGAGAGGTCTCGTCTCCAGTAGTAAGAATCAGAGACTGGGGTCGAGTCGAAGAGCGAGTTGGTGCGTCATTTGTTGCAGCATGGTAAGACTGAGCCTGGGATGACACATCCGCAAGCGCGACAGAAGAAGCTGCTTCAAAGCTTGTATGATGAGCTAATTAAGGTTAGCCAAGCTCAAAGTCATGTTCAAATGACAGATATTGACATCAGCCATACATTCATGCCAAGACTCAGAGCGCTCTCGCGACTCAGACACAGAACGCCATTCTCCGTCATCTTGAGCTCCAGGATCTGACGCCGAGTATTCGCGAAACTGCTGACTCACGGGGGTGACTGGATACGCGGGAGAATATATGGGCATAGCTCTTAGCCCAGATGTATCTCCGGAGGCCCCGTCAAATACATGCGATAAATTGTTTAGCGGCTGACCTGGAGGCTGATATATCCACGAGGAGTCATCAAAATGTGAAGGACTGCGAAGAGCAGGCGGGAAGGAGATATCTGCTGCACGTTCCGGCGGTGGTGGGTCCTCGCGTTCATACCCTGCTAGACACGGTCAGTAAGGACACAATGATTGAAAAGTGAGCCATAAAGTGAAGGATATCTATCTCACATGGTGCAGCAGGAAAGGCAAATTCAGAGCCGTCCGCCATTCTAACGATCTGGTAGCGACGGCCTTCATGGCGGCGAATTCTTTCTTCTGCTTCCACGCCGGTTATTTCCGCGTGGTACGCTCTTGACACACCGGTGCCACGGATGATCATGGGTCGATCGATGATTGTGGTTATCTGCGTTATGTCCAAGTTAGCATCTGTTGGAGAAGCCTGATTATCAGTCGTCGAAGGTGTTGTCAAGGCGAACATGATTAGTGTAATCTCAGCTTGCTCCCCTTCAGCCTCCTTTTTCTGTGCTATTCTTTTCTGTGTGGAGGGATGGTTACATGCTCTTGCTGATGCTCAATAGCAGCATCATGATTGAAGCGAAAATGCGATGGACCTGAAAGTGAGCGCCAGACCGTTCGCTTGGGAGGCGCTCCTTCCCCATCAGACAGGCTGAACAGATCGACGTACTCGTCCTCTGGTTCTTCTAAAATCGGCTCAAGGACCATTTTCAAAGCAAGTGACAGATTCAGATCAAAGCAAGACAAAAAAAAGAAAAGTAAAGCACATATCAAAGTCAGGTGAGAGAAGCAGAAAGTGAAGCAAACGCAAAATCAAAATCAAATGTAGTGATCCATCATGAGAAGTGATGAAAAAGAAAGAGAAAGAAGAAAGACAACCTACTTTAAAAGGCGTAGTGAGATAGAAGCCATGTCTAGGCATCTTCTCAGTCTGGTGATTTGCTGGCTGGTGATGACGATGTCGTGGCTTTGAAAGAGATGACAACAAAGCTGTGATGGGATGGATGTTAATTAGTGGCGTGAAGGAGGTAGATGATGAGAGATAGAGAGAGATAAACAGAGCCAGCAGGAAAGAAGAGGAAAAAAGAGGAAAGTGCCGCCAGGGCAACAACAGCTGTCCCGATTAGGAAGGAGGATTGGCACCTGCTGTTTGTCTTTTTTTTTTTTGCCTGTCTGAGAAAGTCCGATACTGACAATGGTTTTGTATTAGTCCTTCATCACAAAATGCCTTGATGCATGTTCTCCTACAGTTATTTTGATGTATTCTAGTATCACAATACTCATAGTGGGCAGATAGGCTGGTCTATATCAGGAGAACTCCTCATGACTACAGTACTTTGTAATGTACAATGCTTGAATGACGAGAAATGACTGATATGTCTGTAACTGTATTACTAACCAAGCCTCTTATACAACAAAGAAATCTCCCGCGCCATGGATATCGCTAAGATAGACAGATATGCTCAATGAACACATGAAAAAGTATCAAACGAAGTCTGTTACATGACCAAAGAACAAAGTACAATGAAATGGCGTCAATTGAACAGAATCGAATTAGATCATCCCTCCCTGAATCTCGGTTGCAGGAGGATAATTAGGCATTGTCGGGGTCGCAGCCATCATGGCCTGCTGTCGAGCACGCGAGTTCATGGGCCCACCTTCGCTCTGCATTTTGCGCAGACTAGGTCGCGAGTCGATTGGGCCGCCCGCCTGGTTGATATTATAGTTATTATTCATATTATTGATATTAGGAGGATAGTTGGCGCGTCGCTCGTCGTCGTGGCTGGATCGAACTGCTGGTGGGGTTTGGGCTCGATCACCCTTGATTGCACCAAGAATCGTTTGTGTGGTCGTCGTTCGTCTGCGACGCGGGTTCATGGGCGGAATGGGAGGAGTGTTGGGCATGCCATTGCTGAGACTGGCTCCAGGAGGTAAAGAGACCATCGGCACGTTGGATGTGCTCGACACAAAGGTGGGCTCTGAGATTTGCGATTTAGATACTTGTCTCTTCGGCAGACCGTTGCCGCCGGGGGCTCGTTGAGGGAGCGACTGAGTGGATGCATTGTTTGACGAATCTGATCGATTGAGCCTGGGCGAGTCATTTCTATCCTCTTCCAGAGGAGGAGTGGCATTGGCAGAGTATGGAGGAACAACTGGGGAAGGACGTGGTGATGTTCCAATGCTGCTGGCATCGCTTGGTGGGACGAGCTCTAAATGTGAAGGCGCAGCAGACCGATTTCCAGACATGCTTCCTGAGCCATCAGAAGCAGACCGTTCGTTTGGTACGTACTCACTGTCCATCGATGGGCGCATAGAAGGGGGTGATTGTCCGACACGAGTATCACCGTATCGACTCACAGAGTGTTCTGCTACCATATCGAGGTCCTCGCGATGGGGTGGACGACTTTTGGATCGTGCTGATGCAGAGGTTGATCGGTCCCTTCGATAATTAGCAGGCGAAGCTGGTCGACTGGATCCAGAGTCTGGCTCTTCACTACCATGGCTGGTACTGCGAGAATAGGGTGCTCGACCAGATGCAGTGCGGCCAGATGCAATTTGTGGCGAGCTCGAGTTGGAATGTTTGCCCAATCCACTAAATCCAGAGGCCACATCGTCATCCCTCCAAGAGTCAAGGGAGGGAGTTGATGCGTTCATCATGGGGCCACCGATACCAAGTTTCTTCAATGCTTTGGAAGATGGCGGTGTTGCAAGTCCATCTGGAATACCATTCTTGGCTGCTCGATTCTTAAGCAGCGAGAAACCATTTCCGGTCCTGGTACCAGCCTCGGGAGTGTTTCGTCCGGGCGCTGGGCTGTTGGATCTGCTACCTATCTTGTGTAGGTTTTCCTGAACTCGTCGTCGTCTTTCGGCTAGCTCGTGGGCAAACTCTTCACGCTCCTTTTGTGTTTCGAGGCTGCTATCACGATAATGCCCTAATCGTGATTGTTCTTCTTGCGTAGCGGGGCGCGTCTCTTCAGCCTGTTCGGCTTGTTGTTGTTCTCGAAGGGCAGCAGCTTGTTCGCGAAGCTGCTTTGCTCTCAATGCCACACTTGAGAATCCAGAAGTCGGTGGTGGAGGTGGCGCAGATGTCGGTGCGGAAATTGGTGGTGGTGGAGGGGGTGGGCCAGAGGGCGGCTCCATTGGTAGTGAGAGGTCCTGATAAGTGGGCAGTCGAGGAGAAGGCAGAGGCAGCAAAGACTGTGCACTATCTTGCCTCAAATGCGCACGAATCATGCTGTTGAGGCCGAGTCCAGCTGGTCCAAGTGTTGGTGAATCAATAGCCTTTTCAGAAGCCTCTTCCAAAATTGGCGATGGAGGAGCTGGGTTGGTTTCTTGTATCGGGTTGAGGTCATATCCTTTGATTTCGGGAATCTCAAACGATTCGCGAGTCGATGGTACACCGTCAGAATCTCTGGATGCAGGTCGGGAGCGGAATGCAGGATGAATGCCATCGAAAGCCTGAGATCTTACCGAAGACACTTTTCTCAGAGGTTGGAAATCATCGCCGGCACTTTGGCTTTCGCTGTCACTGTTGTCCAAATTCAAGAAAAAGGTACCGTTGTTACCGGCAAGTCTTGGAGGAGAAACATCTCTGATGCTGTGAGCTCTCGACCCGGTACCGTCACCACTGTAGTAAGACGAGGCAGACTCTGCCTTGGAGCGATAGCTTGTGTTGGACATACCCCGTGGCCGATTGTCGTTAGTCTCTCCTCGTGAAAGGCTGTTGGCTGACGATCGACGAGTTGTGGGAGTTCCAGTGCGGTTTTCATGCATCTGAAGCTGACGTCGCATGAATTGCTGTTCATCATAAGGTCCGGTTGGTTTGTTAAACAGACCCATGGCTGTGGCTTTACCCCGGTCTTCGGGATGCAGTGCGGCAGCAAGAGTGCCAATCTCCTCATTGTCGCTGATGGGTGGACTTAGAGGTGGCACTGCTCCATAAGCGGGAGAAGTGCTGCTGCTGTCTGATGTTCGGTCTGGTCGTTGGACGGCATCCAGGGCTTCGGAAAACGGTGATCCTGTCGAGTTTACTGGACTGTAGTTGCGATTTGCGGATGACGGAGTAGGTAGGATAGGAGATACACCCTGGCGTCTGTCATGAAGGTTGGTTGCGCTCCTGGAAAACGTACGGTTGAGTCGAGGAAGATCAGGAGGTCCGCCTGCGCGCTGCCGGCTGAGACTTTCAAGTCGCGTTAAAGCTGATGATTGTTGATCTTGTGCTGTTTGCGCTAGACCTTGTCCATAGAGCCGGCGTGTTTTGCTGACATGGCCATTCATAGGAATCACTCCAGCCGGTTTGCTTGGATTGTTGGACATGGATGTAATTTGATTTGAGCCAATTGGTTGCTCATCGATGGAAGTAGCTGCAGTCGAGGTGCGTGGATTCGATTGTCCCGACGTTGTCGATGACGAGGTCATCCTCTTTGACAAAAACCCTGGAAGGCCCTCATCCGACTCCGGGGTCAACACATCTTGCACTTCCTCTGCCGCTTGCATGGCGCGTCTCTCCTCTTTCTCCCTGAGTCTCAATTTCTGAAACGTTGACAAGTTGATATCATCTTCATAGACTGTCCTGCCTCTCATACCCCCTAGATCTTTGCCGGAACCACTGACAGGAATCTTGTAAACTTTCTGTCGTCCTCCGAAGAGGTTGTTTCCCTCCCCGGGCCTTTTTCTGTTCATCACATTGCCGTTCTGCCAATCTTCATCGGTCCCATCTTCAGCTGATGCGTATGAGTTGACTCTTTGCGTTGCAAACGATGATCGGCCATCCATGGACGAAACTTCGGCGATATCGGTTAGAGGGTTTGGGTTGTGGCCGAATAAGTTGAGGCGAGATGCTCGCTTGGGAAACAAAACGCTGTCGTCGTTGGCCTTTCCTAATTTTGTGTTGGGATCGTCCTGTTCTCGTAACATGCTGAATCGAGCCGAGAGGTTAGGCATCAAGAGACTGGTGCGAAAGTTGTCGGTGGACGGTAAAGCGGTCGAAAGGTCGAGCTCGGGCTTGACTACATCTTTGTTCCCTTTCTTTGATTTCGATATTCCCATGAACGAGGAGGGAGGCGCAACCTCCGTCTCTTCAACATCTTTCCCCTTCTTCCCCTTCCTGAATCTATTCATTGTGACGTTGTATCGAGTGTATGCTGAACAGGGAAAGTCAATCGACGGGCGACCGGCGGCAGTACAGGAGAAACTCCTTAGACGTGGAGGTTAGAACGATTCTGCGTTACTGATGAGAATTAATTGATGCCGTAGGATGCCTTGTAGGGAGGATGAAAGGTCGCACCTTCTGGATTCATTCAAACAATTCAATAATCCGTCTGTTTTCTATTTCTTCCAAGCTTCGTCGATCCAGTCTGTGACGTTCAATGTCGTGTCTTAAATGAGTGTGCATGAACGGACGGAAACAGATCAAAACTTCATGCTCCGGCAAACGGTTGCTGATCGCCTAACAGACACCGAGCGCTAAATCGTAGCTGAAAATTTTCCAGAAATCGCTTTGATTGTAATCTGCGGTTCGCAATGTTATTTGTATGCCGCGTATGCGAATTCGAAACAAAAGTCGGTGCGAAGAATGTGGGTTGAATAAAGCAATTGCCGTACGGTAACGGTAAACGGTAGTACCCCAAGACAAACAAAGGATATTTGCTGTCGTCGGTAGCAGCGGTTGAATGAATCCAACCGAGATAAAATAAATAATATAACCAAATAACAAATCACAGTAATGCGCGTGTAGAAGGGAAGGGGTTAGGGGTGGAAGAAAGTAGAGAGAAGAAAAAGATGAGGAAGGAGTGTAAGTGATGAATCAATAGTACGGGAAAGTTAGTTTGGTATCGATATGGCAGGKCCGGGRGGGCGAGCAAGTGCACCGGTCATCAAATCAGCACGCTAACACCACCACATATACTACCGGTAAACCTGAACCAATGGACTGTCATTGAATCACGGAGTAATCTTTGAGGCTTGATGACCGAATCCCAGCTACTTGGGTATATTCAGGAGCAGGGACCAACGCAGGGATAAGCATACGATGTAGCCTAACGCGTGATCCTGGTTTCTTTCAAGTTTCTACAAGACGGTGTTGCTGTAATCATGCGTAATGGCTGTTACGAGCTAGCTATTACACGCGGAAAATAATTTAATTAGCTGTAATTTATGGTACGAAAAGAAAGAGAAAATGTGGATGACAGAGACCGAGAAAAGAATCGAAAAGGCCGAGAACACGGACGATCAGTGGGAATTCAGGAAAACGGGGCCAGGGCGAGCGAGGCTTGACGGATCAAGCGGTAGGTTTGTTTAGGTCCTTAGGGGAGAGAGAGAGAGAGGGGGGAGAGTCAAAATATGAAGGCGGTTAGTTTAATTAGAAGTACGGAGTAGTGGGGGGTGGAGACGGCGGAAACGGTGCGCTCAATCCGTACCAACAATTGTTTACGTTACGAGGACATTTACCTAGTGGTACGCTACGACGTAGAATATTGCGCCAACCGTATCGTTTATCCTGTCTCGAAAATCACCATTGGTCGTTGTGTCCAGACGCACTGCAATCATAACGGTCCATTCCGTACTGTTTAGTGCATCAATACTAAACGACTAGATTAATAGACTAGACGCATTACGGAGTAGAGGCTCCGAGAACCAGGGTCGGCCGGCGGGCTTGGCACTGCTACTGCTTGCTAGTTGCTCTTCCCCTTGCTTAGGGCCTTGGCATTACCCATTGGGCCGCTGTGAGTGGTTGACGGAAGCCTTGCCCCTGGAAGGCTTTGTCGGTACATTACAGTATACAATACAGTGTAGAGTTGACGATATAAAGCACAAGGAGTTTCATGTGTAGAGGTGCTTTGGCCGGTAATATTGTTTCTTTTTTCCAAAAGATTTTTTATTTACAAAAGAAGAGAATAAGTACTGTTCTTGATTGTGGCTCATTTGTACTCGGTATTTGAAACAATGAAATGTGCAGCGTGGGTCCGTCGCGTGCTGTACCGGGCCGGCAGTGGGCTCCGATGGTACGTATTTTACTCGCTAGTGTGCGGGCTGCAGTCTGCTTCTGTACAATCACCACCGGACTATCGCATAGGCACAGTCCTTAATAACTTCTGATATTGGGCCTCCATACGGAGTACGGATAGAATACTACTACGTACGCAGGCAATTCTCCTCCAGTAAACAGGTTTCGCACACCTGAATCTTGGTACACTGGCCCGTAGTTCACACCTTTAGGCATCGGAACAAGATCCAGATCAAGCGACTCCATACTTATAAACTCATCCTTACGAGTCCGCAAGAACTCTAAGTCAGCCCTCCGTCTTCTAAAACCACCCCCGTATTCTGACGAACTCGATGGAAGTTCGCTTCCGCTGATCGTCATATATCGCGCAACGACTGCTAAGCACTACGCATACCGCCATCGTGGGCGGGTAGATGCTTAGTAGAGGCTTGTTTGTCTATGTATATCCATTTCAGCTGAATTTTTCCTACCACAGCGTAAAAAGCCGAGAGACTCAGACGATCTTCAAGTCACCGTGACTGAACTCTGTTTTATTGACGGACGTAATGATGATATCAGATTCATTTCCGGAGGAAACGCCGTACTCCCTAATTCTATATGAGTCCATGCCGGTTTACAGACAGGACTACAATACTTACATAATTGATTGTTTATTTTATCTTGTGAAGCTTGCCCATACAATCAAGTCGCGTGGCCTCCTCGCATTAAAAACTCAATCATGGCTCTTTAAGTTTATGTGAGTATGAGCTCGTACATGCATATATGCATACACACTATGTACTCCGTACTACACATCGAAGGCAATAGTCATGTCGACATGGCGACCATTGGAATGTTGACTTGACTGCCTCCGATCAAAATGCCGGTGTGGCTGACGCAGCACACGTCACGCAGCCTACTCTTCCCACAATCATATTCTGCAATTGTGGCTTTGACGACCAAATCTGAAGCATTTCAGTCAGCCTCAAAGTCAAAAGATAATTGATTTGTTCAGTGTTTCATCTCCGCAATGATGTAGTTGTGCTTCGTACGTTGTAACTTGTACGTAGTTGTAATTTTTCTGTGGCCCGCGATGTATTGAGTTGTAATAGGCTATGAGCCGGTATCACTCAACCACAACGCTAAGCCTGTTATGGGAGGTGCCCCTGACTAGCCTCTTTATGAACAAGGGACATGTCTTGGCGCGATGGGATGGGCCTGATTGGCTGTGAACTCAGTCGACACATTTCTATTGGTTCTACTACGTATGCAGATTGGTTGTACGTATGCAGGTTACTGCGAAATTTTTTGCATAACGACTAGAATTCGTATTTTGGAATACTTAAACTTGAAAAGCATCAAGCTGAGGGTCTCTTGAAACTCCGAACAAGGGACTTGAAATCAAGGCCAACCCTGCTGACCGTTGAATCTCAAATCCCTGATTCCTTGCTAGATCCATGCCCGCCAACGAATCACAACCCCAAACTTAAACGAGTGAGGCGTCGAACTAAATCAATTCGGCCAACGGCATCTATCGATGAAGGAATCTAGACTTTGATCAAGTTGGATGTCAAGAATTAACAAAGACGAATGAGTCTATCGCACGCCAATCACGGCACTTTTATCGTTCAAACTGCCACAAATTTTGTTGCGTATGCCCGGCATATAATCAGCATGGTTATTGAATGACTGGTCAAGTTTTCAATATTGATGTGATCAGTCAGAACCCGTTGCAGATGGGGGTGAGACGTCTTTTGATTCTGATCAAGTAATAGTAAATGGGCCGTGTCCCGATCACGCTTCCTCACCTGAAGGATCCCGATCCAACTTGCCTGTTAACTCTTAAACTCTAGCCAAATTGTATAAGAAAACTACGCAAATTCACTGACAGCGAAACGTTCATTATCGCATCGAACTCTGTGCTCCGCGGGATCGTTGCACTGGACTCTGGCTTCGAGTTGGGGGCGAGTAGACTGCGACGTAGCAACAACCGCCCAGCCCGAGTCTCGTATATCATAAGGATGCAAGATACATCCATATGTCGGTTCGATTGGTTCTGGGTATAGATGTGATTAATCTCCGAAATTTTTAATTTTCTCGACGTCTCTGCGCTATGATTGCTTTATACGCCACAATCCATGCATTATTCGATACTGCAGATGGTCTTACACTTATCAATTTCCAGATTGACACATAAATGCAAGACTAACGACTATACTACGTAGTATTGAATGAAGCGACTTGACTCGTCAATATGATATCGGTACGTATCGTCAGAATCTTCACATGAGATGCATGCAAAAATACAAATGTCGCTACTACGAAGTTGGTCAAGTTACATCAAGGCCGCCATGTGGAAATCTAGAAGACGCGGAATCGCGTCCCACCCGTCTTCCACGCGATTTCGAAGTTAATTTATTAAAACTTAGGAGTAGGGTCAATCTTTTCCAAAACCTGTTCTAGTGATTCGCGAACCAGCTTGTTGTGTGAGACTAGAGTACTAGTGTGGTGTGTGACAGTGCGATGCGGTCTGGGCCGCTTGTGTATCAACTAAGGTACGACGTATGAAGCGTTCCATCTAAGAATCTAGTTGAAGGATTCTCAATGCAATCGTAAGCCATGACTTGATTGATATGATTTATATGGGCGGACATTGTAAACTATGAAGGGATGCTAGATGGCGTGGGATTAGCTGAGCCGAATCACAAAGGCAAATACAGTATGCCCCCTATTTGAGTAATTGGGCCCCAATTCCAATTTACCTTCGGATAATAGTATTATTCGTATGATTTCTAAAGGCTTGCTCACGACACAAGTCAGTTTAAGTCGTAAGTAAGTGTCACTTTGAAAAGGGGGAGGCGACTGCCCGGAATGGTCAAGTATGACCACTTCAAGTAAGGTACTTTGCCTCGAATGATGAATCGATATGATATCCAAGACTGTGATCATGTACATACCTAGACTTCTGTGATTTGCAGATGCACATGACTGGAATGCGCAATTGTGTCCAGTAGTGTCCTAAGAGGGAACATCTAGATAATGGCGAGCCACCTCGACAGAGTACACCTGGACTTGGGTATTTGATATTTACCATGAATTGTCAAACCAAGGTGCTTACAAGGCCGTCTTCGGCACATAAGATTGCATCAGAGTTATCATATCATCAATCGGAATCCTTTTCTGGGTAATTGAGGATCGACGTTGTCAACCCTAACCCTAAATTATTATTGGAGGATTTTACCACTAGCACCGAAGCGGCAATAAGAAGGTATAGAATGGAAATCACTTATTATATTTCTTGATATCTTTTCCTAGGCATTAGTATAGTATTGTGATCACTAGGTGAATAGGGTGTTGAGGAAGCTCGTAGGGCTCCTAAGACAGGAGATACCCTGAATATCGAACGAACAAGTTCGCAGCGCCAAAGCCGGGCTGACATTTAGAACTCAAGCCGGCATCGGAAATGAGAGAAAGCACGATTATGAGTCTATGGTACGCTCCATTCCTCAATGCCGTTGTCGAACTCGCGTTGATGACATTGGGTTTGACATTCCGATTTGACAATCTACATGATAAGCGGCTTCAATGAATCCAAGATTCTCGGCGAGATACACAAGATAGGAGACATTCCCAACGGTTCTACTACTATCTTAGCGGAGCATTACTTCCGCAGATAGCGTCGATGTTGACCATGAACTTCAGGACGTATTTCATGAAAGAATTGAATTTCTAGTTCTGTGCAAAATTAGATAGACTAGTCAAGTTTTCCGCTTGATACCCACACATCATGTGGACTTCTACTCGGTTACAAATCATAAGCAGTTGGTGTCTGCCATCCTATCTTTTGCGGACTTCAAACATCCGCAAAATTAACCCTAATTCATCGTTATCGACATACAGCACACCCGGATTCCACGAAATGGAAAATTTACCAGCCCGGATCTGTCTATCAGGAGGATCCATACAGATATCATGATTAACTCTTCGTATATTCTTTTGTAGTGTTACGTAGAAGATATCGGCATGATTTCGGATCTCCGAGGTTCAGGTCGAATAGAAGATGTATGGGCCAATTTTTTATATAAATTCCTCGTGCGCCGCTTCTAGGTTTCATGCTCTAGTCTACTAGTCTTTCAAAATCGGTCGACATTGAACGTTTACCAAGCTAATCCACAATGCGATTTCTCCTCGGTATGGCCGTCAGCTTGGCTGGCGTGGTGGTGTCTGTCAGAGCTTGTGCATCTCACACTGATGCCAGCAACTTCACTATTGCCATGGTCCGCACATACCCTCCTAATTGGCCTCTTCCTCTGCTCAGTAGCAACTGGACCGGCATTACGATGAATATTAGCCAGGCGGTCGACAAAGCTGTTGATCTGATTCAAGAAGCATCTCATGAAAACGCCAGTCTTGTTCTCTTCCCCGAACTCTGGTTTCCCGGGTACGTTACAGGATGACCATTCATTCGTGTTCTGATAAAGTCATGCTAATGCATATATATCTTACCACAGTTATCCGATGGGCTTTGGCGATGACACGAACTGGCCGACCGTTCTCCTTCCCGAGTACATCGAAAACTGCCTCACAGTAGGCGACGGCAACTGGGCCCGCATCGTGGATTCTGTGGTGGATACCGGTGTTTATGTAGGTCTCGGCTTCTGTGACAAGACCACGGAGAATATATTTATGGGTCAGGCATTGATATCGCCTTCTGGTGATGTTCTGATCCATCGCCACAAGCTACGTCCATCAGGAAGTGAGCGCGATATGTTCAGCGACGGCACTATGGAGATGCTGGAAGTAACCACCACTCGATACGGTCGTATTGGGATGTTGGAGTGCTACGAGTAAGTCACGGACTGTGAATATCTGTGCTATGTCACTAACCATGCCATCTCAGGCACTTCTGGCCTAGCATGACATTGCCGATGCAGGCCCAGTTGGAAAACATCCATTTAGCGGCTTTCCCTTACCTGGTAGACGACAGCAACCCTCAAAAGCAATGGTATGAAGGCACCTTCGTGAACATGGCTGCGGAGACCCATTACGCTGTTCTCTCGGGTGCCTATGTTTTTCATACAAGTGTTGGTACTTCATGGGTGATCAGTCCTTCCGGTGAGGTCCTTACCCACGTCGGATCAACAGTTGACATGGACACTACCCCTATTGTGTACTACGGAGTCAATACTACCGGTTTTGATACTACTGCTACATACGATGTCAACGGCGAGGTTTCGTGGGGTGTTGTCAAGCAGATCTACGATGGCTTCCCATCCTATATTCCCAAGGACCCCGGCACATTTGTTGACTTTGCATCTATCCCCATTGCTCTTGAGCAAAGTGGCAACTATAATGGTACACCTCCTGCCTCTTAGTTATCTGGTGGCTTGGTGTAGTCAGTCGACTACCACGCAGAATGCCATCTGTGGGATGTTATATGATATATGCTATTGCTTTGAGAATGCTCAGTAATTAAGAACAATCTTCTGTCACACTCCAGCTAGGAATTTATTTATAGAGCATATCACTGGAGAGAAAGGTCCGACATTATTTGATGGTTACAACAGTTCAAGGGTTAGACCGTTATTTAGGGTTAATGTTCTACCTAATTTTGCAAAAGTTAAATTTGACTTCTTACCGGCCCTTATCTCCAATCGCCCGTATTGTACCACAGTCATTTCTTCCAACTTCCTACCTCCTATGCCTGCTGGAGACTATACTTAAAGTATCTTACAGTTCCGGATACTTGCGCACAACGCGTACTTGGTACGTTGTGCGTGGTGCACACAGTTCAAGGGATTGATTGTACTTGAAGGCGGATAATGACTTCTCCGACCAGAAACCGCATCTCTATTGCCTGCGATTGGTGCAGGAAAGTCAAGAGAAAATGCGACGGCTTGAGACCTGTCTGCACAGAATGTAAAAAACATTCACGTCTGTGCATCGTGACTGAGATGCGCGCCCGCCGGTATGCTACCCTCGTGCCTATCCCGTCACACAGCCTAGTGTTCCTGTGCAAGAGTCTTATCCTGGCCATGGTGGAATAACTGACGGTAAATGAGATTAAAAGGAACCGTACAGAAGAGAAAGAATATATAACTCGCCTTGAGCAGCAGGTGAAAGCACTTACCACAATGATCAATGCCAAGCGGCAACAGCAACAGGATGATCCTGATATGCTTGAGCAGGAAGAGGAGCTCTATCATAAACTCGCAGATGGTGCGAACGCTAGAACCACAAACACACATACCGAACCTGTTAGAGTTCCATCTGCTGCTCAACAGGAGCTGGGCACCGTGAGATGGAAGCTATCACTCGACAATCAAGGAGTTCCATCCTTTACAGGACCTTCCAGTGCCCTCTCTTCCCTCATCGACGTCCCCAAGCCAGCGCCCTACCAACCTTGGCCTTTGTCTCAAATTAACTATGAAGACGTCTCCTGCTATTTGGAAGATAGAAAATTAGTTGATGATCTTCTCGGCTGTTTCTGGAACTACGTCAACCCATGGTATCAGTTCGTCAATTACCAAGCATACCGATCTTGGGCCGTAGATGGCTCGAAAGTCAAACAGCTACACCAGAAAGCACTTGACTGTGCCATTCTTGCAGCCGGCGCTTGCTATTCGGATCACCCTTCCGCCTCCAAAGCAGGCAAGACTCTAGCACTTTATGCCGAGAGTCTCATTCTCCCCTGCTATCACACCATGCCCTCCTTAACTCTCCTTCAGGTTCTAAGCGTAATGAGCTGGCGAGAATTGATGCTGGGTACTACTAATCTTGCTTGGATGCATCTATGTATGCCGCTTTCTCCTTTCATGTTGTTTAAGTACGTCGACACTAACGTATCTTCGCAGCCCTTGCCGCTAGCCTAGTGGTGCAATTTGGCATACATGTTCTAGGAGCAGACAAGTTGAGCGTAGTACTCCCATCTGGACCTCTAAGAGCAGAAATAAGAGCTTTTTGGTCATTTTATTTCGTGGATCGGTATGCATTGTCCCTTATCTAGAGGCCGCCTGGCCATTGGTGATAATTCTGTCATATCATGCCTGACTTTGGTGAATTAAAAGCTTAGGCATGGCCATTTTGGGCAGAAGCACATTACACATCAATCAAATTCAAGTTCCGCCTTTCGAGACATCGTTCGAAGCCAACCAGATGACGGACGAACAGATTTTCTTCGGGAAGATATGTCATTTATGGCACCTTCATGACTGCCACATGGACCGATTGTGAGTTCTACCCATGGAAAGATTTAATTCAGAACTTAGTGTTGGTCAATAATTTCTTACCGTACATATGCCCACAGATACTCCGTCCAATTTCAATCCAAGCATTTGCCAAATGAAATGTGGGACCAGCTTTTTATTGATGGCAGGGAGACTTTCAACGCGTTCCGTGACGAGAACTTTGAACAGCTCGCCTTCACCACGACCGAGCCGACATTAGTCTCTGTGCTGATACTGCAGATGTCTTACCAGGTAGCTATCATCTCCATAAATCGACCGTTTCTCCATGACCCAAGGAAGAACATTGCGCAAGTTGCGGCGCAGGCAATGATAACATCGTCCACGGCTATCTCACATATAGTCAAGAGATACCGCAAAATCGAGAGCCTAGCCAATGCACCACCTTTCGTCATGTACCACTTGGTGCGAGCCGCTGTTACGCACCTTTTCGCCGCGGCATCCAAAGAAGCATCTGTCCGCAAGCGGGTATCCGGGGCCTTGCAATTGTGTACCGATGCCCTAGAAGAAATACGTTCCATATGGTCATTGAGAGGCGAGCAAACCATTCATCTCATTCGTGAACTTGCTGCTCAATGGAAAGTCACCTGGACATTGCCATTGAAACTCAGCCAGCCTTTAACCCAGAAAACAGCACCAGGTGACGGTGACAATAATATAGTTTTGTCCGGCACAAACTCAGCATTCGGTACACGTAACGCAGCTATTGAAAACAATTACTGGAATATCGAGACATATTTGTCGCTAAGTGTAAGTCGAGTCTCTCAATCTGTCTACTACTACTTTCTTCTTCTTCTTTCGCCTTCAACCATGAGAGCAAAACTCTCAACCTGACGAAGCATTCGACTAACCTTGACAAATACAGGATACTGAATTCCATACCTTCAGAGCATTCACGCAGGATAATCCAGAAGGTCATCATGATTTGCCGGGTGAGAGCTACTGAATATTGAAGATATATGTTGATGCAATTGGTACTTCATTCTACTGCATCTTGCAATCAATCAGAGCTAATCCAGCAATTCGAGAACGTGTATACAGTACATAGTATGTAGTATGATGACAGGATTACTCTACCGTTATCCTGAATGCGTCGAACATAGCTTATATACGGTATACCGTCCTTCGCCGCCTGATACTTAAAACCCACCATCGATCTCAATGACGCCATTCTGATCAGCTTACCCCGCATAATCTTTTCTTTGACTTTAAACTTATCCATCATATCACCATTTCCATAATCTATAATTCTATCAATATATCCATCTTATATACTACTATCTTATATATCATCTCAATTAATATACACCATGCCTCAAGTCCTTCTCCTCGGTGGCCATGGCAAAATCGCTCTCCACTTGACACCGCTCCTCCTCGCTCGCTCCTGGAATGTCACCAGCGTGATTCGTAATGCCGAGCACGAAGCCGACATTTTGGCGCTCGGAAACGGCAAACCGGGCAAAGTTTCAGTTCTACTGTCTAGCCTAGACGACGTCAAAAGCCAGGCGGACGCACAGGCGGTTTTGGATAAGGTCAAGCCAGAATACGTGGTCTGGGCCGCTGGTAAGTCTTACATTTGATTGGCCCGTTCAGTTGATGTCATGTTTTGATGCTAACACCATATAGGCGCCGGCGGAAAAGGCGCACCCCAGCGCACATATGCAATTGACCAAGATGCCGCAAAATACTTCATCGCCAGCTCCTTCGCAACGCCTTCAGTCACAAAATTTCTCCTCATTAGCCACCTGGGCAGCCGCAAAGTGAAACCTGCCTGGTTTTCCGAAGAAGCCTGGAAACGCACACAATGGCTCTGGGCCGAGGGTCTTCCAGACTACTGCAAAGCAAAATACGAAGCAGATCAATACCAAACCGCGCTTGCTGCGGTCACAAAGAAGCGAGAACCGAGCCGCAAGTTTCAGAGTATCAGCCTAAGGCCGGGCACTTTGATTGATGGCCCCGCGACGAAAAAGATTGCACTGGGTCACGTCACTGCTGTGGAGGGGTCGGTGACGAGGGAGGATGTGGCTATTGTGGCTGATCGGTTGCTGGCGAGGGATGATACCGAAGGGTGGTTTGACTTGTTAAATGGTGATGAGCCGATTGATGAGGCTGTGGAGAGGGTTGCTAGTCAAAAAATCGACTCGATTGGAGATGAGGATGTGGATGCTATGATTAAAAAGTTTGGTTTGTAGACCTAAGTGGCTACATGTTTCATGCATCTGGATTTTCGGTTGATCTAAAGAAAACAGACTAGAGCACAAAAAAAGTCTCAATGTCACATCGCAATCTCATTTCCACGAAATAAGTGAAATGTAATTACAAGTCTATACAGTATACAGATTAAGTTTCACGGATAAGACTAAGCAAAACAATCAAAGTATGGTTCGCGTCTAGTCCACGAGTTCTAGATCACTTCCCCGCAAACGCGCTGTTAGCTAACCCTATGCCCTGTAGCCCTAAGTCTGTATTCGCTGTCGTTCTGTATTTGGGTATCACTGGGGCTCTCAAGGATGTTCCTCGTATGATGAAAGTCACTGCATCTAGGTATGCCATTTCAAATAGATGGCCTAGTAATCCTAAGGCTTTGTTTTCGGAGAATATTTATTATCAGTTGTGGATAGAGTGCTCCACAGGTGGACTTGTACCCCAGAAATCGAGAGGGAGATCGAATCAAGCGCATCGAAATTATGCGTCAGTCTCAATCGGGCAGTTACTTAAGGATAGAAACACGCCGCTCAAAGCACCGTTGGATGATGCTGCTGACTCCTAGAAAGCAATCCGTATTTGAGTAACTGTCAAGGCACTCGGCGGGTTGAATCTGGAAAAAGGTTCGGTTACTATTCTTTGTTCCCTAATTTTGAAACAGCTCACAGACAGTACAAGTCAAGTTTAACTGTACTACATCCACTTGATTGATGTGCTACTCGAGCGACAAATGAGATATGTGCTGAATGACATCTATGCATATCTCCCATTGACTCTAAAACAGGATGGACCGCGCTCTGGTCTTCAAAAATACTCAAATGATAAATACTGAACAGGGTGAAAGATTCTACACGAGTGATTTTAAAGTTATGTCACTGGCTTCTCCTTGGGCAGTTGCTGTCATCTTCTTTCATAAATATGATTATCACGGTGGTATCCCGGGGAATCGATTGCCGCTTACACAATCAGCAGTACAGAAAATATCAAATGACCATATGACTTTTAAAGAACAAGTCGGGCAACCGCTTCTTGGGCATAATGTCAGACTAATCCCTTTGTTGAGGGAGGGATTCGCTATCTTACCATGTCGTTAAGTCAACATTCAATTACAAAAGATAGGAACACAAAGAGACCAAAAGAATTCCAAATAGTGTCTATTACTTGTTATTCAAGATGAAAATGAAAGGGAGTATCTACATTCTGCACACTACGGGGCGTGGTATATGTGTTTGGCAGTGTGAAGAAGATTCTCTGAATGCCCAACGCGCTAACTATATATGGAAAACCACTTCAGACAAAGGGCTTTATTATAGACAGGGCGTACTTCCTCGGCATGATAAGAAAATATCTCTCACGCCTTCACACGTCCCGCAATTGCAAATCTCTTTCTCCCTGCAAAAGCTTCAGCGTCGTGACTTCCTCTATGGCTCGACAGTCTGAAGCGTTCTACGAACCAGGTATCAAGTCATTCCACGATCACACGATGATCGAGGTGGTGATGCCATTCTTGCACTGGTTGATGACATGTATTCTCCTCTACCTTGCAGCGGTTGTCGTCTATCGCCTCAAGTTCCACCACACTGCTCATATCCCAGGCCCATTTCTTGCGAAGGTGACCTTTTTCTATGGATGGTACTATGACCTGTACCTTGAAGGCCAGTACGCTTTCAAGATCAAAGAGCTTCACAAGATTTACGGTCAATCCCTTGACAGAATTTCGAGAATATAGTCACTGACTCCTGGCTCAGGCCCAATTATCAGAATTGACCCAGACACTGTCCACATCGATGACCCAGACTACTTTGAGGTGATCTTCAACCTGAAAAATGGCAGACAAGTGAAACCACAGCATGTTGCGGAGGTCTTTGGTCCTTATCCTGCGGTATGTCTTCGAGTCACCTACATCTTATTCTCGAGATACTGACTATATGCTACGCAGTCAATCGGCACAGCATCTCATGAACTCCACCGCCTACGTAGAAGTGCACTCAACCCCTTCTTTTCGAGAAAGTCGGTCATGGATCTGGTCCCAACAATCCTACGTCCTACAGCCATTTTATGCGAGCGACTCAAACAAGCGAATCTAACTGGCGAGACGCTGAATCTGAAATACGTCTTCCCCGCGGTGACTATTGACATCATAAACGCCTATTGCTTCGCAAGGGAGCCAACTACTGTTTTGGAACCGGACTTTGGCAAAAAGGATACTGACAATGTGGCGTATTTCTTGAAAGTTAGCTTGCTGGTACGTTGGAAACTATTCCTTTGCAAGGGGAGATTGCTAATTGCGAGGGTAGAATACTCATATCCCGTGGCTGATGCGTTTTACCTATTCTCTACCGGTATGATGCATACTGTTTGATGATTTATACGATATCAAGTAGTACTGAATTCATCTACAGGATTGCGTGAGCAAGGCACTTACACCGGCAGTGGCCAAGATCCTCGATTTCCGCAAAGTAAATCCTATCTATGATGTCTTTTCTACTTTGCCTCGCTAAAATATGTTCAGGAACTTTCTCATCAAGTCGAAGCTATCCGCAATGGTCAAGATACTGCTCATCAAACCGCCGCCCACTGGACTGTGTTTCACGAATTGCTGAACAGCAAGCTACCAGCAGACGAACTAAGGCCAGCGAGACTTAGAGATGAGGCATTCAGCCTGATTACTGCTGGCTCGGATACAACGTAAGACTGATAGCAAGACTTGAGAATGAGTTGTCTACTGACCAGAGTACAGAGCACATGTCCTCCGCGGAACCACATATCACATTTCAGCCAACCCTACAATCCGCCAGCGGCTCTTCAACGAGCTCAAAGCCGCGATCCCAGATCCCGACGACTTTCTCAGCTTGCCTGAGCTCGAAAAGCTTCCGTATCTATCAGCAGTTATCTACGAAGGTCTCCGTCTCGCCAACCCAGTCACGCACCGTCTCGTTCGCCAATTCCCAGACAAGGCATTCGAGTACCAAGGATACCTGCTGCCACCCAACACTCTTATCGGCATGTCACCAAATCTGGTCCATTTCAACGAAGAAAAATTCCCCGAGCCACAAGTCTTCAAACCTGAGAGATGGATTGGGCCAGATGCCGCTCGACTCCAGCGCTATCTCATCTCGTTTAGTCGCGGTCCTCGGACATGTTTGGGCATGGCTTTGGCACGTGCTGAACTCTTCATCATCCTAGCTTCTGTCTTTAGACAGTTTGAGTTTGATGTTAAGGAGATTGTTCGGAGTAGGGATATCGACTTTAGTCGTGACTTTATTCTAGGTGCGCAGGCGGTTGATTCTCCTGGTGCGTTGGTGAAGGTGAAGCTAGCTGGTTAGTCAATGTGGTGACATTGAAGGTGGATTTCACGTTGACGATTATCACGACTCATGCAAAATTTGCTATGACTTTCTTATGTGCTTTATTCACCAGCTTTAGGACTAGACTGATACGATACGACTTTGATATCGGTCTCTAGAATAGCTTTTTCAAGTGTGGCAAGATAGCAAATGAATTGATGTTCTGCAGAACATGAGCAGTTTTCAATTTTTTTGTTTTGTAGCTAGTCAATTTTGTCATCATGTAGAAAATTGGCTACATTGGATGATCGTGCCATCAAAAAATCACTTGCATCGTAGGATATGAAAAATCAGTGGTCTGTGAACAAGTCACCCTCACCCTAACAGGCGGTCCCATTCCAATCCTTTCCACCAAGGTGGGTAGTCGTCCAGATAAAAATGTTGCAGTCGACCGCTATGGGATAGGTACCTTTCAACAAGCTCTGCGGCCTCGTTACCACCATCATTGACTACTAGGACTTGCGATATCTTTGGGATATATCTCCTCAAAAACTGTAGATATGGACGTATCCACTCCACCCACATAGCGATTTTTTCTTCCAGGGTCAGTTGTCCCTGGGATTGAGTAGGCTGCATCATATATATGGTGAGAGACTTCAGATTTGGAAGGATTGTAGCCCACAATGGTTCGTTTGGCGAGCTTGGGTATGGTTCGATCACACATCCATAAAATCTGCGGGTATATTTTTCAGGCCCTGTGACGAGAACCACATGTCGTAGTCGACGCCTGTTCTGCTCCGCAAAGAAAAACTCTAAGTCACGTTCCGCTCCAATGTTAATGCATAGATAGAAGGTATTCTCTCCATAAAGTATGTCCAGACATTCTTCACAGATCAGCTTTGATAACTGTAAAACGTGCACTGTGCTGCCATCTGCACCTCCAGAGTTGCTACAGGACCAATATTTCAATGCATGATTGCGAACAAATACGGCAGAGATTTTTTTTCGGCGAGGGATCAAGTGACAATATATCTGGTGTCGCAGTTCGTACGGTAGATCAAGGAAGCCAGTGCGGATCGGGGGTCCGTCCCCGACGGCGCGGTCATCGGTGATATTGAAGGTGTTAGGCATAGTAACATGAAATGAATACAAAAATTCGGCACGATCTAGTAACGTGTTCGATTGATGACTTTGGGACTTCTAGGAGAGGTATCGGTGAGAGAACAAGAGTCGAGTCAGAAAGCAAAGTCTGCTCTACACGTGACTATGGACAGGCAGACACTGTACGTCTAATCTCTAATGTCTAACTAATGAAATAACAGATCCTTGATTTATTGTCCGTGGGCACCCCAACACTGCTCCGAGGGTGCCGATTCCTATTTCCATAGAAAGACCACATTCGTAGGGCAACGGTAAACGAAACCCTAACTTACTGGGGTCATCGATAAGTCTGTCACAATCCTAACAACTGAGAGGTTGTTTTAGTATTTTCGTAAATTTAGAAGCAAGCAAAATTGCAAAAAGCAGACTCGGCGATATAGTAATCTCAATACATTAAAGCAATCAACCGGGGTGTGGCGGTTCGGTCAAAAAGTACACAAAACAGGTCCAATTGACTGGCCTAGAAGGACACAAGTAGATACCGAGTGAAGAAAGTTCAAACCATCTATGAAGTCACTAGAAATCTACCAAGTATGGAACTCACCGACACTTTTACATCGCAACCCTCGTTTAGGTAATCGGCAAATCGACGCCATTCACCCCGCTCAAGTCTTGTCAACTGGTTGGTTCTGCCGGTCAAGAGTCCCGCTTACCGGTCACTGAGTCATCTGCAATTCATCTCTTCAACAACATTCAATAACAAAGGAGCGATTGAGATGGCACAGGTACACGGTTTGTCAGACATTTTGAAGGGCGCCTCATTAGATCTTAGCCCGTACGAGGATCTGTACAAGTATTTCCACGCCCACCCCGAGCTTTCGCGGCAAGAGAAATCAACATCTGAGAAAATCGCAGCGCATCTATCTGCGCTGAAAGCATATGAAATCCACACAAATATCGGGGGCTATGGTCTTGTAGGAGTACTCAAGAATGGCGCTGGAAAGACTATCCTTCTCCGCGCTGATATGGATGCGCTTCCCGTCAAGGAATTAACAGGCCTTCCATACGCAAGCTCGGTCACCATGAGCGACGCCGAAGGTGTCGAAAAACCAGTGATGCATGCATGTGGACATGATATGCACATAACGTGTCTTCTCGCAGCAGCCGAACTTCTTGCAATCACTCAACATGCATGGAGCGGAACGCTGATTGTACTTTTCCAGCCGGATGAGGAACGGGGCGGTGGTGCGCAGGCCATGGTTGAAGATGGGCTCTACTCTAAGATTCCTGTTCCGGATTATTGTTTTGGGCAGCATGTGATGCGTATGCGTGCGGGGACTATTGGGTCACGACCCGGGACAATTATGGCGGCTGCTGATAGTATGAAGGTAACCGTGTTCGGGCGCGGTGGTCATGGATCTCTGCCTCATCAGACGGTGGATCCTGCTCTACTTGCTGCACATATTGTTGTCAGATTGCAGAGCATCGTGAGCAGGGAGATTGACCCGACTGATCTGGGAGTAGTTACGGTTGGAAGTCTGCAAGCCGGACAGACCGAGAATATCATTGCGGATCGCGCTGAAATCGGGCTTGATTTCAGGACGGTGAAACTCGAGACTCGTAATAAAATACTATCTGCTATTCGACGTATTGTCGAGGCAGAATGTATGGCTAGCGGCTCSCCMAAAMCACCAACATTCACGCCAACACGTCGCTTCCCACCTACCAACAATGACAAGAATGTCGCGTCTCAATTAGCCGCGTCCTTTGAAACACATTTTGGAGACTCTTTTGATGGAGATATATCGAGGTCAAATGTTGCCGAGGACTTTTCTACGCTGGCCACCAGCAAGGGCGTGCCAGCCTGCTTTTGGTTTCTTGGAGGGATTGATCCGGAACTATGGGACAGAGTATTGAAAGAAGAAAATCCTACAGAAGAAATACCAACGAATCACTCAGCTTTGTTTGCGCCTGTGATACAGCCGACGATGAGAGCTGGTGTGGATGCTCTTTGTGTTGCAGCCTTGACGTTTCTGAAGAAATAGGCATACAGGAAAAATAGTCCGCCACCTCTATAAAATGCTACATTTCGTAAAATGAAGGCCACAGGCTGGGGTCATTAGGTATACCACACAATATGACTGAGTAGAATTGTTGTGTATCAGAATATAGGGCTGTCCTGCTGTAACCCTAACTTTCCGAGAACTTTGAAGGGAATGATTTGAGATATGGTTTCTCAAGAATGATCTTGATCGTTAACATCGTACATAATGTTCATCGAATAAGTTCCCTAACGGGTATGCAGTTATCTCATTAAATAATATGATTGACAATCAATGATTCATACACATCCCATCTCCGGGCATGTAATCATCACATTGTCATGAGTCACGGAAGTTTCTTATAGAAAGGACTCACTGGAAGATGAACCTTATACTTTCATTTGCAGAGATTATTCTCTTAGAAACCAAGATACCTGTTAGCAGTTGATCAATGATTGTATCTTATTCATCGAGAATTTTCATCAAAATATCGCTAGACTAACTCGAAGGATAGCGACAGACAAGACAGAAAAACGTTACAATGGAGGAGACCACAAAGAAGAAGCTGGGAGGTCATATTATGCGGTTGATTGCACAGGCCGAGTGGCGTAACTGTAAGTAGATTGATTCCATAAACACGTGTTAAAAAAGGGGTGATAACCTCCAAGCAACTGACTGAGCTGATATGTCAATATTCAAGCAAACGCTACTGAAGAGACCGCGCCTGCTCCCAGAACACAAGAACATGCTACTGCAGCTAGACAAGGAAAACAATCTATGACTCTCCATAAGTCTATCGCTGGAAATGAAGGGCTTGCTACGGCGCATGTCAAGGCTCCGGCACCTGAATCTGGCGTGAACAACCGATACTCCCGTAATTTTATTCCCAAACTACAACTCAACGACTTGTTAGATGTGAAACTACCTATTGATCATGGTGCATCTATTGAAGAGACGAAAAGCGTTATCATGCAAATTCGAAAACCTATCGACGAAAACCGCATCAAAGACTTCGTCGGAGGTGAACGATTTCGCGATTGGCTGATTTCGGATTCCTCCGATGCACTTGTGGTCAACAACTGTTCGGTGAATTTGTCTCCGGGGGCGGATGGAGTGTCTTTGCTAACTGAACTCATCTTACTGCTCTACGAGCAGTTATCAAAAGACGAAGAAGCTTTTACTATAATGCACCTTTGTGCTAAGCAGCCTGCAAATAACGATAAAATGACTACTATGCAACGCATGATTCGGTATATGACTTCAGAGCTGTATGGCTATGACCGCGATCATTGGAAAAGGCAGGATTTTGTCCTTAAATTTTCGAAAGGCATCCGTAGGTATAATCCAAGAAATAACAAAAGTGATGAGGAAGCCCACCTTATCATAGATTTGTTCATGGATATGCTCCCAAAAGCTCAAAAGGGTCAGGTAATCTATATTTTGATTGATGGATTCGACTTCATCGAAAAAGATCAGTCGGTAGTGAACCGGCGGAATGTTTGGCAATTCTTTGAATGCTTGTATGACTCAATTAGAGACCTCCAGAATTCAGATGAGTCAAACCCTGTCATCAAGGTTATGATCACATATCATAAAACCTGCCCAGAAAATACTCGAGATTATTGGGGAGAATTCGTTGCGGATCTACCGCAACCACCGAAAGCCGCTCGAAGGTAGTATAAGGAATCAGGTCTTTGTGTTTTCCCAGGCGAAAATTCGTCATCAAAAACAAATTCATATACGTCCGTGGAAGGCGAGGGGATTGTTGCCTGTTTCGTTTGAGTACGCTGGGGTTGCTCATCAGCTCAAAAGTCACCAGTCAATCGGTCTCCTGTATTCTACTCCGACATAAACTGAAATTACTGGGTTCGAATCGTTATTTTGCTGTCTACGTTGTATCAAAGGTTGTATACTGACCAATACTACAAAGAAGTACACATAGATTTGTATCTGTAAGCCAGCTGTCCGCTTCCTTGATTCAAGATATATCGTGCCCGGAGGAGGCTTAGGTCTGCTGGACTGATTCTACAACAGGACCGACGCCATTTAGTATACTTTTCTAGGAGTGACTGCCAACTCTTGTCGAAAACAGCTCGCGTCTCAGCACGTAGAGTTTTCTATGTCCGTGAGCCCCATCATTCATTTGCCAATATTCTTAGTAACCGTGTGGTTATAGCAGTCTACAGCTATATTCAACACCTGTGCTGGGATAGAGTATCACATTCTCTTTCATCGTCAAGTAGCCTAAGCACTTCTCGCTCCTTGTCTCCTGCACCGCTGCTTTAAGACCGCTTCTTCCAAATCGGGAATGTTGTACTTGCCTTGGTACTGCCATCGATGTGGCATCGTCAGAAGCTGATACTGATGCTCATACATGAGTTGAAGGATTTGTAACTCAGCTTCCATATACAAGATACGAGAAATTCTCCTTGGAACCTGGTATTAATTCTCACAGCCACTGTTCGAGCCACGTATGTCTGAGTAACATCGATGATAATCGAGTCTTCGCGTTCGATGCTTCTAGATTCGAGCAATGCTACAGTGTCGATTTTCGAACCATATTCAAGCAATGGTATATCTCATATCCTCTTATACGAATTCGCCAGTAAAGACGTCCACCCCTGACGTACATTATAGGGTACGACCCTTCACGTGATAACCAAAAAATCTTTGGTACGCGGTAAATTACCCGTTACCGTACCGTCAACTGTACGTAAAGCGTACCTCAGATTTGTCTTTTGGTTCCTGCATAAGTGCTGTGGCTAGAGAACTCAAACAAAATTGGCTGGTGGCGAACTGGACGGGAACAGGTAACTGTCATACTCCATAAAAGGGGGTCGTCATTCAACCGAGGTAAAAACATTGACTTTTTAACTACGTAAGTGATCGAAATTTTTTTGACTCCATACACGTCCTCTGTCTTCTCCATAGCCAAGTCGCGTGATGATAACGAAAATTTCGATCGGCTCCGATTGTCGTAATTCGAGTGTCCGAGTCTTCGAATAAATTGAATGTGGCTTGTCATCCTACTGCTCCGGGCAGTGATCTCAGGCTGATCAGTTTCGCGAGAACCAGTCAAATAACCTGTTCACGTACTCCGTGAGTAGATGTGTAGATGAATACTCTGATTAGTAACTAAACTACGTAAATGGCTGGAGAAGTGGCTGTTCTTTTGCCGCTCGATTTCGTATCCAGAGCCATGGGACTGAGAGTGAGAAGCGGTGAAGTCTTCCTTTTCTTGGTTAGGTTAGTTCTTACGAAAAGAAGAGTTTTTCTTTCTGTTGAACTGTTTGGTTGGACCGTTAGAGGGTCAATTTTTGTAGATCGTGCGTATTTGTCGGTGTTAATTATTCGGGGTATTGAGTGGATATGTGTGTGTATTGACCAAGTCTAGTTGAGCCCCACTGAGTTCGGACTTTACTCTGTACTTTTCATTTGGTAATCGAGTTGCTCGGAGAAATGGAAAGAATAGATATCAATAACAGTCTAAAAACGAAGTGCATATTATGGACAGAGATGAATTTGAACTATGGAGTACGGAGCAAAGGAAGATGAGTTAGGTACGCGATGCCTCCGTACAAGTATGTGTATTGCAATTACGCGGGTACTAGAACAAATACGGTTTAAGACATTGCGAACCGTGGAGACCAATGTGAAACACGGAAAGAGAAAAAAGCAAAGACACGTTTTTCTCTTCCCATGTGGAAGACAATTTACGGAGAAGCCTACAGCCACTGATCCAATGGGTAAGGATTGCTCTCTGGCGGTCGTGGCTGTGCTGCTCCATACGGATATCTCGGTATGATCATCATGATTTGCATCATTCCTACATAACAAAGATCTACTATGTAGTCATATTTTAACTTTCAAGACATTCCGAATCCTCCGGCGGAAAACAGCCCCTTTGTACTCCATCCATACGTGCATCGAGCGTAGTTGGGAAATTAATACGTACGTACGAAATTTGATCGTAGTCCCGTGACCTCTTTCAAGACGAAAATCGGAGAACGAGACAAACTCCAACAAGACCCGCTGTGATGGGCCTGTAACTATATATGCGCTATGCAATACTACGGGTGCAATTTCATTTCCAATGTCTCCTTTTTGAGGCATTCTAGCAATCTGCAAGCTACGTACTTGCGCAGTTACATCGAATCTGCATTTTTAAATATGCTAGGACCATGTTATGCAGGGATCGCGAAGATCTTGTATACCACGTCTGCATAGCATTGGGCTGTCAGGTGTTACTGTTTCAGCTGGTGTGTACGCTGCATATGCAGTGCGGATGCACTAGGCAGGACAGCCTTGCTGATGAATCCATAATCATATTGATCCATGCCTAACACCTATTGCTAAGCACCCATTTAGTTAGTCACGTCTTAGCAAGCAAGTAAATATACCTGACATAATCTCCGTAGTACATAACCTAGCGACCTTTTAGTAGTTCGTGTGATCGATCGGTCTCGGGTGATTGGGCAGTCGGTCGCATCTTTTGACGTACACCACCCTGCTAGTACCATCTCACCGTAAGTTGATAGTTACATCGCGACATAAGTTAATCCTATTATCAGGCACAAAGTCGAGAGGAGGAAAAGGCTTTGTCAAAAACACTACATTCTACTTGAAGCAAGTACACTGAATAAGATATTAAAAATTCGATGTACGGAGTAACTACTCACCGTAATTATTAATTAATGTATACAGAAGTGTAATACAATACTAACCGAAACAGGCTACACGGGAGAAGACTCAAAGAATGATCAAAGAAGGCTCCATAAAAGGGGCAACCCTATTCCATATTCCATACAAAAAACGCTATGTTTGAGATAGAAAACGGAGATACCCCTTTTATGGATCATTCGACAGTGGATACTAAAGTATTTACTTTACAAAAAAGCGGGAGACGAAAAAGTTTTTCTTTCTTTCTGGAGTATGCCAGAATGAGACAAAGAGTTTGGTGCTCAACGGGCAACCTTATGTTAAAATTTGCTAGTTACGCAGGCCATGTGGGGTGCGGATCAGGTCGGACTCTGTAACATGTGTAACAAGAATACGCACGTATCATGAATGTCGTACTATTTGCGGAGTTCTCGGGATTGCCCCTTTGATATGGAGAAGATGATTATCGATTACTTGAATAGATTTGATCATGGAATGAAGACGCAGAAAAAAATTATTTTCCGTATACACCGTTCTTTGACGGCTGGTGCCAGCCAGCCGTGTACATGTATGTCGGCTCGCTTTCCTCTTCCTCTTTCATTGTATACCGGCAGATTTCACCATTTTCCCTAATGACAAATTGCGAACAGTCGATGTACGTACATATTCTTTATGATAGGCACGGAGCGCGTAGTAAACTTTGAACTAAATAAACTACAAAGCGGGCAAGGTAGGTCGATAAGAGCTATCGATTCTGTTTACGGCGTACTAAGTCCTTATCTCGTAGACTTATGCAGACACACAGACATTTTGATTTTTATCGTCCTTGACAGATCAGGGGTGCATGCTTCCTGCTGCCTGGGTGCAGCATGGGTTCAGAAACAGGGCTGTGTCCTGATAGCCTGATTGAGAAAGATGAGAATGAACGGCCTCTGCGCCGTCCGCCTTGGCCGGATTGCGCTCGCTTACTCACCCACCGGGCTTGTTTCAAGGCAGTGGACACAGCAACACTTACACCGCTGGAGTGGCACACTTATTAAACTAGTATCTACTATCCGACGTGCGTTAATACTTTGCCTGAAAATCCACAAGTAAAATCATTTCCTTTCAGGCTTGAATCATGGTGGTGTTACTAATGTATCTCATCATCCCTTGCTCCGTACTCCGTACCTGATATCTGATACCTTACTTGACATACGACTCGCACAGATCCACCAGTGCGTCATGACTGCGATAGTTACCTGTTTTAGTTTCGTGTACTTCCCAGGAATCCTAGCACACCGACTTGCCATACGTCCTGTGACTCAACGAGTCAGCCTGAGGAATGGGTTGGTTACACACCAGCTGAGTGGGCTGAGTGGAGCTTAGCCTCACACATGGAACAAGGCTGACGGCCGGTAAATTGGTGAGAACCTAAGTACGGGTACGGAGTAAGCCGTAAGTAAAGACCGTAACGATGGATGGGTATTTTGCTTTTTTTCGTGACCATACCACATACGTAGTAATTGGCTAAACTAAAATTATTTTTTTTGAGGGTGTTGTCATTTCGCCCGGGATGGTTATAAATACCCTGAGTTTCTCCTTGACAGGTCCCAAAAAGTTTCTTGACCCGTAACAACAAGATCCATTCAAGAACTTCAAAGCTGATAAGTCTCTACTACTCACTACCAACACTTATCACTACAACAACTATCACGTACTCTCAGTACTCTCGAATCCACCATCAACATGCCTTCATACACACAAGTTTCCTTCCCTCCCTGCCCTGGTCCTCCTCCAACCGGCCCTCTTCCTCCGACCCCGAAATAAACGATACCTGCCCTGTTCGATGCATTCAACTACATACACGTCCAACGGTACACGATTAACGGTCAAACATTGCGGTTCTCGAGGAGAGGGTACAGCCGGTTCTGCCCTTCAACAAACCGACCAACAACAACGCAATTCGCATAGAAAGTGATATCTACACAGATTTACTGCATTTGGGTGCTGGTCTCGGTTCGGCCTACGGTTTCACA